ACAATTCCCACTTACTACCTTCTAGTGGCGAGAGTGTTGTCTACAAAATTTGAAGGGATGAAACGCAAATGTCCAGAAGAGATTTGAACCAGTCTGTCGAGTACGGAAGGTTATATACTACTGTGGGACAGAACAAATTAAATTCCTCTAGCTGAGGAAGAAATCAAGAAGAAGCGCTGAAAGTGGATACGACACACATTGAAGAAGGCATTCAACTTAATCAAAAGACAAGCACTAACTTAGAATCTTCAAGAATAGAACAAAAGAGGAAGGTCAAGAAACACATTCCGCCGAGAGATGGAGATAAACACACGATGAATGAACAACAATAGGCAGAATTAGAAAGGAAGGCCCACGATATAGTAGGTTGGAGAATGCCGGTCAGCGGCCTATGCTCCATTGAGGGGTAACAGGCGTAAGTAAGTACAGTAAGTTAAACACATTGACGCATAAGAGGTAGGTGCTTAGTAGTTGGGATATTGTTGTGTGAAATTATCAAAACCTATGTCTAAAGAGTTAAAAGCAATATCACGCTCATATGATTTTGAGATGCTGGAGATTGTGGTGGTGTCTCGTTCTCTCAGCTGGATGTTTTGATTGTGGAGCTTTCATTGTTCTTCTACTGAACAACATCAGCACAAACTTCAGACTTCTATCTGATAAACTATTATTCAAGTTTATTTTAACTTATGTTATGAAAACTACCTTGAAATTTTGAAAAAAGATGGACATAAAACTACTTCAATGATGTTGATGTGTGTTCTTTCATGATAACGTATATTTTCCAAGTCATATATTTTATCGCATAATTTTAGTCTACTTATAAGTAGTTTAAAAATTTTGAAGTAATTTAAGGACAGTTTCTTACACTAGTCATCTAACCGGTGTACATTCGTATTAAGTACATTGAGAATATTTCATTGAACGCACTATTTCTAAATCATAAAACCTAGAGATATGATTAACCACCTTCTTCTCATAGACGAACTCACATCTCACAGGATCAGAAACCTGTTACTGGCTTATGGTTTAATTCTTTCCCCAGTCAGTGACATTTGATAGTCAAAATAAACTCCTGATCACTTGTTGTCCAGGTCAAAAGTGAATAATACAAGACAGTGTCTTTGCTGTTTCTAACTTACATAGATAATATTTGTGAGTACTTCTGTGTAGATGATTTTACAGCAGTGTATTCATTCACTTATCATGAATCATAAGTAAGCTGCATCAGTCATAAGAGCTATACAAGATATCCCAAAGGCTAACTGAGGATAGATTTACCTTGGTAATACTTTATTCAACCTAGACATAAGGCGCTATTGAAGATCCATACAGTTGTGGATTCTTATAATTTGTTTTTTTCAGAACAGGTCTTAAAGTAGACTTCCAAGTCTTAACGCTTTCTAGGTTGAAAAACATGTAACCTCTAAAGCAATAATTAACGTATTGTCATGTAAAAAGCATGTGTTCAATCACTTCTAGAATGCTGTACGTTTATTCTTAGTAGAGTACGCACAAAAGACAAACTAAGACTGGAATCTGTTCGGAAGTGATTTACACTTCGCATTCTTGGGATTGATGCCATAACTTACTTAAGCCTGTTACCCCCCAATGGAGCATAGGCAGACAACCAGTTTTCTCCAACCCACTCTGTCCTGGCATTCCTTTCCCATTTCTTTCTAAATTTCGTTCATTCTTCTCATGTCTTTCTCTATTTCTCGGTGTAATGTGTTCATTGGCCTTCCTCTTTTCCGTTGACCTTGAGACTTCCATGTAAGGGCTTGTCTTGTGACGCAGTTATGTGCTTTTCGTAGTGTGTCCTATCCACTTCCAACGCCTCTTCCTCATTTCCTCCTCCACTGGAATCTGGTTTGTTCTCTCCCACAGTACGTTGTTGCTGATGGTGTCTGGCCAACGAATACGAAGTATTTTGTGTAGACAACTGTTAGTAAACACTTGTATCTTCTGGATGATGGCTTTGGTAGTTCTCCAGGTTTCCGCTCCATACAGTAGAACTATCTTGACATTTGTATTGAAAATGCTGACTTCGGTGTTGATTGATATTTGTTTGGAGTTCCAGATATTTTTCAACTGTAGAAATGCAGCCCTTGCTTTGCCGATTCGCGCCCTCACATCTCTTCAGATGTGATGTACATTTCACACTACTGGGATTGATATCACAACCTTGTACTTCATCCTTCATGGAAGAGCAGACTTAAACTAGATCTATTCTTTTTTTCGAACTACCCAATAAACTGTCTTTTACATCTATAAATGTAATCTGATGTGCAGAAACTACTAGTTATCACTACCATAACTCTTTGTCATCAGTGATACAATCTCATTGTACATCTAAGCCAGAAATTTTCTAAGACCCGGGGAGAAAATTTACTATGAATCACTCCAATTCTTTGTTCATTGCATCGATGCCTACTACTCCTCAGAAAATGTCTTCAATATACATACTGCTGTAAGTATGCCCCATTCTACATCTGAGATTATAGGAACTCTAAATGTCTTATTAGTTCATTACTGAACCGATTAATGAAACCTCCTTACTCGCAAATACTTTACATAAACATGTCCTCAATAAATTTAATTAATTTGAACAATTAATCAGAAAGTCATCCAGCAATTGGATCATGGTAGATTGACCTGTCATTGCTGTTTTTTCTAGTTGTACTGAGATATGCTCATAGATGCAGACTACTTGATTCGGGTCGATGAGACAATAGTAACCGATGGTCAGAGACTTTTTGGATAACATGGCTCAAAATCGCATGCAATGGCGCAGGTGCATTAACTCTTTCTTGACTTCTCTCAAATTCTAATCGTCTGAATTCCTCATCACTTTTATCTCACTCTTTTTAAGTTTATTTCACTAGGATATACTTACCAAATTGTACTTTCGATCGTTAATCTTTTCAATTACCGCACCAATACTGCTATTGTAGTGCCTCCACATAAACTTGAGTTCGCTTACATTTAATTTGGTTAAGCCTTTCGATTAACTTATGTAACCAAGCCATTTATATAACAATAACTTATATGTACCATTGGTATTTTTTATTGCGTGGTTTGTATGAGCTTGTATGACTGAGTATTGCTTACCCCCTACGCGTATATTCATCCTATTCGCTTTAATGTTAATCTCTTAAATATCGTGATGACTCATATATCTTCCTATGTATATATATGAACCTTCTTATCTTATTAATTCACTCGCTAGTGTGCCTGCCCGGTTTGCTATCCCTATTTGTGGTGTGTCAAAATAAACGCATTCAACACTTCGAGTTTACCTTCTGATTTCTAAACCGTCAGATGCTATTTGGCGACGATTGTCTGGACGAGCTAATTACGAAGACAAAGGAACACGTAGATATTGGCCACCACACTGCTACTTCTACCACAATGAGATATGAAATGGCATCACTCTGTGTGCTGATATGCTATGGCGAATCGAACACTGATGTACTTACGTAAGAAGTTCTACGTTATAGCTGACTGACTAGATTATTATCAACAGTCATTTTCGTGGACAGTTTATTCGACAGTGTATGAAAATCTCTAGCAATTATCACTTCACTGAAATATATATCAGCAAACAAATTCCATTGTAAGCTACTTCAGTCTATATTAGCACACAGCTTAAATCAACTAGACAGTATCATTCAACTTATAAACTGCAGCATAAAAATAAGTGTTTGTACACAATAAAGAGAATAGTGTTAGTTGAAAGGCATTTAAGAAGTTCATTCCGTTCAATTTGAGGTACTCATCACTGTCAATATCCACAATTGAATTTAAAAACTAATAATACCTTCCATTGTCATACACTTAAATCACTTAGATCTGCGTCATGTTGACAAGTATAGACTAACTGATTCGGGTCCGCTTGACGATAGCAACCGATGGTTTGAGACATTGAACGACATGACTTAAAATCGTTTGCTTTCTCTCAAATTCTGAATTCCTCATCACCTCTTTTCCACTGAATTATACTTCTTGAATCATATTTTTCGAACCCATAAACTTCTTCATTACTGCTTAGAGTTACTGAAACCTAATAGCCATTTATAAGTGTCACTATTTTTTTGTAAATATCAAGGCAATTCGTACAGAATGCAGATGAATAGTACAAAAAGTAATTGATCAATTCAAGTCCTTCATATCAATAAGAAAATGTAAACAAATTTTGTCTTAGATATCAATGTCACGTGCTCCAATGTTGATTCTTATTGGTTGTTCTGACTATCAATATCGCTTCACATGTTGCTTCCTATTGGTCGTCTTAACTGTCAATGTCACAGACTTTGATGCTGTTTCCTACTCGACCAAAATGTATAAATACGCATTATCTGAAACGCTTTATGACCAGGACCCGGATCCCTAGTCCGGGATACTGTTTCTCTTCTGGACTCGGAACTCGTACTTTCCGGATGCTTGTAGGATACAAGTTCTACTTCATATCATGTCTTCTTATTTTTTACTCAATATTGGGGTTGCGATAATCAGATTTGAGTAGCATGTCGTGTCGCCGGATCCTCACTCTCGTTTTCCGACTAGGTATATCAAGTTGACGTGTTTACGGGCACGCGTAGCAGGAAGAAGCACTGGAGCTGGATAGACCATACATTGCGGATAGAACCCAATAGCACTCTATAAAACAAGTCCTAACATGAAATCCTCATTGCCAAAGAATGCATTACTCCAAGAATTCGAGACACACATGAAAAGAATAAACAGCGATTGGATAGAACTGAAAAGGAAGGTTCAGAACAGAGTAGATTGAACAATCCTAATCGGCGACCTATGCTCAATTGACGGTAAACACGCGCAAGTAAGCCAGTAACAATCATGTCATGTATATCAACAAAACAATTGTCTTGTATTCACAGCTGTTATAATAATTTACAATAAATATACATGAACTATTTGGCGAAAAAATCATTGAAAAATGTGAATAATAATCGTACACAAATAAATTTGTACACAGAGGTAAAATCAGCAAACATTCTCCCTTGCTCTCACCCTCTCCCTCTCCTTAATTGACAATTTCATTAGGATTAGTCGATGTGAATAATTTAATCAGGCGTCTAGCAAATTCTACACCTAAACGTCGTTTTGTCATTAGGACACCAGCACCACGACGTATTTCTAAATTAGCCAAGTCTAGTTCAAATGGATGATTGGTCATTCGATCAGAACACGATGATGATGACGCTGTCGAGTGATTTGAATCTGAATAGAATGAAAGAAAGCAAATATCGGCTGAAAACAACAGTTGTGATATGCTTGCCAGCTATTATGACGAGTCCGACTTATTCGGGTAAACAGAATGAAGAGCAACGATACTGTTATAGTGGGACATAAGATGGAATTTAAGCATGATTGTGTTAGCTGCGTGCTGATTGGCTAATTTCCTAATCCAATCAGCGCCTGATCAATTCTTGGAGAATAGGATAGAAAATTCTCGTGTTGTTAGCTGCATTCTGATTGGCTAAATCTAATTCAGTCGATCATGTGAATTACTACTATCCAGAAGCTTCTTATGTAAATGCTATAAATAAACCAACGTTGTATCTATATTTGGCCTTCGCCATCACCTTTGGCTTCGTATTTCCATTTAACCTTTGCTATTTGGAATAGAATCTTTTCCTGTTCCACCGTGTTTTTTGATTCTTTTGGAACTTGTCCAGTGTATTGTGTGGTCAGAGAATACTAAGTAATAGGAATTAGCTAGGAATTATCTTAAGCAAGCGTTACAACAGATACAATGACACGATAGGCTATTCTAATCCGATTATCCCCAGGTCCTGCTAACTAACTAGAGCAAGAGGTCTTGATAATAAGGCGTAGAGACAATGTATTCTACAAGCAATCAGAAAATATGAGGTTGCTAAGCACATGAATCAGGCTTATTTATACAATGATAGAGACGCCCTTGGTGAGAGCCACAAGAATAGCGTACTAAACTAATAAAATAAACATCTTCTCCTTAACTAAATCACTTATCCTATCCAATCATAACGTCATGCATTCATATTACACAGGTATATCAAGTTGAGAAATACTATAAACACATGTCTTGCATTGTAATGCTAGTTAGTAGCCACTACCTACACACCTACGTAGAACTTCGTACGTACGTACGTACGTACATCAGTGTTCAAGTTGCCATACCACAACATTAGCACACAGAGACGTAATCGTCAATTCAAATCCCATAGTAGTAGATCTGGTAGAAGTAATTAGCAATAATCGGAAAGATTAAGGTTCGAAGAAATTATTCAAGAAATATAATTCAGTGAGATAAATTTAGAAAAAGAAAGATAGAGATGATGAGTGATTCAGAAGGTTAGAATTTGAGAGAACACAATGAGTGAATGGACCTACGCCATTGTAAACGATTTTGAGCTATGTCATTCAAGGTCTTTCTTTATCTAACCATCGATTAGTAACATCTCGCCGACCCTAACCAGGTGGTGGTAGTCGACTCTTACTAACATGACTCAATCCACACTTACTTGTCGATGACTTCATGCATTTGTGCCGCGATTTAGTTTGTAGCCACTACTAACTACCTTACTTACTTACTTACTTACGCCTGTTACCCCCAATGGAGCATAGGTAGCACACCAGTTTTCTTCAACCAACTCTGTCCTGAGCTTCCCTTTCCACTTCTGTCCAATTTTTGTTCACGCTTCTCATATCTTTCTCATATCTTTCCCGGCGTAATGTGTTCCTTGGCCTTCTTCTTTTCCTTCTGCCCTGAGGATCCCAAGTGAGGGCTTGTCTTGTGACGCAGTTTGGAGCTTTTCGTAATGTGTGTCCTATCCACTTCCACCGCTTATTTCTGATTTCCTCCTCCACTGGAATCTGATTTGTTCTCTTCCACAGTAGGTTGTTGCTGATCACGTCTGTACAACAAATCCGAAGTATTTTGCATAGACAACTGTTAATAAACACCTGTATCTTCTGAATGATGCCTTTCGTAGTTCTCCAAGTTTCCGCTCCATACAGTAGAACTGTCTTCACATTTGTATTGAAAATCCTGATTTTGGTTTTGGTTGACAATTGTTTGGAGTTCCAAATATTTTTCAACTATAGAAATGCAACCCTTGCTTTGCCAATCCGCGCACTCACATCTACATCAGATCCACCTTTCTCGTCGATGATGTTGCCCAGATATGAAAAGGGGTGTTAACTTCCTCCAAGGCATCTCCATCAAGAGTGATTTAGTTGGTGCACGTTGTGTTGCATCGGAGAATTTTGCTTTTTCGTTTATGTATGTTGAGACCTACTGCTGCTGCTGCACAGGCTGCTAAACTACCTTAACTATCCCTTATAAAAAAACTCTGATATATATACTTACTTGATTGAATTTCAGCTAACTGACATGCATTATAAAATGATCGAGCAGTTGGATAAATTAAAGTGATTGCATGTGCAATTTCACCGGTTAATCCACGCCATTGACCTAATTGTGCAAGCCATACACGATTAGACCATAAATGTGAAGTTTGTTCTTGTACAGTAGTTAGTGTGTTAGAATTATTACTGTTGTTAATATTATTTATAATTGGTGCTTTACCAGGACCACGACCACGTGAAGCACAACCACTTAAACCTTTATGTATAGTATTTGGTAGAAATGCCAGTCCTTCATCTTGTTCTAAACGTCCTTGTCTGTAAAGAAAAAAATACACAAAGATAAGTTGTTTATGTAAAAAAGATGAACTCACTAATGAGGTTATAGGATTCTCATGTGTGTAGTAGCTACGAATCACACACACACACACACACAATGTGTACATTAGTAATATTATTCAGTAAGTCATAACCTCTACTGGTCCTAAGCTCCGATAAAAGGAGAAGGGTTGAGCATGGGGGTGAGAGACCCTAACTAGCTACGAATCCCATATACACAATGTGAACATTAGTAATATTATTCAGTATGTCATAACCTCTGATGGTTCCAAGCACGGAGGAGGGTTGTGCATGGTGGTTAGCCACCCCACCTAAGAGAAATCCAACTCGCTAGAAAAACGCTGACAAAGAAAAGCAATTCATTGGTCGACGGCCTATGCTCCATTAGGGGTTTCAGGCGTAAGTAAGTAAGCCATCGCCTGAGATACAGTGACTGAAAATGAAATGCCTTCATAATCACTGAGCTAACTGTTGTAAATAAGGTAGAACGAATCAACCTATATGGAGGAGTAATTTTGAAATAACCTCTCATAGAGGACTAACATTACCGTTGAAGAACTAAGATTTAAAAAAACTGAGTAAGCGATGACTAGTTATATTTATCGAAATTTACAACATGGGGTTTTTGCTCACAAGTTATGCCACTGAGTTAGGAAAACCAATGGTTTACGCCTTCTAACTTCATATAAACCGCCAAATACCTTGATATGTCGAGAGTAGAGAGAATCCGCTCTCCTTATTAAAATGCCATCACATGGCCATGCGTATATAGCCACTATAAGGAAAGTCTTACTTACTGACTTCACATAGAAACAGTGTTGTTTACGAAATCGATAAGACTAAAAGCGAATGTCCAGCGGAGGCTTAAAATGGGTTGGTGGGTATGGAGGATCCGCCTAAGGGAGTCAGAAAACCCTAAATGGTCCGCATAGGCTACAGGATCTTCAGGATTAGTCAGTCAGTCAGTCAGTCAGATGCAATGTAGAACTTCGTACGTAAGTACATCAGTTCATGTTGCCATACCATATTAGCACAGAGATGTAATTGTCAATTCAAATCCAATAGTAGTAGAGGTAGTAAAGGTATTAGAAGTAATCGGAGAAGTTAGGATTAGAAGATATTATTCAAGAAGTATGATTCAGTGAGATAAGTTTAGAAAGACAAAACTAGAGGTGTTGAAGAATCCAGTAACAGCAAACGAGACCAAATTGGTCGAAATCAAATCCTTCCTACACCCACACATACCTCTCTTCTCTCTTGACAACTAACTCTACTCACATTCCCCTTATCTCTTGAGGATTAGACCTGAAAATCAAAAAGACTCAAGGAGTGGCTTCTTAAGAAAACTACCTGGTTCGGGTTGAGAACCCAAGCAGTAACTCAACCCAAACAAAAATCGAATTACTTATGTAGTACATAGAATATTTAGTGAAATAAATTTAAAAAGAGAAAGGTAAAGGTGATGAGGAGTTCAGAAGATTAAACGTTGAGAGAATACAAACAATGGATGCAAACGAATTTAACCATGTCTTTCAAGGTCTCTAACCATCGATTACTGCTATCTCGAGGACCCCAACCATGTAGTCTGCATCTACCAACATGAATCAGTACACTTGTTAATGACTTCTTAGATTTGTGCCATATTTTGATCTGACCGCCCTTAGCTCTCTTTCAAACTATTCCTACATCACAAAACATCACTTGTCGAGGCAGATAGTGTTTGGGCATACATAACACATATCACAAGCATATAAGAGATAACAAATTGTAAATGATATCCATTTTAATGTTGCAGACAATGAAATAACGCATCATGCAGTAACACTCTTTTTATAGTTGAAATCGCCAACTTATCTTGATAAGACCACTACTAAAAACCTAGAAGCACTAGACGGATGTTTCAACCTACTGTTGAACCAATGAGCATTGAGTAACTACGAGAATCGAACCCAAACCCTTCGGTTGGCTCAGTAGTCTAGAGGTTAAGCATTCGTTCACGAGATCAAAGCTCCTGGGTTCGATTCCCGTTTTCGGAGGTTAGCGGCTATTTATGTTATAATGCTGCTACATAGCTATTCAAATCCTACCGACGTCCGAATTCAAATATTTCAATACGACCCAAATACTATGCCCAAATCTCTTATAAATCAGAACGCAACATCGTTGGATGGAGTTGTTTATTTGAGTCGAGTACAGAAGAGAGGAAGGCAGGAAAGAACGGAATCATGCAGTCTTACAGATAGTGCGTATTTATACATTTAGATTGAATAGGAAAGAGCATCGAAGTCTGTGACATTGACAGTTTAGGACGACCAAAAGGAAAGAACATTTGAAATGACATTGACAGCTAAAACGACCATAATTTTGACCAACAGGATTATACTCCCAAAAATAATACTCTTAGGATATTTGGTGAATATCCTAACAATTTAATACTGAAGAGACTCACACTAGGACAAAACTATAGTCTGATGGTTTGAATACGTACAAATCAGAAGTTCAAGAACAACAATTTGTCTAAAGAATAGTTCTGTAGTTATAGGAAATATACGTAAATTGTTTACACATGTCAACTCACGTGTTAACCTGTAAGTCTGATCAAAACACAAAGAGTAATTATAGCATACGGTAGAGTAAATGACAACTGGTAGCTAGTTTCTAATACTAACAACAGTTACGAATTGAGAGCAAAAAACTATGGAAGTTTTTGAGAGAAGTCAATTACGATAACCAGCACAGTAAATGTTATTAGTTTCGGATACTTAACAACATATTAACGTGTACCACACATCAAACGTTCAGCAAAAATTATATTAATAAAGACTGTTTACTAAATATTAATAAGTAGTATAAAACGGTTAACAAAATAAAACGAATAGAGAGGGTAAAAAAAACACCCATGGGAGGATAGGTTAGTGGTTATTAGGACCTAACAGCTCAATGTATAAATCAGTGAAAGTTATATGTTATCAGTTTGTATGCAGATATAAACACTAGGATGTACGCACATCCAGCTGACGAGTGCCAAATAAGATGGCAAAACAGATCTTGAATGCCACTGTTAACCCACAATCCAACTAGTCTGTTGTAGGTGAGCTATCATACCACAAAATACTGGACAGTTTACCTCTAACTAAACATTAAAAAAAATGTGTTTTCATTATGATACTACAAAGAAAAAATAACTTACTTAAATGGTCTCTCAGCTAATGATCTTGTAATTGCATTTAATATCATAGCAACATCATTTAAATTCGATGTTACACGAGTACTATGCACATGCCAATTTAATTGTAATTCAGCGCATAATTCATTCAATGATGTATGTGATGCAGAATGATTCATTGAGTTTGTTGTTGTGGTTGCTGATGATGATGATGACACATGGTTAGTTCTAAGAGTTGAAATATGTATTAAAACCAAACCAGAAATATCATAATATGGGGGGGGTTGTGGAGATTGTTGAGTTACTTTTTGAAATCATGAATCGATCAATGTTAGATTATCATTAGAAACCAGGAAGTACTGGACAGCTGTTTCACCTTAGTATGGAACTCCTCAGCGGCAGTGAACATCCATGACATCTACTCACGGGCATCGAACTCAGGACCTTCGGTGTCATACGCGAAAGCTTAACCTCTTGATCCAATAGTGTAAATGTCTAACTTCAATCAATCTACTCACTACTGACTAGTTTCGTGAAGAAATTGTCAGAGTTCTCTTGAGAAGCTGTGATCATTAGAGTTTAATCGTATCGAGTAATGAGTCAGTCACCCACTGAAGACAATGGACGGGAACGCGCAATATCGTGGATTAACTAATGTTAGATATTAACACTGTTAGATGTCGGCTCAGTGATCTAGAGGTTAGGTGTTCGCGATCGAGACTGAAGGTCTTGGGTCTTATTCCCTTGTAGCGAGTAGCGTATGAGTTCAACACCAGGACGAAACAGCTATTCAGGTTTTCAATGATGGTCTAGTACTGATCGATTCATGATCTCATTGAAACTCAATCAAACAAAAACATGTTAGTATCAATTTCGCAATACACAATGACACGAAAGTGAAGAGTAATCAGTTGTTAGACAATTTCCCTCTCTCTCACACACACAGTGGAAGATCTAGTCAGATCTAAGTAGTATTTAACAATGGATGAGGTTTATGTACTACAAAAGTACTACTCATTAGTAACTAGTTTCTTATTGTATAATTTATTTGAAATGATGGAAATTCACAGTTGTCATACCACATTAGCACGGAGAAATGAAATTGTCAGTTCAAATCTCATAGTAGTAGAGGTGGTAGTTGCAATGTGATGCGCGCTACTTATAAGTAGTATATGATGTGAGTGTCAACGTAATGTCTGGCAGCATAAGATGGGGGAAAATCAAGAAAGGAAGAGTGGGAACACAATGGAATTTGTGTATGAAACTCATGAATAAGTGAAATGTCAGACAATGGATTGAAGATTTGCAAACTAACGGTTAGGATATGGTTTTTCTATTTTACCAATTAACTCTGTAATTTTGAGATAAAGACAATTTGGTTGCCCTCACCTGTGTTCTCCTTCACTACAGTAGCAGTATTAGCCGTAATCGAAAATATTAGGGTTCGAAGATATTACTCAAGAAGTATAATTCAGTGAGATAGCTTAAGAAAGAGAAGGATAGAGATGATGAGGAATTCAGAAGACTAGGTATTTGAGAGAACACAATGAATGAACCTGAGCTATTCCAAACGATTTTGAGCCATGTCATTCAAAAAATCTCTAACCATCGGTTACTATTGTCTCGTGGACCCCAACCATGTAATCAGTCTACACACACCTACTAACATGGCTCAGTGCAGTTGTCCGCGACTTCATGGATTTGTGCCATGTTTTGGCTTGCCTCGCCCCTATTGTCTCGCGGATCTGATTGACTTTCATCAACCTGAATGGTTTGACATGCAATCGAGTTCTTTAAATGTCTTGTAGTGAAGGAGAACACAGGTGGGTCAACCGAATTGCATTTAACGAAGATTACAGAGTTACTCAGTAAAATAGGAAAACCATATCGTAAATTGTTCATTTGCAAAATATCAGTTCATCATATCGAACTGGACTGTTCCTGTTGCAAAACATCGTCAATCCATTGTCACTATTCATACGTTTCATACAAATTCCATTGTTTTCTAACTCTTCCTTTCTTGATCTTCCCCCCGTCGTCGGCTGCCAGACATTACGTTGACGCTCACGTTATATACTACTTATAAGTAGCTCGCACCACAGCACTACAGTCTTTCTACTTTTAATTAAACTATATTCTACTTTTAACACACTAGTAATTATAGCTATTTAAAATTAGTACGATTACAAAGTCAAAATCCAAACTTACTTTGATTTAAAAGTAGGTCCTGTCAAGAAAATACAAGTAATTGGTCGTTGTAAATTCATTAAAGTTGTACCAAATGCAATAAGATTTGGATTCTATGGAAAAATATAAGAAAATAACACTAATGGTATAAACACATATATATTTTTCAAGAAAGATAAGACTAAAAGAAGCAAATTAAGGTCTTAGGGCAAAGTTGTACTGCTTACTGTCAGTCAGTCATTTACAACGTAGAACTTCGTACGTAAGTACATCAGTTCATATCGCCATACCACATCCCGTCGGACAACCATCATCTGCAGCGATGCTGCCTTCTTACAAGGAAGGAAGGGTTAGAAAAGGTCGACCCTAAAATGTTACACCTTACCGTACCTCACGGATTTCCGTCTCCGGAGGTAAGGGTGCTCACTAAGTGCATTTAAGAGCGCAGCTAATATTCTAAGAACCTTTAACAAAAAGGCCGTGCGTGACCGGACTTAATCAGTTGTCCCTTGGACTCTGTGGTCACGCTCCCAGACCTCTAAGACCGACACTAACCTACCTTCCTTTTCAGGTTCCTCAAGAAACAACCTTCCACGGTGTGGGCAGCCGGGAAGTGACAACCGCCCTCCTACCCGTAACAGCAAACTGCTGACTGTAGAGAGGTGTGACAGCAATAAGCTGATTCCTTGGGACAACCGGCATCTGCAATGATGCTGTCTTCTTACAAGAAAGGAAAAGGGTTAGAAAAGGTCGACCCTAAAAATGTTACACCTTAACCTTAACCCCACAGATTTCCGTCTCTGGAGGTAAGGCCATTTGAAAAGCGGAGCTAACGCTTCCAAAGCATTCAGTAACACGGCCGTGTAACCAGCATAAAGCAATTATCTTTCAGGCTCTGAGGTCACACTATCAGATCGCTAAGTCCAACATTAATCGAACTTCCTTTTCAGGTTCCTCAAGAAACACCCTTCCATAGTGTGGGCAGCCGGGAAGGGAGATTTGCCCTCGTAACAGTAACGGCACATGAGGTCAAATTAGGCACAATCAAATCCTTCCTCCTGTTAGGTACCTAAATATTTTATGTGCCATTCAAATTACTGAATTTGTGAATGAGCTGGGATACTGTCTGGGTACCCAAAACGAACCTGGTGGTTTCCTTAGGAAGCCAGTCCCTGAGTCTTTGACTTACAGGTCTAATCCACAAGGCAGATGATCCAGTCTCATTGTAGTCGATGACCAGCAATCGGTTCATATGCCATTTCTCCCTTCAGGGTCTTATAGCCCATATGGACCAGTGGTTTGAAATTACGGTTTATCAACTCCTCTAGGTGGATACCCCGCACCCACCAAAGTTCGTTCTCCCTAACTTGTAAACAACACCCCTGTCATGAGACGGTAATGCGTAGAACTTTCTTGGCAGTGGTTACATACGAAGTAGTATGTTAGCAATTAGTAATTCTCTCTCTTTATTTCTTACTTGTGTTGATATATTTTATGACGTAAAACAACTTGACTCAACATAGTAGCACTGTGTTATCTTTCCACGTTTTTTTACATCCACCTTTGTTAGGGATATTCATCCAATATCCTAAAGAAATTATTTTATGAGACTAATTCTATTGGTCAATTCCTATTGGTTAATATTTAAGGTCGTTTTAAACTATGAACTTCACATACTTTTAAATGTTGTTTCCTATTGGTTAGTATTCAAGGTCGACCTGACTATATAAATATGCATTGTCAGTAAAGTTTTATGCTCCTCTTCTGCTTCTTCTACAGTACAAAACCTCATATTTTCTGGGTGCTTGTAGAATACACCTTTCTACACCATCGTATCAAGACATTTTGATACCGTTAGTGTTGCCATGGGACACTTGGATTAGAGTAGCCTATCGTGTCAATGGATCATTTGTCTTCGGTCTCGTTTACCGACTAAAGTGAACTCATAATAGCGCATTCAAGCATATCAACTGTTGACGAGTCATAACAACCTTAATTAAACAAAATTTCAAAGGAAATAAAAGTTAAATTATCATTTCTAAAATGGAATATACCTCGTGTAATTCTTGTTTAGATGATTTGCTCAATAAATTTTTAATTTGATCAGTTGTCAATAAAATTACAACTTCCGGTTCAATGAATGGATTAAGTTTAATATTCAACGATTCATTATCTACAAATAAAGGAAGGAACAGAATGATTCGAATAAAATAAGTTAAACAAAGGAAGGAAGGAAGGAAAGGAAAACTAATGTAGATTCATTTTTGTTATGAATACATGTAATCATGTCATTTTGATATGTTTGAAGTATTATTGCAAGTTTACTCTATTCGGGAAATGAGAGTGAGGATCGAGGATCCGGGTGACATGACAGGCTACTCTGATTCGAGTGTTCCAACCCCTCATATTGAGTAAAAGAATACAAGACTTGATATGAAGTAGAACCTGTATATTCTACAAGCATTCAGAAAGTACGAGGTCCGAGTGCAGATGAGAATCAGGATCCTGGACTAGGCATCTGGGTACGGGTCATAAAACGTTACAGATAATCCGTATTTATACATTTTGGTCGAATAGGAAACAGCACTGAAGTATGTGACATTGACATTTAAGATGACCAATAGGAAGCGACATTTGAAGTGACATTGATAGTCAGGACAACTAATAAGAAACAACATTGGAGCACGTGACATTGATATCTAAGACGATCGTAAAATTAACCAGTAGGAGTTAGCCAATAGGAATTGACCAATAATTCTCTTAGGATATTGGATGAATATCCTAACACTTACTCAGTAAACGGAATGAAGACCAGTGATTCGGTGACACGATAGGCTATTTTATTCCGTTTGTCCCGGCCTGGCTAACTAGACCAAAAGCTCTTGGATAAGGAGTAGAAAGTGTATTCTACAAGCACACAATCCAAGCTTATTTCAACAATTTATAAAACGACCTTGTTGAGAGCCATAAACTAGTGCACTAAAATAATCGATCAATCAATAACAGTCAAGGACTTCCTGAGTGGAATTTACAGGCTGAAGGTCAATATGGGCGTCTTTAGCGGGAAGACATAAAATTCAAAATTTGAGAAATAAAATTACAAAATATGGACCTTTTTTAAATGAGTTCTGGGGATCTTACGTTGTCAACAGTATTAAATGGAAGGAAACGCACATATCAGATTTCATTGTCAGTCACTATATTCATCTGTGCTGATAATGATTGTATATCCTTAAAGGCAATAATGAGGCAATCTACATAAAATGTAAATATGTCAAACTAGATTGATCTAACTGTAGTCATAAATAGAAGTAAGGAAATTTCAGTAGACGACTCAATCAATCAGTCAATCAATAGCAACGTAGAACTTCGTACGAACATACATCAGTTCATGTTGCCATACCACACTGGCACACAGAGATGTAATTGTCAATTCAAATCCAATAGTAGAAGAGGTAGTAAAGGTATTAGAAGTAATCGGAGAGGTTAGGATTAGAAGATATTATTCAACAAGTATGTTTCAGTGAGAAAAGTTTAGAAAGTCAAAACTAGAGGTGTTGAACGATCCAAAAGATTAGGATTTGAGAGAACACAAAGAATAAATGCACCGGCGCCATTGCGAACGATTTTGAGCCATGTCGTTCAAAGTCTCTAACCACTGATGACTTTCTTCTCGCGGACCCTAACCAGGTAGTCTACATCTACCAACATGACTCAGTCCACATGTCAGTGACTTCATGGATTTCTGCCATGTTTTGGTTTGGCCGCCCCTAACTTTCTTCCAACCTATTCCTAAACTACAAAACAAAGCTCGTCGAGGCAGTCGGTGGTTAGGCATACGCAATACATGTCCCAACCACTTCAACTGATGAAGTTCCAATACATCATCTATTGATCTGCCATCCTTACCTAGCACCCGATTTCGCAATAACCGAGTCGCTCACTCGGGTGTCTCACGATATACGAGCAATGCTTTGAAGACACCTGAATTCAAGCTCATAAACTAGTACGAATTCATAGTCAAGTCACAGCTTAATTACTAATATTGGAAGCCTTTTAGCTACTCGGGAAACCATTTACTGACTTGATCACAAACCCACGTTATACATGGCGTAAAAGTTGGGTAAAAGAATGCAACATCACACTTGAAAGGCGACTGAAATGTGTGTGTGAGTGGAGGAGGCTGCGAAAGATTTATTTACTTTCTAATTAAACTGCCCTAATATTTTTACTTTAAAATAGATACAACATTAAAAAACATTAAAATAAGCATGAACAAACCAGTTGATTTGAATGCATCATTCTTATCTGTCAATACTTCTATTGTTGGCTGATAACGTGTCCAAGTGAAAGAAAACGAGACAGGAACAGAACCATTGGAACCATTTAATCCAATTAATTTTGGTTGAATTAAAGGTGGTAATTGTTGTGCAACATTTTTCTCTAAATAATCATTTGAATTAATTAAATGTTGTATTGTTGATGATTGCCAATTCATTTCTAATTTTGATGTTAGAGAAGCTAGTAAACTAGGCATTTGTAAAATGCTTTCATCAAATTCACATGTGATTAACTGAAAAAATTTGTAAGATTACAAGAATTATAAATTAAGTAGAGGGTTAACAAAGATTTATTGATTTAAGCCGTTAAATGAACAAGTATTAGGAGACATAATCAACTGTTCTAAGAAAATAACATGCTCATTAGTTACTCAATAAATAGATGATTGGTAGAAATTAAGATTACACGTCATTCATCATTTAATAGAGTCGATATATGTCAATATTTATCGCATTATGTTACCGCTATGAAGTGTGGGGTATTTTAGTGGTAATAGTAATACTGTGTCATCTGAATTAGTGATAGCGAGTGAAGTAGTCGAGCGTGTTGATCGCTTCACTTATCTGGGGAGTCTCATCAGTGCTGATAGCCTAATGACTGACGAAATCTCAGCGCAGATACAGAAAACTCGATTGGTTTTTGCCAACCTGTGTCACTAATGGCGTAGGCGTGATATCCGTTCGCTAACCAAAGGACGAGTGTACTGTGCAGTAGTTCGCTCCGTTCTCCTATATGGCTGTGAAACATGGCCGTTAAGAGTAGATGTTCGTAGGTTACTAGTATTCGATCATAGATGTTTAAGAAGCATTGCTCGTATATCGTGGGACAACAGAGTAAGCAATGCTGTCGTTTGGAGACGGGTGCTAGGTAAGGATGGCAGATCAGTAGATGAAGTATTGAAACTTCATCAGTTGAGGTGATTGGGACATGTGTTACGTATGACTAACCACCGACTAACTCGACGAGCTATGTTTTGTAGTGTAGAAGTAGGTTGGAAGAAAGCTAGGGGCGGTCAAACCAAAACATGGCAGAAATCCACGAAGTCACTGACAAGTGGACTGAATCATGTTGGTAGATGTAAACTACCTGGTTGGGGTCCGCGAGACGAAAGTCACCAATGGTTAGAGACCTTGAACGACATGGCTCAAAATCATTTGCATACATTCGTTGAGCTCTCTCAAATCCTGATCTTCTGGATTCGTCAGTACCTCTACCCTTGTCTTTCTAACCTTATCTCACTGAATTATACTTCTTAAATATCTTCAAACCCTAGTCTTCTTTATTACCATTAATACCTCTACTACCTTTATCACTATGGGATTTGATTGAAGTGAACGCCAGTTATTTGAGGGAAAGTACCGAAAATGTTTTGAAGTAGGCTCAAACGTATTTGTAAAATGATTTTTACCAAAATCCTAGTCACGAGTAGTATAAACTGATTGATTTCTTTGCACCTGGTTTTTAATGTTTTAGTACGGTTCCAGGTATTTAGTAATAGTCAATGGGTAGTAGCCTAGTCACTCAACTGCATTAATTTTGGTCAGTTCGGTAGTTATTTATGGATTTGTATGTTTTGTAATTTGAATAGGTGTGTTAGTAACAAGGCTTTAGGGCTTTTAATTATAAGCAGCTATCACATTACTAATTTGGAGTTCAACTGGTTGCAAGGTGGAAGATCACAATGAAGAAATTCTAATGCTAAAGAGAAGAGGAATGTCATATGAAGTAAATATATGCATGGATAAGCCAACCAAATTGCAAAGCATACAGTATGAGAAGAACAAGTGTAGAGATAAGAGAGGAAACAGAAAAGATGATAAGAGATTTAAGAATAAGTTAATGATACGTGATAACGAAGACAGAAAACAAGTTACGAGACATGAGTATATAGTGTTATTAAATTCCCACAGCAACAATAATGGACATGAGCTTACACGGTAGGCATTTTTCGGGTTCTCCAACTTCTTTAGTAGCTGCTCTGTCTTTTTAGCATGATTTTCTGTCTAAAGATAACACTTATATGAATGTTTGTTAACCATACCTGCTTCCGTTTTTTACAAGGAACAGTTGGATAGTCTGTTAGTGTATTTACTTGTTCAGCCATAGAAAGTGAAATAAAAGTTAGACATGGTTTCGTATATGAATGACAAAATTGCACCGGAAGGTCAGTATTTAAAATCGGCGGATTCACATAGTATATAGATATACCGCTGATCCAGTATCCAATATCTCCAAGCAAGGGAGAGGAGACATAGATAATAGGCGCGATAGATTGAGTTAGTGATCGGAGGAGATTGCAATAATAAACTACTAGCAAATTTCAAGGCATACATCAGGTACAGCTTGTCAACGATGGAGATGATAGTCCGCATGTGAGTACGCGTTTATCACGTCTCTCCTTAAATCTGTCCACTGAGGTGGCTGTGGTCACCTCGGCTGGGCGATCATTCCAAGTTGCAACGACTCTTAACGAGAAACAGTGTGCGCGAACCCAAGTATTCACCATCTGATGCGCAAGTTTTCGAGGATTGCCTCGAGGGCAATGGTGGTGATGCATCGGTAAGATGTTTACTCTGCGATGGTTTGGCGTACTTAATATGTAGTAGGCCATGATCAGATTACCTCTGATTCTCCTGTGTCTCAGTGGGATATTTAAAATGCTGGACTCTATCATCGTAAGTTATATTTTTTAAACCTATCACCTATTTCGTTGCTCGTCTCTGTACTCGATTCACGAGATTTGTCTCTTTTTAGCAGAGGTGTTGCGCACATATGTCTTATACAGCGTTAAGAACAATTATGGTGTGAGGTCACCAACTTGTCTGCACATAAAGTGAGGAGTTGCATTTGACCTAGCTGCGTCCCCTATTAGTTCCAGCTGGTGTGGAGATTTCCAGTGGTTACGAAACCGAGACGTCGCTCTGATGAGACATTAGGGAGCGAACTTCAATTGAGGGTGTAAATCGTTCGCGTCATGTAGGGCAGAATGTACATGACATGACGTGGTCCCCTGTCAAACTCCCGATGTTGATACTGACCATGTGTAGGAAAGATAAGGTTCATTTTCGTCCAGCCTGAGTGTTTCGTTCATGACCATGTTAAACGAGACTGTACCTCGGTCACTACTTCCAATCTCCAATATCTTTTTCACGAGCTAGAATAATCCAACTGATTTCGTTGAGCTCAATTGTTTTTCTTTCAGTTCGGTTATAGGTATTGGATATTGGATATTGGATACGTTCACCGATATCAGCTAAGATCTAAGTCTCATAAATACATAGATAAAAGTGACATCCTCCATGGTGCTCAACACGGGTTTAGGAAAGTTTCGTTCTGCGCATCCAACCTCCTCATAGTATGCAAAACTTTGACAACCTGTAGGTGCTAAAAAATCCGTGGACACATTGTATAAATGGATTTCTACCGTAGCGGTTCAAATGGTTCCAATAAGTGCAATTTGTACGCGTATCTCCCAGTCCAAGGTCCAAAAAACGCAACAATTCTAGGAGAAAACGGTCTATATTAATTAAAAGATGGAAATACAAAGCATTACCTGGAATTGATGCACTTTCCAGGTCGCAATTACTCCGAAGAGTATCCAAAACAAAGGGGAATAAGTGACGTTAAGTCCAACCGCCACCGTATCAATCCAAATATGGCTGTGGCCATATTAAAGATCAAATTTTAACAACATATACAGTTCAGAAGCAAACATAAAAACTTCAATATAAGTACAAAATATAGAAATAATCACAATATACAATGATAAATTCTCAAATTGGAATCAAATAAAATACCAAAAATGTCAACAGAAAAAGTCCGTCATGTCATAACAAAAATATATAAACATGGAGGGATTTTCCAAAAAACAAAACATTCGAAAAGGATTCTACACCGGCCCGCAAAATCCCTCCATGCAAAAAGAGCAAGCGTTAATGACACTTCTATTTAGGGTTCCCACTCATCCCCTAATCCACACCGGAAGTACGTGTAGGACTTACAGCAGTACGCCTACCCGCCCTCCAACATGGATATGACCTATCATGCTAACTAGGTACCTATACCTTCCCATCAGGCCCTTGATTCCTCTATCTATCGTAGCATGACCTAACGGTAGTATAAACCTTACCCAATTAACCCACACGAACATGTACAACACGTCGTAAAACTGGTCATATCCTATCCGGGAACTACATTCCCTATCATGTGGACGAGTCGCCAATCCACCACCACTTGCTCCGATCAGCAGATACAATTAAGTCCGCGATGCTGACTTATCAACAGAAATTCTTGACCCATAGATAATATGCAAGGGTGGGATCTCCAATTTTGACATTTCATCGTCTCCAGAAGACCTTAAGTAGCATAACATGGGATCAATATTTATCTCTCCATCTCCTGATACAGAGGAGGTTTGATCAGCATTCGTCATCGTCGGTAACTCATTTGTCACATCAGTGATATCCAGATTATTATCAACGTCATCATGATTCCGTTCTGTCAGACAAGTCGCGTCGATTCGGTCTGCACTAGCATCCGTAGAGTGGAACTCTTCCATTTTTGTATAACTCATATCACTACATGAAAGAACAGCATTAGTATCGCAATTCGAAACTGCTAAACTCACTTGTTGTTCTTCATGTTCCGTTTCAGAGACACAGGACATATGCTCATCAATAGCATCATTATCATGCAACACTGTAGATTGGTTGTTACCATCAGACGCTTCCTTCTTATCATCACTTGACTGACGGTCAACCGAAATAGGGACACTTACAGTTACACAGCCTTGTGTATCCTCAATCAACTTAACGTTCGCGACAAGGTCCGATGACGTCGAAACACTAGAAGGCTCGTTCGATGAAGTTGATCGACTAGTCACTATGAGTGGACTGCTCACACTTTCTGTCTCTTTACTATCGCTGTCACTACTAAGACTCTGATGACTACTATTTCCATTGCTAGTCATAGCATCCGAAAGAGAATGAGGTTTAGGCTTCTTAATAATAGTAGCATCATCTTATTTCCTAGGCTTCTTAGCCTTTACAGTACCGCCATCACTTATCCTAGAATCTACTCTAGGTCCAGTTATATAATTTACCCTAAGTGAAGGGTTCCGAACATAGGCTTTATTCCGTCCAGACAATCCTGCCTGGGCCTTATTCATATTTACTGAACTCATTAACCTCTGTTTACTCGAATCCAAATAACCGTTCTTGGCTTTTCGAGCAGTTAAGAGGCTTTTATCATCACACACTTCGGATCCATCTTGATGCCTACACTTTTCACCTTTTTCTTTCCTTTCCATACTTAAAAAAGCCATCTTATCTGTTACACCAACCGGCTTCTTACTAGGATACGCATCAAGAGGTTTTACATCGTTACGGTCACATACTCGTCCTTCATCAGCGTATGCTTTCGTGATATAATTGACAACTCTCTTACCTTCCGGGCGTGCGTTAGATAGAAACGAAGAATCCTCATGTCTCGCACGCAGACCACTAGTAGCTTCCGTATTATGTCCTGTTTTAGCCCGATAAGCTAATCTTCCGAACCTACTACTAGCAATCTTAGCACGAGACATAATAAATTCCGTCAACTCATTGAAATTAGGCTCTCTCTCCTCTTCGTCCCACTTGATTCCCAGCTCTGCCCACTGGGCTTGCATTCGACGAGGTAAGAGCCTGACTATTCGTTCTAAAGTAACCAAGGAATGAAGTTCCGTTGTACAATTTAGCTGTTCTAAGGTTAAAGCAGCATTCTGCATTTTAATAGCCAAATTCGTCAATTCCTCAGGATCATTAAAATCTGCGTTCCCAGTTCTAAATAAGTCCTCTAAGGTTTCCCGGGCTATTACATGCGACTGTCCAAAGAGCTGTTTTAAGATGGCCGTAGCTCTCTTATATTCCGCTTGTGGATCCATTATAATACAACCTTCAATCGCATTTTTGCCCTTCCTTTACAATAGTGAATTAAATACAATAATCGCAAATTTTCATCTTTTACTCTTGGTTCTATAAACGTTTCAATTTGGCGCATAAATCTAAAGTAGTCGCGAGACTTTCCATCAAAAAATGAAAGTTCGACCTTAGGTAGTTCTAAGCCTACTATCGGTGTCCTAAGCATCTGATCCGTCTCTGGTACCTTAGAACTCTCACTTAATCCTGGTTCCTTAATGCCTGCCAAAGGTGACTTACAATAATAAGTATCAGACATAACATCGTTATTAATAAAGTGGTTACCCGTTAAACAAGTATCATTAACGACTTGCCTAGCGTTTCGGGGTCCTTCAAGCTCTTCCACCCTCCTCGTGTTTGTTTTCTTGTGGTGGATCATTTTTAAGTGAAGTTCAACGGAAGACAAATAACAAATACAAAATATAGGAATTCCACAAGTAAGTTTTCAATAACAGATATCCAAAATCAGAAAATCCTTCTCCAAAATACAGTTCGAATACAAAATACGATAAGTAATCCAAGATTCTTCTTTCAAGAAGATTAGTGTTATAAACGATCAAATTTCCAAATGTTTCTTTATTCTTCTTAATAATCCGACTGTAATTGGTCTTCTAATCAAAAGTCGAGCCACAATTCCAGACTATAAATGGATTTCTACCGTAGCGGTTCAAATGGTTCCAATAAGTGCAATTTGTACGCGTATCTCCCAGTCCAAGGTCCAAAAAACGCAACAATTCTAGGAGAAAACGGTCTATATTAATTAAAAGATGGAAATACAAAGCATTACCTGGAATTGATGCACTTTCCAGGTCGCAATTACTCCGAAGAGTATCCAAAACAAAGGGGAATAAGTGACGTTAAGTCCAACCGCCACCGTATCAATCCAAATATGGCTGTGGCCATATTAAAGATCAAATTTTAACAACATATACAGTTCAGAAGCAAACATAAAAACTTCAATATAAGTACAAAATATAGAAATAATCACAATATACAATGATAAATTCTCAAATTGGAATCAAATAAAATACCAAAAATGTCAACAGAAAAAGTCCGTCATGTCATAACAAAAATATATAAACATGGAGGGATTTTCCAAAAAACAAAACATTCAAAAAGGATTCTACACTTTGTAACATGTATTCATCATTATAGGCATTGAAAGATACGTTCAAAGCACTTTGTTCGCATTTGGATTTCTTATTGCAAACCACTAGCAATCTTCCATGCTTACATATATTTTATTTAAAAAAAATAGGCTGAAGTATTTTTAATGTCCGTGTATGTGTTTAGTCTAAAAAATTCGAAAAAATCTTTTTCATGTTATCTCTATCTCTGTCAGTATATATACGCATATACGCAATTTTACATTTTTGTACACTTTGCTCGCTTACATAATCATGGGTGTAGTATGACATCCCTCTACATTTACTTTTTACTTTTCCGGGACGACCGGAAAAGACGAAAGGCAGAAACTGAACACGAGGAACTGACTTTACCAATGCACATTGTTTGTAACTTATTATAATGTGCCACGTAGTTCCTTAGAATAGGAAAAGACGGTTAGACGCTGCTGGCAAAGCAAGCCATTTTGCGTTTAAACTTTTGCCGATCACATTGTAGACGCAGAAGTGAGCTTACCAGGCATGACACTCTTCCGAAGCGATAGGGAACACCAAACTGGAGTGTCGATATATATATATATATATATATATATATATATATATATAGCAACTTAACAGCAGAGCGACTATACGACAGAATCATGTTGGTGTTGTTTCCACTAGAATGGCACGAAATACTTGATTGGAGGGATCTACCGACCTCCTTCGGGTACTAGGGCCCAGAAAAGCAAACTCATTGAGGTAACACTGCAACTGCCATTCCTAGGATTTGATCAAATACTCTTAGCCGGAGACTTCAATACCCCATCTTTAAATCTCAGCAATCAGAGTATCACTCCCACTGGTTGGTTCCAAAGACAACTTGGTACAGCCACTAGAAGCTCTGGGCTGACTGAGCACGTACGCAGCGCCACTAGGTGGACTAAGGAAGGGAAGTCCTCAAACCTAGGTTATCTGTTAACGAACGACCAGCTCCTGGTGGAGGATGTTCACATCCGCGCTCCAATAGGTAGTAGTGACCATGGAACAGTCCTGTTTAACATGGTCACAAACGAAAGGCTGACACCGGACGATAACGAGCCTTACCTTTGCTACAGTAGTGCAAACTACACACGCATGAGGGAGGTGCTCCTACATCCCCCATGGCCACGGGAGTGGTGGAGGCTGACAGTAGAAGATCACTGGCAAGCAGTGAGAGATATCATCCAAAACGCTGTCGTAGACAATGTACCTAAATCACACCCAAAACGCCAGGACAGAAGAACCTGGGTTAGGCGCGGCACGGAACGCTTGCTACAGGCGAAGAGGAAAGCCTGGCACAAGTGGAAGGTCTCCTTGAAGGATTCCGATCGCAGTTCTTACTTGGCATTGAGAAACAGATGCAATACCAAAGTTCGAAGCGACAGGAGACAATTCCAGACGAAACTAGCCACCAGAATAGAGGCAAACCCGAAACATCTGTTTAGGTTCATATCCAAACGAAAACCTACTAATCAAGGGTTGTGTCCCCTAAAAGGGCCTAACGGAGAAGACCTCACCAACCTAGAGATGGCCGAGATCTTCACCACCTTTGCTGATCAATTAAACCAGGCACCTACATGTTCAGAGTATTACGCCAACCCAATGCCGGCTGACGGCTTAGGGAACATCCGTATCACTCCTGACCTAGTATTAAGGAAACTAAAATCCTTACGCCCAGGTAAGTCACCAGGTTGTGACAAAATCCGCCCTGTAGTCTTGCAACAGTGCGCTGAAGCCCTCTGTTCACCGTTATGCAACCTGTTCAGGCATTCAATGGAGTCACACAAATTCCCAGCGGAATGGAAACAAGCTACTCTCTCTCCAATCTTCAAAGGAGGAGATAGAAAGGACCCAGCCTGTTACAGACCAGTCACACTACTACCTATATTATCAAAGGTTATGGAAGGACTAGTGGACGAACAAATGAAGGAGTACATGGATAAGAATAAAATACTCCATGAAGCTCAACACGGGTTTCGGAAAGGCAGGTCGTGTGCATCTAATCTTCTCATCGCATGGGACAGTTGGACATCCTGCTTAGACCGTAAAATATCAGTGCACGTAGTATTTCTCGACTTCGCAAAAGCCTTTGATACAGTGCCCCACGCACGCCTAATCGAAAAGGTTGTGGAAATGGGCTTCACTGACCCACTCGTATCTTGGCTCAGAAACTACCTTGAGAATAGAAAGTTTCGCACCAAGGTAAACAGGGTGCACGCGAGTTGGAGAATATCCACTTCAGGAGTTTCACAGGGGACCATCCTAGGCCCACTCCTCTTCCTGATATTTATTAACGACCTGCTAGGCTTTGTTAGCTCACCGGCACTGATCTACACAGACGATGCGAAGATCTGGAGGTCCATTAGAAGCGAAGAGGATTCGACTGAGCTTCAAAAGGACCTTACATCCATTGAGAAATGGGCAGTGAAAAACGGTTTAAAACTCAACCAACCGAAGTGCCACGTCATGCATTTCCTGCCTCATATGACGCAAACCACCTACACTCTCAGTGGAAGTCCGCTCCCTAATGTCTCCTCAGAGCGCGATCTTGGTTTAATAACCACAGAAAGCCTCCACACGAGTCAAAACTATGTAGGGGATGCAGCCAAGGCAAATGCGACTCTTCACTTTATGCGAAGACATCTTGGTGCTATCACTCCGAAATTATTCTTAATCCTGTTTAAGACGTACGCGCGCCCACACTTGGAGGTTCACAACGTCATCGCACCCCGTCTGCTTAAAAGAGACATTAATCTCTTCGATCGAGTGCAGAGTCGAGCAACCAAATGGGTGATAGGGTTGAAAAATAAACCGTTCGACGATAGACTCCAGCTCTTGGGATTATTCCCACTGAGCTACAGGAGAATCAGAGGTGACCTGATTATGGCGTACACACCGAAAGAACAAGAATCGAGTGCGAAGAAATCAAATTGGTTTACACTAGCTCGTGAAAAAGATATTGGATATTGGATCACGTCTTCAGGCCATCACTACCCCACTAAGAGGGAGTTAGCTATAGCTGTATATAAATCCCCAAAATAACTGTTTCTGTGCGTCTCAATATTAATGCGGATCTCATTGGTTTTAATAGATACGTCACACCTGAATTCAGTTGGTCAAGCATCGCCACCAGATAATCGTGGGGTATTCAGTGTGACTAGATTCCTCACATCAACTAGCAAGCCCCGTTCACCGATCTTTCAACTTTCTAATCATCGTTCGAATATGCCTTTAATCCTTCTCATTCTTGACTTCTAGCCAGACCTGGTTTCAGGTATCCTCGATCTGAAGGGAGTTACAAACAAAACCGCTCTTAAAATCCGACTATCCGTGACCTCCTCCACCATTTGATATCTCTCCATTTGTCCTTTCCTCAATACTAGGAAGTTATTTTCATTATTTTCTACGCTAATACTTAACATTTCGTTTTCTAATGTGATGTCTGTAAATATCTAGAAGCTTTACTACCCAAAGACAAACGCACCAACTCAAATAAAAATATAGGAAAATAACTAGCTAAACTACTAGAATTAGCCAAGTTTTGGACGTTGTAGAATACTTTGGACCACACTGAAACAATAATTAACGAGCGCAAAGAGATCTATCTGTATGCTCTACTTTTTCACGAGGGCATTGGATATTGTATAATTGTAAACCGCGATTCTTGAGCAGTTCGCTGCGTACGTTTGTTGAGGTAATTCGTCATTTTATGCCGTAGTGTCTTTTAAGTAGTGACTGAATCTAATATTATTTGCACTGAATATAGAAATTGTTTTTCGCTTTAGATCATGCGTTTGTGGTATTGTTTTTGAACTCTATCCTCGGTAAATACAGGAGATATTGGCGATACAGGAGGTAGCTTGAAGAGAAGAGTGTATAAACACTCACCTATAGATTGATTTCTCCTGCTTCGGCTGTAATGCACGTCTCGTAACTTATCGATCGTCACTATTATAACAACAGGCCTATATACATTATCAGGATCGAATGCTATCACTATGTACTGCATCCATTTGCCTGTTTTTCAAATATTTTTCTTCACTTATACTGCACTTTGGATTGATTTATCTACTTAGCTTTTAAAACAGTCGTTCACTTTTAGCTTCCGAGCTCTCATACTTCATTTTCCTCATAATAACTGGCCGATCTTTGCGATAGCTTGATGTCTATTCCTACTGAGGATCCACACAGAGAGGTTAAAAAACGCTTATTCCAAACCAGTAATGCACATCGGCTTCAGGGTCTAGCGAGGGGGGGGCAATGATGGATGCACCTATTGTTGGCAACTGGCTTCCATGGAGTTGCATCGCCTAATGTTCCTTCAGTGCCTTGTGAATTAGACCTAAATATTCAAGGTCTCGGTACTTCCGCCTTTTATCTCCAACGGAGCATAGGCCGCCAACCAGTATTCTCTAACCTACTTTGTGCTGGGCCTCCCTTTCTAGTCATATACAATTATCATTCATTCTTTTTTGTATGCTTCCGATTCATGGCGTAATGTGTTGTTCGGTCTTCCTCATTTACTTTGGCTTTGAGGGTTCCAGGTGAGGGCTTGTTTTGTGACGCGTTTGGGTGATTTTCTCAATGCGTGTCCCATCCACCTCCTACGCATCTTCCTGATTTCTTCCACTGGGATCTGGTCTTTTCTCTCTCACAATAGGTTGTTATTGATGGTGTCTGTCCGACGGATCCAAAGTATTTTGCGTAGACAACTCTAAATAGACAAATGTATCTTCTGGATGATGGCTTTGGTAGTTCTCCAAGTTTCCGCCCCATACAGTAAAACCGTCTTAATATTTGTAATAAATTTTGTGACTTAGATGTTAGTTGATAGTCGCTTTGAGTTTCACACATTCTTCAATTGAAAAAATGCAGCCCTTGCTTTCCTGTTCCGCGCCTTCACATCTGCATCAGATCCACCTTGTTCATCAATGTTACTACCTAGGTATGTAAGGGTTTCTACATCCTCCAAGGGATCTCCGTCAAGTGTTATTTGGTTGTTGCATGTTGTGTCGTATCGGAGGATCTTGCCTTTTCTTTTGTGTATGTTGAGGTCTGCTGCTGTTAAACTGGTCGTATTCCCTTGCATTTATTGTTGCATGTGTGACAGAAGAGCCAGATCATCTACAAAGTTCAAGTCGTCCAGCTGCATCCTAGTTGTCCACTGTATACTGTGCTTCCTTCCAGATGTTGACGTCCTCATAGTCCAGTCGATTACTAGGAGAAAGAGAAAGGATGAGAGTAAGAAACCTTGTCTGACACCGGTCTTCACGTCGAACGACTCTATCAGCTGTCCTCCGTGCACGATTTTGCAGTTTAATTCATCATAAGAATTCCATGTGACTTTGACTATCTCCTTAGGCACGCCATCGGATCGAAGATTACTCCATAGTGTTATCCTTTCTCCTAGTCAATGAAAGTGATGTAGTATGGTGATATCCATTCAGTTGATTGCTCCACAGTGATTCGTAATGTTGCAGTTCGGTCGTTACACAATCGATCCTTAAGAAATCCAGCCTGTTGGTCTCGAAGTCGGGCTTCTACGAAGTCCTTCACCCTGTTTAACAATACCCTGTTGAAGACTTTGCCTTGTATTGAAAGAAGAGTGATGCCTCTTTAGTTCTCGTACTTGCCGAGATTGCCTTCCTGAGGTATCCTTCTTTCCAATCTGATGGTACTTGTTCCTCATCCCAAATCTTGTTGAAGAGAATGTGAAATACTTTTGCAGTTGCTTCCACTGCTTTGCCGCTCTTGATTTGTCGAATGACCATGCTCATCTGTTCAATTGTTGGTGGGACAACATTGATTGGGATGTCCGTGGATGCTGCTTCGATATTGGGTGGATTTAGTGGGGCTGGTCGATTGAATAGTTTTCAAAATGCTCTAATCCCCCTATTTCTCCGTCCTTCAATGTTGGTGATGACTTCGCCTCCCTTGCTTTCCTTTGGTCGTTCTGGTTTACAATAGTTTTCAGCGAGCTTCTTTGTTGTATTGTACAATTGTCTCAAGTTTCCTCCTCTTGCAGCCTTTTCCGCCAGGCAAGTCGATTGGAGAACAATGGAACTAAAAGCAGTTACCCAAGGTCTAAGATCGAAGTCGTACTGTTGACTGCAGAGGAGTGTGACAGTAGTAAGGTGTTTCCCTCGGACAACCAGCATCTGCTGCGATGCTGCCTTCTCACAAGGAAGGAAGGGTTAGAAGAGGTCGACCCTAAAAATGTCATACCTCAATACTCAAAAAACCTTTAGTAGAAAGGCCGTGCGTGACCTGCCTGAAGCAGTTTCCCCTTGGGCTCTGCGGTCACGCTCCCAAGACCAACACTAATCTATCTTCCTTTTCATGTCCCTCAAAAAACAACCTTCCACGGTGTGGGCAGCCGAAAAGTCGACAACCACCCTCATACCCATGAAAGCAGACGAGACCAAATCGATCACAATCAAATCCTTCCTACAACTCCTAATAACCCTCTTTTGTCCACGACCAACCCTTCTCTCGTTCCTTTGTAATGGTTGGCATGTGTGTTACAAATGTCCAACCACCGATTGCCTCGACGAGCGATATTTTGTATCGGGTTAGGCTGTATAGACATCTAGGGGCGGCCAAACTAAAACATGGCGGAAATTCATGAAGTCGCTGACAACTGGACTGAGCCATGTTGGTGAGTGTAGTAGACTACCTGGTTGGGGTCCGTAAGGTGATAGTAATCGATGGTTAGAGACCTTGAATGATATGGCTCAACATCGTTTGCAATGGTGCAGGTGCATCCATTGTCTGTCTTCTGTCAAATTCTAATTCCCCCCAATTCCTCATCACCTTTATTTTTTTCTTTCTAAGTTTATTTTACAAGGTACTAGTTGATCTATTGTGTCTCTCATTTCAATTTTTACTCTCCGTAAGCTAATATTGAAGTATGCTAACTAAGACCAATGCAAGTTCATCCCTCATTCGACGTTATCGTTAACTAACCGAATAACTGAAATATATATTATCATGTATAAATTTTCGGATGACGAAAATTTTGTGATATTCTTGTTTGATCGTCACATGACATGCGAACTATGATCTTGCCAAAGTATCCAAAATGAATTAGGGGCTTGTAGAAAATTGTTGAATGAATAGTACTGAATATTAGATGAACTGTAACGATATGGTATGAGTGAATGAATGATACATGCCTACGAAGCAAGATCATTGACCGAAACATCGTCATAAACTAATTTCCAAGACAAGAATAATGCTTGCAAGAATAGGCTCTTTTATGTAATAGAATATGTAATATATTTGTGTACAAGGTGTTAACAGAAATAAACATGATTCAATGTCATAAGCTACTAACGAATATCAGCGTTTTAAATCAATCATTCGTTAATAAATTAACACCTATTTGTTTGACCTAATGCTTGGTCATCATACTTGCTACTAGTGTGGAAGTTATGTTGTTTGGAGAAATGCTACTCATGCATCTTAAGCTATTTCTGTGTACTGCTTCAATTTTTCGTGAGGTTCTGTGGTAGTGTCTGTGATTAAAAGATGTACCAAAGATGTACATTAACCTTATACAAGCTCTCTACTCGAACATCACTGGTCGGGTGAGAGCCTATGGTGAACTGTCATCGGAAGTCTTCACTTCAAGTGGTGTCCGTCAGGGATGTCCACTCTCCCCATTCTTGTTTAACTTTTCCATAGACATGCTTCTAGATATAACATTATCTTCGTCTGAATTTTACAGGAGTAGACCTTCTACCAGAAGATTCATTGGTTGGCTTAGAATATGCCAATGACATAGTTGTACTTGGCCTGGTGACCGACGAAGTTTCAGCGCGGATACAGAAGGCTTGATTGGCTTTCACCAACTTGCGTCAATTATGATGTAGGCGAGATATCCGTTTGCTAACCAAAGGACGAGTGTACTGCACAGCAGTTCGCTCTGTCCTGTTTTATGACTGGAAACATGGCCAGCAAGAGTAGAAGATATTCGTAGGTTACTGGTTTTCGATCATAGGTATCCTCGAAGCATTGCTCGTGTATCATACGTATGCACATCCACCGACTGCCTCGACGAGCTATGCTTTGCGATATAGGAATAGGTTGTAAGATAGCTAGGGGCTACCAAATCAAAACATGGCAGAAATCCATGAAGTCAGTGACAAGTGGACTGAGTCATGTTGGTAGATGTAGGCTATCTGGTTACGGTCCGCGAGATGATAATAATCGATGGTTAGACACCCTCAATGACATGGCTCAAAACCGTTTGCAATGATAAAGGTGCATCCATTCTTTCTTGATTCCTCTCATTTTCTCACTGAATCATACTTGAATAGTATCTTCTAATCCTAACCTCTCCGATTACTTCTAATTCCCTTACTACCTCTTCTACTATTGGATTTGAATTGACGATTACTTCTCTGTGCTGATGTGGTATGGCAACATGAACTGATGTACTTATGTACAAAGTTCTACGTTGCATCTGACTGACTGACTGACTGATTCCTCTCAAACCCTGATCTTTTAAATTTATCATAACCGTTTTTTCTCTTTTTTTTAACTGACTCCTCTGTGGTGTCCATCTCGAATGATTGTTGCTAATATTTCTACTACTATGGGGTTGGAATTGATAATTCTATATGTGTGTGCTAATGTGGTGTAGCAGTCAGTCAGTCAGTTGCAACGTAGAACTTCGTACGTAAGTACATCAGTTCATGTTGCCATACCACATCAGCACAGAGATGTAATTGTCAATTCAAATCCAATAGTAGAAGAGGTAGTAAAGGTATTAGTAGTAATCAGAGAGGTTAGGATTAGAAGATATTATTCAAGAAGTATGATTCAGTGAGATAAGTTTAGAAAGTCAAAAGTAGAGGTGTTGAAGAATCCAGAAGATTAGGATTTGAGAGAACACAAAGAGTAAATGCACCTGCGCCATTGCAAACGATTTTGAGCCATGTCGTTCAAGGTCTCTAACCATCGATTATTATCATTTCGCGCACCCCAATCAGGTAGTCGACAATTACTGACATGGCTAATTCCACTCGTCAATGACTTCATAGATTTCTGCCATGTTTTGGTTTGGCCGCCCCTAACTTTCTTCCAACCTACTCCTACACTACAAAGCGAAGTTCGACGAGGCAGTCGGTGGTTGGGCATACGCAACACATGTTCCAACCACCTCAACTGATGAAGTTTCAACACTTCATCTATTGATCTGCCATTCTTACCTAGCACCCGTGTCCTAATAACAGCGTTGCTCACTGGGGTGTCCCACGATATACGAGCAATACTTCGAAGACACCTATGATCGAAAACCAGTAACCTACGAATATCTTCTACTCTCACTGGCCATGTTTCACAGCCATAAAGTAAGACGGAGCGAACCACTGCGCAGTACACTCGTCCTTTAGTCAGCAAACGGATATATCACCTACGCCATAAGTGACGCAGGTTGGCAAAAGCCAATCGAGCCTTCTGTATCCGTGCCGAGATTTCGTCAGTCACCAGGCCATCGGCACTGATCAGACTCCCAAGATAGGTGAAGCGGTCTACACGTTCGACCACTTCACTCCCTATCACTAGTTCAGGTGCCGATACAACCCAATCTTGAAGCAACATTTTGCATTTCGAGGGGGAAAACCGCATCCCGAACATGCTCGCATTGTTGCTTAGGGTAGTCAGAAGACTGTATTTTGTCAGCGTCTTCACCAAGTAGGACAATGTCATCGGCATATTCTAAGTTAATAAGCGAGCCACCTGGTAAAAGGTCTACTCCAGAAAATTCAGACGAGGATAAGGTTATTTCTAGGAGCATGTCTATGATAAAATTAAACAAGAATGGAGAAAGTGGACATCCCTGACGGACACCACTTGAAGTAAAGAATTCAGATGACAGTTCACTATAAGCTCTCACTCAACTAGTGGTGTTCGAGTAGAGAGCTTGTATAAGGTTAATGTACTTCTTTGGTACACCTTTCAATGACAGACACTGCCACAGAACCTCACAATGCACTGAGTTATATGCCGCCTTAAGGTCCAGGAAAACAACTATTGTAGGACGCTTAAGTGTGTGTTTATGTTCCAGGACCTGTCGTAGTGTGAAGATAAGGTCTACACAACCACATCCAGGTCGAAAATCAGATTGGTTTTCTCGAGTTTGCTCTTCACGAGCTTTCGTTAAGCGTCGAAGTATTATTGAGGCCAATATTTTCAGATAGTAGATTAGTTAGACTTATTCCCCTGTGATTGTGGTATAGCAACTTGAACTGATGTACTTACGTACGTACGTACGCACGCACGAAGTTCTACGTTGCAACTAACTGACTCATTGACTAGTCGGTTTTCACTATACTATCAAACTACTATTGAATGAATATTACACTATCCTCATATCTGTCTACCTTTTTTGAAACTACCTTTTTTTCTCTTGCTTATAGGTACCTTTTCATTAGAGTTACAATGGATTCCAGAGATGAAGTTGTCTTAGCTTTAACCGATGATATGGATACTACTACAGCATCAACAACAAATGGACCACATAGTCCATCAACACGACGTATAGCTATGATTGGTCATTTCACTTTTCGTTCATTAGCTTTAATTATTTATCTATTGTGTGCATGGTTTACAACATCATTTGTCGTTCCATTTATATTCATCCTCGTGTGTTTATCACTTGATTTTTGGATTGTAAAAAATATTTCTGGACGTATTCTAGTTGGTTTACGTTGGTCAAGTTATACAGACGACAATGGTATAGCACATTGGCGATATGATGCACGTAAACTGTCAGCGATTGATTCCGCAGATGTATCGACTTTAAGTCGACGTGAATTAGCTGCTCGTATGACTAGACAACACTTATCTCGTTTATTTTGGATTGGTCTCATTGTTAGTCCAGCAATATGGTTTATATTCTTTTTAGTGTCATTATTTTCACTGCATATACGTTGGGCATTTGTATGCGCTATTGCATTGTGTATGAATTTGGCTAATGTTTATGGGTATCTTCGTTGTTGGATGACTAATATGGATGGAAGTAATAATACTAGTAATACATTAAATATTTTGACAATGCTTAAATCTACCGCTACAAGTTCAATGTTCACGAAATTATCATCGTTATTTCAAACAACATCTAGTATGAAAAAAAACTTATCCACAACTAGCAACAGTAGTAGTAGTAGCAGTGGTCTACCATTAGTTGCCTAACCCTAACAAACAAACAAATCTCTGCCACATTGCTCTATACATAGTGTAAAATACAAACAAAACTAACTAACTGAAATTCAATTTTTTTCAATTATTTCTTACTGTGATAATTTAATTTGAACATTGAACATTCTGATTGTACTTGTTGTGGTTCTTTTATCTGTCACATGCCCCCCAAATTGGTGGTCACTTTATTTAAAGTGTCACAATCTGATGTCAGACAATTAGGCAGATAAATAGATAAGATAGATAGGTAGGTGCACTTGACAAAAGAAAACGGGGGAAATATGCTTTTTTCTATCGTTTTTTAACATTGTTCCTAACAATATAAATAATTTTTCTATTGATTGGTTGCAATCTGTGTATTCAATTCAATTCTTTCTTCCTCCTTTCTCCTTTTTTCATTTATCATGATGTCTGTCATTGATTGATTGTATTTTTATCTTAAATTACTAATATTAATTGAGCGAAAAATAAACAAACTATGTTTTATGTTTTATGCATAATTTTGAACAATAATTCACTCTGTCCTACTATTTTTACGGATAAGAAATATGGCCCGTTAAAGCAGTAGAGAGGACTTTTGGTAGGTAGGTTACACTAGTCTTTGGTCATTAGTGTCTCCGAAGCATCATTGCTCGCGTATTCTTGGACGACTGAGTAAGTAATGTTGTCGTTAGGAAATGAGTTCTAGGTAGGGATGGGGAATCAATAGATGAAGTAGTGAAAGTTCATCAGTTGAGGTGGTGGGGACATGTGTGTTACGTATAGCTAACCACCGATTGCCTCGTCGAGCTATGTTTTGTAGTGTAGGAGTAGATTGGAAGAAAGCTAGGGGTGGCCAAACCAAAATATGGCACAAATCTATGAAATCACTGACAAGTGGACTGAGTCATGTTGGTAGGTGTAGGCTACCTGGTTGGGGTCCGCGAAACAAAAGTCACCAACGGTTAGAGACCTTGAACGACATGGCTCAAAATCGTTTGTAATGATGCAGATGCATCCACTTTTTGTGTTCTATGAAATTCTAACCTTCTGAATTCCTCATAATCTCTACCTTTCTCCTTCTAAATTTATCTCATTGAATTATACTTTCCGAGTGTTATTTTCGCTCCCTAATCTTTTCCATTACTGCTAATACTTCTACTATCGCTATCACTGTTGGATTTGAACTGACAGTTGCATCTCTGTGCTGACGTGGTATGGCAACCTGAACTGATGTATACTTATGTACGAAGTTCTGCGTTGTATCTGTCTGTCTGTCTTATTATGCATAACTTTTACAAGTTTGCATAGTTTTCCTTGTTTATTTTTTTCAAAGTATTTGTGTGTTTCCTCATTGCCTGTCCTGAACCCAATGCTATTTTGGCGGGGGTTTGCAGTTTGAATCTCAATAAACCTATGTCAAATTGGAGAAAAACTGGAAAAGAAATGATTTTTCAATTAGAGTTATGGAGATTAGCGTTTGTTGTATATTTACACACGCACACACACCATTAGGAACCTGGAAGTACTGACTGGCGTCTGTTTCGTCCTGATGGCAGTGTGCATCCACGACTCCTGTACCTGGCAAGATTCGAACCTTCGGTCTTGCACGTGAACGCCTAACCTCTAGATCACTGTGTTAAAAAAACACTAATCTCTAGAACTCTAACTGAAAAAAATCGTGAAATGTGCTCACTAGTAACTAGCGTCGTAAGCGAAATTCTCGGAATTCTAGTGAGAAGATGTGACCAGTGGAGTTCACCTTTGTCTGGTGTAGGCAGTAACTACCAAAGATAATTGAGTGAAGTGGCGCCAAGTCTGTGGATTAATACCGTCTGTTGAGTTGAAGTCATGTTGATAGGTGAGAATTATTTGGTTAAAACCTGAGCGATACTTGTTAGTCAGCTATAATGTAGAACTTCGAACGTGTACGTACATCAGTTCCAGTTGTTATACTGCATCATCATACAGAGATGCGATTTTCAGTTCAAATCTCATAGCAGTAGAGATAGTGGAAGTATGAGCGGTAATGGAGAAGATTAAGGTTGGAAGATATTATTCAGAAACTGCAATACAGTGAAATAAACGTAAAAAGAGAAAGATAAAGGTGATGAAGAATCCAGAGGATTAGAATTTTAGAGGATACAAATAATAGATGCACCTGCGTCTTTGCAAACGGTTTTAAGTCATCTCATTCCAAGGTCTCTGTTACAAACGTACGTCAACACGTCGTCATATTGATATGCTTGAACTATTATGAGTTCACCTAAGTCAGTAAACGAGAGAGCGAAACAATGATCCAGTGACACGATTGGCTACTCTAATCCAATCGTCCCAAATCCCCATTGAATAGAAGAAGAAGAAGACTTGATATGAAGTAGAACATGTATTCTACAAGCATCCAGAAAATACCATGTCCGAGTCCAGAAGAGGCTAACGATCTGGGTCATAAAACGTTACAGAAACAAAATTGAAGTATGTGACATTGATAATTAGGACGACCAATAAGAACTGACCAATAGAATTAAACTTACAAATAATTCTCTTGGGATATTGGATGATAATTCTAAGTCTCTAACCAACGATTACTATAATCTCGCGGACTGCAACCAGGTAGTCGACATTTACCAAAATAACTCAGTTCACTAGTCATTGACTTCATGGATTTGTGCCATGTTTTGGCTTGGCCGCCATAGCTTTCTCCTAACCTATTCCTACACCGCAAAACATAGCTCATTGAGACAGTTGGTGGTTAGGCATACGCAAAACCTGTCTCAACCATCTTAACTGATGAAGTTTCACTACTTCATCTTTTGGTCTGCCACCCTAAACCAGTACCCTTTTCCTAACATTAGCATTGCTTACTCGATAGTCCTAAGATAAACGAGCAATGCTTCGAAGAATTCTATGATCGAAAACCAGCAACCTACGAATATTGTCTACTCTTAATGACCGTGTTTCACAATCATAAAGTAGGACAGAGCCAGCCGTTGCACAGTACACTCGTTCCTTGTTTAGCATGCCCTCACCATAAGGGATGGAAGTTGGCAAAAACCAACCGAGCGTTTTGTGTCCGTGCTGACGTTTCGTCAGTCACCAGGCCATCGAAACTGGTGAGACCCTCAAGATTTTAGATAGAGGTCAACGCGCACAATTACTTCACTCCCTATCACTAGTTCCAGTGCCGATGCAAGTTAATCCTAAAGCAGCATCTTACATTTCGAAAGGGAGAATCTCATCCCGAACATGCTCGCATTGTTATTAAGGCCGGTCAGAAGACTGCATTTTGTCAGCGTCTTCACTGTCATTGGCACATTGTAAGTCAACCAGCGAGTCTGCTGGTTGCGGGTACACGTCTGAAAAGTCAAACGAAGATATTGTTATCTCTAAAAGCATGTCTATGGCAAACTTAAACAAAAATGGGGAGAGTGGACATCCCTGACGGACACCACTTGAAGTGAAGACTTCCGATGACAGTTCACCATAAGATATCACTCGACCAGTGGTGTTCGAGTAGAGAGATTGTATCAGGTTAATGTACTTCTTTGGCATATCCTTTAATGACAGACACTGTCACAGAACCTCACGATCCGCAGAGTCAAATGCTGACTTAAGGTTGAGAAATACAACTACTGTCGGACGCCTCAATGTGTCTGTGTTATTTTAGTACCTGACGGAATGTGTTTATGATGTGTATACATCCACGTCCAGGTTTGAAACTAGTCTGGTTTTCTCTAGTTTGCTCTTCACGAGCTCTAGTTAGGCGTCGATCTATGAGTGAAGCTATATTAATTAAACTGATTCCTTTGTGGTTATTACAAGAGGACTTTTGTCCAAAACAAATGGCATATAAGTATAGTATTCCAACTCGTTTTTTAAACTTTTAACAGGGTTTTTTAAAATAACCACAGCGTTTTTTAAAATTTTTTTGAAAAAATAAAATAAGAACTACTTTTAATTAAAATCTTATTTAGCCATCGCTTTTAAACAATTGCGACGTACGTGTCTTGAATAATCTTGTAAATCATCCCTGGTTAATTGATTTACAGAATCTTTTTCAAAGTAATCTGAAGTCTATAAATTATCCTTCTTATATAGATTCAAGAGAAAGGCCTATAGAAAATATGTTTTCTATTTTTTCTCGAATTTCTACCATCGTTATTAACGGGTTTAATTCTATATCAATTCTTCAACAAAATTGATATATAATATCACCGCATATCTTCTTATATGATGGTTTTCCTGTTTTTTTCTTCTCAACTCGCGATTCCTTTTTATACAACCTTATAATATTTGTAGCGGCCTGATATATAGTTTACATCTGTAAGAAATGCCGCATCCTTGACGCTGTTGTTGTCCATCTTCAATAACTTTTTTATATAAGGCTTTTTCTTTTTTCATTCGAAATCAAGTTGTTTTTTCTATTTATATATTTCTGACATTCTAAGGATTATAAAAAATTTTAAAAAACACTGTGGTTATTTTAAAAAACGCTGTAAAAATTTAAAAAAATTTTTTTTGGTTATTTTAAAAAACCCTGTGAAAAGTTTTAAAAAACGAGTTGAAATACTATATATTATTGGTCACTGACTGACTATCACTGCCTTGTAGATTCGACCTTGAGGATTGGTCCCCTCTAAGAAAATCACCTAATTCGATTTTAACATCCAAACAGTATCCCCTAACCCTAACCGACAAAATTCAATGATATTTAGGTCTTCCTTCATATCAAGATTTGTGTGCTTCATCAAAATGATAAAATGAAATTCTTGAATTTTTTTTAAAAAAATGTTTATTTCTCATTATTTATATTTTGAAAAATGCTCATCATTAATTATGTTTGGCTTAGAAAGAAACATCAGTAGGATAATTGTACTGTACTGTACTGTCTCTCTCTTTCTATTGGTTTCAAGAATCAATGTGTAAAGCTTGTGCAAAACTGTTTGTTTGTGCGTGTGTGTGTGTGTGGTGTGACAATTGAACACATCGATGTAAGTGAAAAAATATACAAAAATACGTTGTATAATGCAAAAAATTGTAAAATATTTTTTTTAAAAAAAAGAACAGAAAAAGAAAATTAAGTCTATTATAACAAATCGACCATTCATATTGTTTGAATGTTCAATATAGACAAATAAAAATGCAATTGTAACATAGTGATTGAAATTCAATGTTCAATGTTGAAAAAGAAAAGAAAACACTTTGGGGAATTTTCATTTTATAAACTATCATTCATCATTATATTTTATATTTATAGTTTAATTTGATTTGTTTTTTTTCTGGCTGAGTTTTTTTTTAATCAGCTTGATAATTGGTGTTGTGCTGTTGTTCTTTCTATTTGTGTTGATATTTCAATCTAGGTAAAAGGTAGAGAAAATACAAATAATTTTGATAAGAATTGATTATATACACTTGATACTTGTTTTTCTTGTAATTAAGGTGAATTTGAAGAAGATTGTATTATTTTCATAATAGAGATCATGAACTCAGTCAGTCAGTCACAAGGTAGAACTTCGTACGTAAGTTCATCAGTTCAAGATACCATACCACAGCAGACTTCTCATAGTGGTAGATACAGTAGAATTATTAGCGCGGTAATGAAGAGGATTAAGGTTCGAAGAAATTATTCAAGAAGTCTAATCCAGTGAAATAAATTTAAAAAGAGAAAGATAAAGGTGATGAGTAATTCAGAAGATTAAGATTTGAGAGAATACATAGAATGGATGCACCTGAGCCATGTCATTCAAAATCTCTAATCATCGATTCCAATTTTCTTACGGAGACCAACCAGATAAGTAAGGTGAAGTGTGACATTTCAAGGGTTGACCTTTTCTAACCCTCTCCCTTCCTCTTGAGAAGGCAGCATCGCTCCAGATGCCGGTTGTCCTCGGTAAACAAACGTTCTGAATTGCTCATGACCGTTGTTTTCTCTTTTTTTTTAATTGATTCCTCTGGGATATTCTTCTGGAATGATATCTTTGAAACCAAAATCTTCATTACTACTAATGTGGTGCTGTGGTGCGAACTACTTATAAGTAGTATATAACGTGAGTGTCAACGTAAAGTCTGGTAGCATAATATGGGGGGAAGATCAAGAAAGGAAGAGTTAGAAAACAATGGAATTTGTATGAAACGCATGAATAGTGACAATCGATTGATGTTTGACAACAGGAACAGTCCAGTTCCATAGGATGAACTGATATTTTGCAAATTAACGATTTACGATATGGTTTTCCAATTTTACTGAGTAGCTCTGTAATTTTCATTCATTACAATTCGGTTGCCCCACCCTGTGTTCTCATTCATTACACTAATACTCCTCCTACTACCTCTACTACTATGGGATTTAAATTGGAAATTGCATCTGTCTGTGCTAATCGGGTATGGCAAATTGAACTGTTGTACCTACGCACCAAGTTGACCAAGCTGACTGACTACAGTTCCATGTTGGCCAATGGCCAAGATTTCGTTCATAAGACGAGATTTCCTTCAGAACGCAGGAGCCCACATGAGATCAGAGTTCTCCTATTTCTCTAAGTGGATCTTCTGTACTGGTTAGCTCAGTTTAAGCTCTAGTCAAGCAATTGCTTTTCTTCGTCTCAATTTCAGAGACAACACTCCGGCTATGGTAAGGCGATGAATGGGACTTCCTTAGTAGTAGTAGCAATATACATGTGACAACATTTTGTAGTTGAATAATAGACTTCGCACTGTGGGCTGTGCCAGAAGAGCATTATTAGAAGTCTGTAATTTAGTGTGATTGAGTAATTCAAGTGTATTTTATCTGTACTCTTTTATGTCAAGCCCGCAGAACTTGTCTAAGCCTTCAGACAAATTCACTAATCCATTCTGTCCGAGTCATCATCATTCTCTCGTCCATTGATCTTGTCACCCATTCGTTTTTATCTTAGTTGTTTCTATTCGTGTGTGTGTGTGTCTGTACACCGCTTACTTCGATCATTACATGTCTGGCTTACTTTGTCAGACTATAAAAATACTGAGTCATGCTTTATCGCATGGAATCGGCTCATCGACCTTCTCCACTTCACTTCACTTTACTTTCAAATTCTTCCTTCCCCTATCTGCCTACAATAACGATCACATGAAATAAACTTATCCGTTGTTGGCTTCTTATTACCGCGGTCGCACAAACAGGATTCGCATTTAGTATGATCTACTCAAGTATAAAATTTATACATTACTCTAGATTATCAAAGTAGAATATGTATTGATTTAAACTGTACGCTTGAACAATACTTCTTGAATTGAATCTTATTGTTTTATGATGTTTAGTTAAAAGTACACTTATAAATTTGTGGCATCAATCATGTAGCGCATCCAAGTGAAATTAAATTCCTAAGTTTTTGATTTGATTAATTTAAACAAATCATTCAAAAATCAATCATGGAATATGATACATTTCAGGAATAATAATAAATCGATAACATGTCAGTCAGATGCAACGTAGAACTTCATACGTAAGTACATCAGTTCATGTTGCCGTACAACATTAGCACAGAGATGTAGTTGTCAATTCAAATCCAATAGTAGTAGAGGTAGTGAAGGTATTAGAAGTAGTCGGAGAGGTTAGGATTAGAAGATATTATTCAAGAAGTATGATTCAGTGAGATTAGTTTAGAAGGTCAAAACTAGAAGTATTGAAGAATCGAGAAGATTAGGATTTGAGAGAACACAAAGCATAAATGCACCGGCGCCATTGCGAACGATTTTGAGCCATGTCATTCAAGGTCTCTAACCATCGATTATTATCATCTCGCGGACCTCAACCAGGTAGTCGACAATTACCGACATGGCTAAGTCCACTCGTCAATGACTTCATGGATTTCTGCCATGTTTTGATTTGGCCGCCCCTAATCAAAACATGGCAGAAATCGATAACATGAATTTAAAGACATATTGAACAATTTAAATTGTGAAGTAGTAAAATAAAAAAGGGTAAAATAATTAAAAGTAACATTTCTGATTAATTTATTCAGATCCAATCAAGATAGTTGAGCAAAGATTAGTTCAGCTTAATGACATTCTTAAATTAATAACATTTAACAAGACAGAAATATGAACTACCCAACAAAAAATATATGAACCTAATGTACCGGTTAGACTAATAGAATCATGAATCGATGAATGTTAGATCACTATTAGAAATCTAGAAGCACTCGACGGCCATTTCGTCCTAATTTGTGACTCATCAGCAGTGCGGATCAACGACATCCGCCTTACAGGAATCGAAATCAAGACCTTTGGTCTCATGCGCGAACGTTCAACCTCTAGAACACTGACGTAGTAGTATCCAACGGTTTTCATGTTTGACTGTGATCAATCCACGGTCTTGCGCCACCTCATCCACTATCTCTGGACAGTAGTACTGTTTCACATACAAACAGGGTTGACCTCTCTCACACTAGAACCGGAAGAAATTTCCTTACGAAGTCAATCACTAGTGAGCAATATAGAATTGTGAAGATTATTGAATTTCATCACCTTGAAATCATAAAATCGATCATTTTTTTAAGTTGTCATTAGAACTTTGAAACCACAGTCATCCCGTGATCATTTGATTATCGGTCATCGACGATCCTCTTTATATGAATGATAACATTTCTGGTATTATACGATGTATAAAATATGTACACTGACATTTACTGATTCATATATTCTCGGTTTTCTATCATACGTGTCCTCGAAGCATTGCGTAAGCAATGCTGTTGTTAGGAAATCGGATCCCCCTAGGTAAGGATGGCAGATCAATAGATGAAGTAGTGAAACTTCATCAGTTTAGGTGTTTGGGACATGTGTTACGAATGCCTAACCACCGTCTGAACCGTCAAGTTATGTTTTGTAGTGTAGGAGTAGGTCGGAAGAAAGCTAGTGGCGGCCAAACCAAAATATGGCAGAAATCCATGAAATCACTGACAAGTGGATTGAGTCATGTTGGTAAATGTAGACTACCTGGTTGCGGTCCGTGAGATAATAATAATCGATGATTAGAGACCTTGAATGACATAGCTCAAAATCGTTTGCAATGGCGTAGGTGCATTCATTATTTGCGTTATCTCAAATTCTAATCTTCTGAACTCCTCATCACCTCTATCTTATTGTTTTTAAGTTTCTTCCACAAGATTCTACTGCTTGAATAATATCCTCAAGCCCTCCCAATCTCTTTGCTGCTTTACGATTTAAATTGAAAATTCGATCTCTTTTTTGTGTCTAATGTGTTATGACAACATGAACTGATGTGTAAGTTCTAAGTTGCTATTGATTGATTGATTGATCGATATTCTCAGATTAGAAATCATCAAATCAAAATCCGAAATTTATCTTATTCCGCCATGTTTTTTGTTGTTCTCCTTCCTAGTCAAACACAAAATCAATTAGACAATTAAAACAAAACTCAACAAACTGAAATCACACAGCAAAACAAACAACTTACTTCAATCATGACTACTTCTGCCCTCTTCATCATCATTCCATTTCATCTCATCATACTGATTAGATAATTGAGTTTCATTGATTTGTAAAGCAGCTATTGCTGACAAATTCTTATTGATTATACTGTTGATGGAATGTTTCTCACTATTGTTCACAACATTGTCAATACAATTAATCCTAATAATATTATTGTAATTATTGATAGGTTGATCAGTTGATTGGTTGGAAGTGGTTGTAGTAGGAGTAGTAGAAGTAGTAGTATTAGTACTAGTAGGGAATTGATTGACATCATTTTGAAATCTAATATAATTATCGTTATTATTATTATTACTATTATTATTATCATTATGACCATTAATTCCAATTAAATAATTATAATTATCCAATAAAGTTTTAACACAATCAGGAAATACATTTGTTTTACTATTTACATATAAATTTTTTAACCAATTATAATTAATTTGTGTATAATGTGTATAATCTGTTAAATCAGATTGGCTTTGTTCTGGTAATAATAAAGAATGATTATTATTGTTATGATTATTATTATTGTCATAAATTTGATGATTTGATTGTATACTACTTAAATTAGTTTGAGTAGATGTTAATGGTAGTGTGGAATCAGTTAAACAAGTTGTTAAAAATTCTAATGCATTATTTGATGTAATTTGTTGTGTAAATTTATATGAACGTAGTTCAGGCTGTAAAACAAAAAAAATAAAAGAAACAAGAAATTATAAACGTCAAAACTGATAATGATGAAGCCCTCACTTGGAATCCTCAACGTGTTAGGATTAAAGGAAGGCCAAGGAACACATTACATCGAGAGAAACGGAGACAGACATGAGGGTAGAATTGGAAAGGGAAACCTAGGACAGAGTAGCCTGGATAATACACTGGTCAGCGGCCTATGCTTCACTGGGGGTAACAGGCGTAAGTAAGTAAGTAAGAAGGATGAAGTAGAGCTTTACGAAACGAGGTTAACCGTTCAAGAGCAAGACAGGAAGTCGTGGGTCTGAATCCTGAGAGTAGTAACAGTTGTGGATGTGCGCTGCCACTGATGAGTAGTTCCATACCAGGACGAAACGGTCCTCAAAACATCGCTTCCATGTTTGTTTCTAATGACGATCTAACAATGATCGGTTCATTATTTCTGTAATAGAGATAATTGTTTCGCCCAAGGTTAAAAAACGAATCTAATAAGAAGAGTTAGAACACAATGGAATTTGTATCAAACGCATGAATAGTGACAATGGATTGATATTTGGCAACAGGAACAGTCCAGTTCGATATGATGAACTGATATTTTGCAAATTAACGATTTACGATATGGTTTTCCTATTTTACTGAGTAACTCTGTAATTTTCGTTAGATACAATTCGGTTGCCCCACCTGTGTTCTCTTTCACTACACTACTACTATTGCTACTATTTATGCTACTCTGTGGGATTCGACTTGACAATTTCTGCTCTTTATGCTAATATCCTATCATAACTTGAACTGATGTACGTTTTCATCATACATGTCAACTGACTAACTGACATATGCGTACAAGTTTAAAAACTAATCTCCTCATTAGAAGAAATACCATTAATATTCTATTTTTAAATTAAGTATACATTGAACTGTCACTATCCATTCAAACTTTACATCAATAAATCTCGATTTAAATGATTTCAGTTTTATTGAAATCATGTTTCAATCATTGTTAGACCACTATCAGAAACCTGAAACCATTAGCGATTAGCTTTGCTATAAATATCACGGAGTTTTCGTATGAAGTCGTGTCCAGTGGAGTTTAAATTAGGTCATGTATGAGGCAGTGACCTGTCGAAGACATTAAGTGAGGCTGAACCATAAGCTTAGATTGACTGAAGTTAAACATGAACACTGTTGAATGCTGCTGGTTCATTTGTCTAGGGGCTTAAGCATGTTAAGCACGTTAGACTGAATGTCCTTATTACAATAGGCGCTTGAGGGCACTATGATGCACTCTCCTGATGAGTTCCATACTAGGGATGAAACGACCATCCAGTGCTTCCTGGTTTCTAATGGCTATCTAACAATGATTGATTTTTCGATTTCAATGAAAATCAACAATCTCCATAATTCTATGATTTAAAATGAATAACTATTTAATTTTTAATAATAAAAACGGTGATTAGATTGGAGTTGAAAGTTGAAAAACCTCAAAGCATTTTAGCTTACACTAGTTGTTCAATGAAATTCTGTTCTACACATTTGAAATCATCAATCAATCATTGTTAGACCACCATTAGAAACCTGGATGCACTGGACAGCCGTTTCGTCCTGGTATGGGACTCATCAGTGACAGTGCGCATCCACGACTCCTGCTCCTCGCAGGATTCGAACCCGGGACCTTTGGCATTGTAGGCGAACGCCTTACCATCGGACCACTGGGCCTGCACTCAACGGTGTTAATGTCTAACTCTAATTGATCTACGGATTTTGCGCGACCTCACGCATTTGTCTTTGGTAGTTACTGCCTACACCCGACAGGGTTGAACTCCATTGGTCACGTCTTCTCAACTAAAACTCCAAGAATTTCCTCACGAAGCTAGTCACTAGTGAGCACTGTTACGATATTTCGGGCCACAGTTTTGGAGGTTTGCATTTTTACACATTTGAAATCATCAATCAATCATTGTTAGACCACCATTAGAATCCTGGAAGCACTGGACGGCCGTTTCGTCCTGGTATGGGACTCATCATCTATTCGTCTGAACGTCTAGAATACTGAAGTACAAGTGTAATTTTTGATATCACAGATATAATACCAATAATAGAACAGAATTGACTACTTTTTTGTTCAAGCATTTTAAGATTTAAAATTGTGCATCGTTATTACTTAATTACGAGTTGGATTTCAAAGGGAATGGGTTTCTCTAACCTTTACGTCTAACACTCCTCTTCATTTATCCGCGATTGGGATTGGCGGTAACCTTCGAATGGCCCTCGAAAGAGTTTAAAATGGTGTATAGAATAAGACAGTTTTTCCCATTTAGAAAACGTTGAATTTATCGTAATTTTTTTTTGGATTCTCTCCTCAATCACTTACAATTGTATAATCTTAGTTCTAACTATTAAAACAAAACTGCTGTACATATTGTTTATTGAATATGCCAAGAATAATTTGAGTTCAAATGTCAAGAAAGACTAATTGTAAAGATATTAGAATATGAACAATTTAAAATTAGTAGGATATTTTCGCTCATTTATAAGTTTTAAAAGTTTCGAATATTCTAGAAAAACATGGAAACGAAAGAAAAAACGTTTTTCGAAACAGAACTTAAATTAGGGTGGTGTTTTGTTCTCTGAGCTACGGATGTTTTGGTTGTGAAGCATTCATTGTTCTTCTTAAATTGAACAACATCATCATTAGCACAAACTTCAGATAGCCGATGTGAAGCATTCGAATTTCTCCACGCGTTTGACCTGTCTGTCCTATGTTTGTCTGACTATATATTCTTAGCCATGCTCTATCTCTTGGAGTTGGCTCAACATCCTTCTCCAATTCACGTCGCTTTGTTCGTTTTATTCACTACTTCTCCACTTCGCTTTGTGGTGTGTCCCAAATAACCATATTCATCACTACGAGTTCACCTTCTGATTTATAAACCGTCAGACGCTACTTTGTAACGATTGTTTAGACGAACTAATAACGAGGTTTAAGAACACGCAGTAAGTAAATCGGTCACCAAAGCTTCAATCATTCAGAAAATGGGAAATAAACCTAGAGTTGATTATTCAAGCAATCAAAATTACGCTACACATAAACTTACCATTATAAATAAATAACGATTAGGTGTTGTTTTCATTTCACTTATAGTGACACTGATTTCTTTAAAAGTTGGTCTCAAATTTGGATCTTCATGCCAACCTATTTTGAAGTTAGTTGTAAAAGTAAAAAAAATACCGTGAAAGTTACGCTTATTTTGAAAATAATCACTCATGTTCAAGTTTCAATTGATGATAGTGATTAAAACAAAACAGATAATAATTGTAATTGGTCAACTTGAATAAAATCTAAGATTCGTAATGATAACTACTCTATACATCGCCACATTGCTTGTTATCGCAAAACAAACTTACACTATCCGATTTATTGTAGAGAAGTGATCATTAAATTGTTGAGTTTAGAGTTTATTGTCTCCTCCTTTCAATAAATAGATTATGTTAGCGAAATAATTGAGTCAGTAAGCTACAACGTAGAACTTCGTAAATAGGAACGAGAGTTCCAGTTACTTTACCATATCAACAGTACATAGAGATGCCAATTATCAATTCAAATGCCATAGTAGTTTGGGTAGTAGACGTATGGAGAAGGTAAAGTTTTCGACGTATGATTAAGAATCCAGAAGATTAGGAATTTAGGAGAACATAAAGAATGGGTGCGCCTGAGCCATTGGAAATGATTTTCAGCCATGTCATTCAAAGTCTCTAACCATTGGGTACGACTGTCTCGTGAACCACAACCAAGAGGGTGGTAATCTACACCTACCAAGATGGTTCAGTCTACTTGTCAGTGACTTCATGGATTTGTGCTATGTTTCGGTTTGGCCGTCCCTAGCTTTCTTCTAGCCTACCCCTACACTATAAAGCGTAGCTCATTAGAAAGAAACCTCGAAGCTGCTTTTTAATAACCCTCATACTAAATCTACATGACAACTTGAACATAAGGAAGTGCAAAACAGAATACTAGTGACTAGGATTCATTTAATTCGCACATCTTGAGGGAAGCACAGAATGAAGTGTATGATTAGGATGCAGCTGGACGATCTGGACTTCACAGATGATATAGCACTCCTATCTCACACACCACAACGAATCCAGGAAATGATGGCCAGTGTACCAGCAGCCTCTTCAGCAATGGGTCTCAGTATATACAAGAGAAAAAGTAGGATCCTCTGATAAAATACAACATGTACACCAACAAAATCACACTTGACAGAGAAACTTTGGAATATGTAGAAACATTTACATTTCTGGGCAGCATCATTAACAGACAAGATGGATCTGATATAGATGTGAAGATAGGGATTAACAAAGCAAGAGCAGTATTACTACAATTGAAGAACCTCTAAAACTCAAAACAACTATTAATCAACATCAAAGTTACCATTTTCAATACGAACGTCAAAACAGTCCTATTTTATGGAGCTGAAAGTTAGAGAACCACAAAAGCCATCATCTACAAGATAAGGGTATGTATTAATAGCAGTCTACTCAAGATAATTCATATTTGTTGGTCAGACACCATGAACAACAACCTACTGTGGGAAAGAACAAACCAGAATCCAGATAAAGAAGAAATTAAGAAAAAGCATTGGAGATGGATGGGACATACAACGAGAAAATCAACCAACTGCATCACGAAGAAAGCCTTAACTTAAAATCCTCCAGGCCAAAGGAAAAGTGGAAAACCAAACAACACATTACTACGAGAACTGGAAGCAGACATAAAAAGAATGAACAGTGATTGGGTAGAACTGGAATGGAGTGCACAGGACAAAGTAGGTTGGTCAGCCTATGCTCCATCATGGGTAACATACGTAAGTAAGTAAGTTGACAAAAGGTAAATAGTACGGTGGGAATAAGAAAGTGTGTGCTGCTTGCCTTTAAAACTAACGAATAGTTTTTACAGATTCATTAGGAAATATATGAGGTAACTAGAACTTGTCAGGTAAATTACTCTCACATGAATTGGATTACTCTATTACTACTCTATTTTTTACTAAGAAGTTACTTAGTTTTGTGATGAAGTTTTGTTGTCTGAACTGAATTTTTTGGTTTGCGGAACTAAACATATCATTCCATAGGGACAACACATTCGATTGGAACAATGTTGAAATACTAGATAGAGGTAGTAGTACAAAGAACACTAGAGAATTTTTAGAAGCTCATAGACAAACAATAAAAAAAACAGATCAAAGGAGGATCCAATCAAAATAAAGATATAGACATTGACAGGTTAAAGGTCAATAATAACCAATCAGGATCAAGGTCAACAGGACAAGCTACAAGTCATACATGAAGAAATTCGATTCGAGTTCACTTCTCTACCTGAAGTTGATGCTGATGATGTTGTGGCTCAGTAAAACAATGAATGCTCTACAATCACTTCACTTCACTTCAAAGAGTGAAACTCTACGATAATCATCCACTGGAGCTACAAATTCTTTCCACCATCTTAAAATTACCTGATTATTAATTCCAGTCAGCAAGAATCAACTGTTATTTGTGAATGAAATTTAAAAAAGAATTATTGACAGGAGAAAAAAAAACAGTTTTTATAAATCACTAAAACACCATAAAAAAAAACATACATTGTAACATTAAACAATAAAAATCAAGACTTGTTGTTTCAGGTTGTGGTAAACGATTGCCTTTCTCTAAAAAATCCAATAAATCTTTTGCATGAATATTTTCATATGGTCGATGTCCAAATGTACACATTTCCCATAAAGTAATACCTAATAAGTAGAAAGATAAAAGTACACCTTTATAGTGAACACTGAATAATTTAGGTAGGTTGGGGAATGTGAACACATCTAGACAGGTAAATATTTACACATTTTTGAAACCATGAATCGATCAATGTTAGACCACCATTAGAACCCTGGAAGCACTGGACGGCCGTTTCGTCCTGGTATGGGACTCATCAGCAGTGCGCATCCACGACTCCTTCAACACGCAGGATTCGAACCCAGGACCTTCGGTATTGTACGCGAACGCCCTAACCGTTAGACCACTGAGCCGGTATCTAACAGTGTTAATGTCTAACTTGATCAAATTCACGGAGTTGCGCAACCTCATACACAGTCTTCGGTAGACACTGCCTACACCCGAACAGGTTGAACTTCACTGTCCAGTGCTTCCAAGTTTCTAATGGTGGTCTAACATTGATCGATTCATGGTTTCAAAAATGTGTAACTTACCAATCTTCACAACCCCTGTAAGGTAAATATTTATCAGTACAGTGCATGATACAAATGTGTATTGAGCTTAGATATTGAACTGCATTACAATGATAAAATGAATAAGTATGAATTTGAGATCGGATATGCGTACATCATTTCAAAATGCCAAACCACATTAGCACAGAGATGCGATTGTCATTCTAACCATCGATTGTTACCATTTTACTGGAAAGTGAAGTATTGGATGTATCTTTATTGCTGTGAATAACTTTTTAATCAAACCATCCCTAATTTTTAATCAATAGTAGGAGTTATTTCACTGATATCGACTAGATTTATATTGTTCAAATCAGAAGTCAACAACTTTATTGACTGACATCACTTCATAGTTTTGCAGTCACTTAGCTTTCTCCAAACCAATTTTAATTCCATTATACATGTGTCGTTGAAGTAGTTGTTAGTGGTTGGGTTTAAGTAATACATACTACAATCACCAAAAAATAGACAAAGATCATAATTCTAACAATTGGTTTGCCCCCACCTTGACCTCATACGCAATATCTAACCCTACTCACTTGGTTGTTCCATGAGATGTGAATAATACTTAACGATATTTATGATTAAAACCCAAAATGTAAGGCATACCATCTAGTTTCGAAGATCATGTTTTAGAGCTATATAGTAATACAGCTTCAGATTACTGGGAAGTACAAGCACTGTTTATTAATTGGCAGGCAGATGATTCGCATACTGCACAAGTAGTATAAGTTCCCAAAGTTTCAGACAAGTTATCTAAATTAGTGTCAAGATTTCACTAGACGCTAATCCACTAAGGCTGATCAAATGTCCAAGATAAGAGAAATGGTTAACGTATTTAATTAGTTCACTCTCTACTATTAGTTCATGCGTTGACGCACACTAGTCAGTCCTGAGTCAACATTTTTTACATTGACAGGAAGACAAATTCATCCGAAACATGCTTACACTGTCGTCAACGGTGATCAGAATACTCTAGTTTTTGATTAATTTTTCTTTCATAAAACTAAAACCACATCATAACTCCGCTTATAGTCCCTTCGGGGCTACTGCCGGTCCCAGGCCCGGATAAAGGAGCAGGGGTTGGACATGGGGTTGGCACTCCCATCCCAACTAAAAACTAACTTGACAAAAAAAAATCGTTAACCAGAAAAAATAATTCAAAACTAAAAATCACATCATCACCTCGAATTCAAACTTTACATATGATTCTTCTAATGAAAGATCAATCTCTTCAAAAGGTAAATAACAAATGTCTAGTATTTAGAATTCAAGAAACTAGTTACAGCAAGCTTTCCACTTCAAGAATTCTACTGTCAACTGGTAATATTTTGTGTAAAAAAACTTATCCAGTTTTAGTAAATTCAATTATATTCCCAAAAATAATTTGTTCTGGTTTGCGTTTTTGTAATTAAGTTGGTTTTTCTACCAGATGGGGTCACTAACCCTACGCTCAGCCTTCATCTGGGTTTAGGACTGGCAGTAACTCCAGAAGGCCTCCAGATGGAGGAAGATCAAAGAACACATTACGTCTAAAAGTGAAAGCAGATATCAAAAAAAGTGAACACCAATTGGGTAGAACCTGAAAGGAAGACCCAGGACAGAGTGTTGTACACTGACACTACTATTCAGTAATATTTTTCTTATTTATATTAAGTCATTAGAGGGTAGTTAAAGTTATTAGGTCTTATTCAAATCATGAATTAATCAATGTTAGACAATAAAATAATGGCTGCGTCCAATTGTGAATTGATTGGAATTATTAAACATCAACACCGTTAGATTGTATATAAATAGGTTAAGAGTTTACATGTGAGATCGATGGTTCTGAATTCGATTCGTAGCACGTACTAATAAATATGTCGAGCCCACATAGTTTGTCTCAGATTTTGAACAAATCAATTAATCCACTCTTGAGTTATTTACATGTCTATTAATCGCGCATAACATGAGTTGTTTGTATTTGAGTGTATGTGTTCATGCTTACTCCCTTCCTCAGTTTGCTTCACTTTGTTTGTACGCTTTTTATTATCATGTCTGTATCTGCATGAAATAAATTAACCCACAAAACCGTATTCGGCTTCTTATCTTCGCCAACACACAAACAAGGTTCGCTCAAGTATGATAATACGGAAATTGAAGGGAAGATTGATTTCACAGCATATTTAGTTATCTGTAAATATCGGAGTCACAAATCGTGGGCCACTTAAATTGGTGAACCGTACGTACTTCAAATCATTCGCAACCAATAAAAAAAATTCCCACTTGAGGTATGATTAATTCAAAATGTTCAATTTGTTTTAATATCAATCAATGAAGATCAATTCATCATCATAAAAATAAAACCTCACCATATGCCCATACATCAGATTTACTCGAAAATATTCTATCTTGTATCGATTCAATAGCAAGCCATTTAATTGGCATACGTCCACCACTTGCATGATATTCACTTGATGTTGTATCTAAACATTTAGCTAAACCGAAATCAGTTATTTGTACCTATTAGAAAATAAAAAATGATAATGTGCTACACATTGTGTTAGAATATTCATCAAATATCCTCAAGAAATTATTTTGTAAGTCTAATTCTATTGGTCAATTCCTATTGGTCAATATTTAAGGTCGTCCTAAACTATCAAGTTCAGTCAGTCAGTCAGTCAGATGCAACGTAGAAATTCGTACGAACGTACATCAGTTCATGTTGCCATACTGCATCAACACAGAGATATAATTGTCAATTCAAATCCAATAGTAGAAGAGGTAGTAAAGGTATTAGAAGTAATCGGAGAGGTTAGGATTAGAAGATATTATTCAAGAAATATGATTCAGTGAGAAGAGTTTAGAAAGTCAAAACTAGAGGGGTTGAAGAATCCGAAAGATTAGGATTTGAGATAACACAAAGAATAAATGCACCAGAGCCATTGCAAATGATTTTGAGCCATTTCATTCAAGGTCTCTAACCGTCGATTATTATCATCTCGCGGACCCCAACCAGGTAGTCGACAACTACCGACATGGCTAAGTCCACTCGTCAATAACTTCATGGATTTCTGCCATGTTTTGGTTTGGCCGCCCCTAACTTTCTTCCAACCTATTCCTACACCACAAAACAAAGCTCGACGAGGCAGTCGGTGGTTAGGCATACGCAACACATGTCCCAACCACTTCAACTGATGAATTTTTAACACTTCATCTATTGATCTGCCATTCTTACCTAGCACCCGTTTCCCAATAATAGCGTTGCTCACTCGGGTGTCCCGCGATATACGAACAATGCTTCGAAGACACCTATGATCGAAAACCAGTAACCTACGAATATCTTCTACTCCTTTATTGCTGAATGAAGTGTCATTTAATGTGACCTTCTAGAGTTGTTGAGAATGTTGAGTTTCACTGAAATCATGAATTGATCAGTGTTACATCAACATTAGAATCCTATGAGCACTGGATAACAGTTTCGTCCTAGTATAGGACTCATCAGTGACAATGCACAACTACAATTCCCGCTACTCACAGGATTCGAACTCAGGATATTCGAACTTGCGTCGGAACGCTTATGTGCTCACATGTGACTAACTTGGTGAGCGGATCCTCGTAGTTCAAATGGGAAAACGTCATTAATGGAGTTCCACCCTGTTGGGTGTTAGACCGTTGCCCATGAAACACAATGGATGAGGTTACGCAATAGTATGAATTGATTAAAGTTAGACATTAACACCGTTAGATACCAGCTCCGTGGTTTAGAGGTTGAGCGTTCGTACACGAGATCGAAGGTACTGGTTTCCATTCCCTTGTGCAAGGGTCATGGATGTGCACTGCCACCGGTGATTACCCTACTAGAATGAAACAGCCATTCAGTGCTTTTGTGCTTCTAATGGTAGTCTAAAATTGGTCACTTCATGATTTCAATGATGAACTGGCCAAACACATAACTCACTCACTCACACACACATATATATACACAAAACCATCACCTTAAAATTCACTTACTTGATCTTTCGATTGAACAAGTACATTTCTAGCAGCTAAATCACGATGTATAATACCACGTGCAGATAAATATGTCATCCCAGAAGCAATTTGTTCAGACCATTGAAATAGCGATGTAACTTCAATAAGATCCCAACGAATTTTTACAAATTCTAATAAACTTCCTAATGGTAAAAATTCTGTAATTAATTGAAGTTTTGAAGTAAGACATAGAGCTAAAAATCGTACACAACATGGATGATCAACAGTTGCCATAACCTAAGAAGAAGATATTTTAGAAAAAAGTAACATTTTTACGATTACTATTATTTGATCAAAATTATAATGGAAATTGTGTACATTGTGAATAGTCAAATCCTTACATTATTGTAAACCAGTTAGCGAGAATTCTAGAATCTTTCCTTGATATGAATTGTGAAGGTTGTTGAGTTTCATTGAAATTGTAAATCGATAATTGTTATATACCACTGTTAGACGCCTGGAAGCACTGGATGGTTGGTTTTGTCCTAGTATGAGACTCATCAGCGATGCACGTCCATGACTTCTGCTAGGGGGAGTTAAACACAAAACCTTAGGTTTCGCAAGCTCACTGGTGACTTGGAGTTTGCAATGAGAAGCCATGACCAGTGAATTTAAAACTGTGTCGGGTATGAGGCGGTCACCTATCGATGATTGTGGTGGTATGGTTGCCTGATACTTTAGATTGACTGAAGTTAGACACTGACACCGTTGGAAGTCGGTCCAGTGGTCTAGATGTAAAGCGTTTGCACCCAATTCCGAGTATTTTTAAGTTGACTCTTTTGTGCGGGGATAGTGAATATGCAACGCTGATAAATCCCATACTATGACGAAACGGCCGTTCACTACTACTAGGTTTCTAATGGAGATCAAACATTTATCGATACATGATAGCTAAAAAAAACTTGTGAAGTAATCAGCACATGTTATCATAAGTTTTTTATTTCATTTTGTTATGCTCGTCAGTTGATATGCTTGAACTACTACGAGTTCAGTTTAGTCGGTAAGTGAGAGGGAAGACAAATGATCCTGTGATATGATAGGCTACTCTAATCTGAGAGTCCCAAGGCCCCGCTAAGTAGAGGAAGAAGTCTTGATAAGACGTAGGAACTGTACTATTCAAGCACACAAACCCAGTTTATTTATACATCATAGAAATGTCCTTGGAAGAGCCACAAAAATAGCGTACTAAAATAATACATCAACCAATAACAGTGAAGGATTTTGCAGTTGGGAAATGTAATTTCAAGATCAACTGACCAGCTCATGTACGAAAGTATAACATCCAAAATTAGGAAATTTATCAAGTGAAATCTGGAGGTGTCCACAAAACATTTACCATTGAAAGACACTGAATAAATCTTACTTTAAAATTTTTAACGCTTATTATGTGTTTTAAAAAATGGAAGACAATCTTTGAAAAGGGAGCTGACTAAAGAATCTCTAGAAAGTGTTGACTACTTTCATATGAGTTAATAATAACCCTCCTACCACAAATTATACCCCAAAGAAATCATAATGTTTTCATCATAGAGTTACGATTCCTCATAGTATGGGCCTCAAGAGTAGTGCATATCCATTAAACTCTCTTAGCAGAAATCAAACCTAGGATCTTAGGTATCGCAGCGAGAATACTTAAGCTTCTTCATACCACAGAGTTTGAAAACATTTTACAGAGATGTTCAAGGACGAATTGTAAGGTTCATAGAAGCCTTGGCTAATCGCGAATTCAAGCTCCCCTTCTGTGTGTGTGTGTGTGCACAGAAACTATTTGTCGTAAGCTTGAACTTACGGTTCTCCTATATGGCTGTGAAAAATGGCCAGTGAGAGTAGAAGATATTCGTAGGTTACTGGTTTTCGATCATAGGTGTCTTCGTAGCATTGCTTGTGTATCACATGGGACAACCAAGTAAGCAATGCTGTTATTAGGAATCGGGTGCTAGGTAAGAATGGCAGATCAATAGATGAAGTATTGAAACTTCACCAGTTGAGGTGGTTGGGACACGTGTTGCGTATGCCTAACCACCGACTGCCTCGAAGAGCTTTGTTTTGTAGTGTAGGAATAGGTTGGAAGAAAGGTAGGGGCGGCCAGACCAAAACATGGCAGAAATCCATCAAGTCATTGACTAGTGGACTGAGCCATGTCGGTAATTGTCGACTACCTGGTTGGGGTCCGCGAGATGATAATAATCGACGGTTAGAGACCTTGAATGACATGGCTCACAATCGTTCGCAGTGGCGCCGGTGCATTTATTCTTTGTGTTTTCTCAAATGCTAATCTTCTGGATTCTTCAACCCCTCTAGTTTCGACTGTCTAAACTTTTCTCACTGAATCATACTTCTTGAATACTATCTTCTAACCCTAACCTCTCCGATTACTTCTAATTCCCTTACTACCTCTTCTACTATTGGATTTGAATTGACAATTACATCTCTGTGCTGATGTGGTATGGCAACATGAACTGATGTACTTACGTACAAAGTTCTACATCGCATCTGACTGACTGACTGACTGAACTTACGGTGGTAATCTTCAAGCTATTATTTGTATAGCCTAAGGGTAATGTGACATACTGTTTATTTTCTCTCTCCTTCATTTCTCCATGTTAGTGGGACATAGATGAATTGAAGCATGTCTACGTTACTGCGCTCTGATTGGCTAATTTCCTATCCAATCAGCGCCTGATTGAATCTTGGAGAACAGGGTAGAAGATTCTCGTACTGTTAGCTGCGTGCTGATTGGTTAAATCTAATCCAGTCGATCATGTGAATTTCTATCCAGAAGCTTCTCATGCTATAAATAGACTAACGTTGTACCTATTTTTGCCTTCTTGCCTTCGCCATCACCTCTGGCTTCTTATTCCTAGCTATTTCGGAATATAATCTTTTCCTGTTCCACCGTGGTTTTTGATTCTCTGGAACTTGTCCAGTGTATTGTGTGGTCAGAGAATACTAAGCAATAGGATTTAGCCGTGAATTATCTAAGCAAGCGTTACAACACTCCAATGATCACATTGTGTTTATCTGAACTTCTACTTGATTGACCTTTTGTTAATTTTCAAACAAAATTGCATTGACAAGTGTGTCTGTGTATGTGATCAGACTGCTTGGAATATATAGCGCGAAAATATATGTCACGAAATTTTTCAGATCAACTACGCCTTCTCATTGCTCTACCAATCTATTTTCTGACAAAATGATAGTAATCAGACATTTGAAATCATCAATCAATCATTGTTAGACCAACATTTGAAACCTGGAAGCAGTGAAGGGCTGTTTCGTCCTGCTATAGGGACTCATCAGCAATGCGCATCCACGACTCCTACACCTCACAGGATTTGAACCCGGGACCTTCGGTCTTTCAGGATTCAAATGGTGATCTAACAATGATTAATTAATGATGTGTAAAAACACTAATCTCCATACCTCTAATTGAATATAGTAATTGTGGTGCGAGCTACTTATAAGTAGTATATGACGTGAGTGTCAACGTAATGTCTGGCAGCAGAAGATGGGGAATATCAAGAAAGGAAGAGTGGAAACACAATGGAATTTGTGTATGAAACGCATGAATAGTGACAATGGATTGATGTTTTGCAACAGGAACAGTCCAGTTTGATATGATGAACTGATATTTTGCAAATTAACGATTTACGATATGGTTTTCCGATTTTACTGAGTAACTGTGTAATTTTCGTTAAATACAATTCGGTTGCCCCACCTGTGTGCTCGTTCACTACATTATTAGTAATTGTTTGAATGGTTCCCTCAAACTATGAATAAACAATTGTAATCTTTCATATCATACAATGCGCTCACTATTGACTGACTTGCATAGTGGTTTAAAGGTTGAGTATTCTCAAGTGATATCTAAGCTCCTGAGGTTTGACTGATTCATAATTACAGCGAAACTCAATAATCACTATAACTCTAGAATGAATATTATAGTCTTGTTATTATAATAAGTGTAAGATTGTTGTAAACGCGACTACGTAAATCTTCAGTCCTAACGGCGTCCAATTCAAATATCACAATATGACCCAAAAGGCTTTTCCAAATCTCCTAGAAATCAGAACGTAACACCGTGGAAGGAAGATGTTTATTGGGTCGAAAACAGAAGAAGAAGTAGGCAGGGGAAACGGAATTATTGAGTCTTCCAGATAGCGCGTATTTATACACTAAGGTCGAATAAGAAAAAGCATCAACGTCTGTGACATGGACAATTTAGGACGACCAATAGAAAAGAACATTTGAATGACATTGACAGTCCAGATGACCAATAAGAGGTAACATTGAAGTATTTGACCCTGATGGTAAGAACGATCAAAATTTCGGCCAATAGGATTGCAGTTCTGAAAATTGTATTCTTAGGATATTGGGTGAATATCCTAACAAAGATCCATTTTCTGAAAGCTTTGTACATGAAAATCACTTCATGTATACATTTGTAATTTGTCCTTATTGAGATTCCTTCAGTTGTACATTATGTTAATCTGTTCGATTCCATTGTTGAGATGAAAATATTTGTATTTTTGATTATAGTTTCTATTTCTTCTGCCTTCACTGGGTTTCTATGTTAACACTCTACATCAACTTCATCGACTACGTGAAAGCATTCGATAGCATGGACAGGAAAAAACTGTGGAGGCTTCTTCGATGCTACGGTGTGCCTGAGAAGATAGTTAACATCATACGGAATTCTTATGATGGATTCTACTGCATAATCGTGCACGGAGGACAGCTAACAGACTCTTTCGAGGTGAAGACCGGTGTCAGGCAAGGTTGCTTACTCTCACCCGTTCTCTTTCTCCTGGTCATCGACTGGATTATGAAGACGTTGACATCTGGAGGGAAGCACGGTATCAACTGGACAGTTAGGACGCAGCTAGACGATCTGGACTTCGCAGATGACCTGGCTCTTCTATCGCACACTCAACAACAAATGCAAGAGAAGACGACCAATGTAGCAGCAGCAGGTCTCAACATACATAAAGGACAAAGCAAAATTCTCCAATGCAACACAACATGCACCAACAAAATCACTCTTGATGGACATGCCTTGGAGGACGTAAACACCTTTACATATCTGGGCAGCATCATCGACAATCAAGGTGGATCCGATGCAGATGTGAGGGCACGGATTGGCAAAGCGAGGGCTGCATTTCTACAGTTGAAAAATATCTGGAACTCAAAACAACTTTCAACCGAAACCAAAACCAGCATTTTCAATACAAATGTCAAGACAGTTCTACTGTATGGAGTGGAAACTTGGAGAACTACGAAAGCCATCATCCAGAAGATACAAGTGTTTATTAACAGTTGTCTACGCAAAATACTTCGGATTCGTTGGCCAGACACTATCAATAACAAAGATCTGGGGGAGAGAACAAACCAGATTCCAGTGGAGGAGGAAATCAGGAAGAAGCGGTGGAAGTGGATAGGACATACTACGAAAAGCACCAAACTGCATCACAAGACAAGCCCTCACATGGAACCCTCAAGGCAAAAGGAAAAGAGGAAGGCCAAGGAACACAATACGCCGAGAAATAGAGAATGACATGAGAGGAATGAACAAACATTGGACAGAACTGTAAAGGGAAGCCCAGGATAGAGTTGGTTGGAGAAAACTGGTGGGCGGCCTATTTTCCATTGGGGGTAACAGGCGAAAGTAAGTAAGTACGTAAGAGTTTCTATGTTTCTTTGTGAATTTCATTTATGTTGTTTAAGCTGATACTTAGTCATGGCGACAGCCATTTTTGATTTGTTTTTCTTTTGATTGGATTGCTCGCTGTTGACTGGAATTGTGCATATTTTGAACTGTGATTTGAAGCAGCCTCCCAGAACAGGAAACACTATTTGTTATAAAGCAACCAAATATTATCCTTTGAACGAATCTGATCTATCCAAGAGGGATAGAATAACATTTATTTGTTCCTGTTGATTTGACTAATTGAACAACGGTTGGTGGACTAACTGAGTGGTAATATTTGTTTAAGTAATGAATAATGTATATTTATATTTATAATGAATATTAGAACCACTGTCATTTACCCAAATCACCTTGTTTTGAATTTCAACTTGGCAATAGCCCATATCTAACCTACCGTAGACAGTTAGTTATTCCTCAATTCAAACCTCATTACGGATCCTACAATAAGTAATTTAAGAATTTAAACAAAGGACGTGACCAGTGAAGTTCTTCAACCTGTTCGGGTGTAGACAGTAACTACCGAAGACTGTGGCGTATGAGGTTACGCAACTCCGTGAATTGATCAAGTTAGACATTAACACCGTTACATACCGGATCAGTGGTCCGATGGTTAGGCGTTCGCCTGCGGTGTGCAAGAGTCGTGGATGTGCACTACCACTGATGAGTCCCATACCAGGACGAAACGGCCGTCTTTCAGTGCTTCCAGGTGGTCTAACATTGACTGATCGATTCATGATTTCAAATAAAATGAGAAAGTAAAATGACTTACTTTTGCCTCTTCCAATAATTCTTTATTTGTTTGTGGATCAGCTGAATCGGATAAAACTTTAATGGCTACAGGAATGTGTAAATTTAAACAATCATTTTGATCATTGTTCCAATGTATGGAATTCATCATTTCGGTTTCATTCGCGCGTTTATTGAATCCATTTGAATTTGACGTTACAATAGAATTTGTTCTTGTGTTGATCTGATTATTATTATTATGATTGTTATTATTACTATTAGTAGTAGTAATAGTAGTAGTATGTGTATCATGATGAATGGAATCAGATTTCGGTTGAATAAATTTTGGACACCATACACCACAATAAACTGTACCAAATGCACCGGAACCAATTAATGGACCACGTATTAATTCAGATTCAGTGATTATGCGTAACGTTGCCATATTTGGTTTGCACGATTCAGAATGAGTAAGCTTGTATTTTTATGTATTGATTTGTTGGTTTTAATGAAAGATTAATAAGATATATATATATTAAAATTTTGAAAATTTGAAATATGTATATTTATACATGAAACTCGCATCGTTTATGACGTAGGGGAGATATTCGTTGGCTAACCAAACGATGAGTCTATTGTTCAGCAGTTCGCCCCATCCTACTATATGGGTGTGGAACATGGCTAGTTAAAAGTAGGGGATATTCGAAGGTATCTTTGAAGTTTTCCTCATATATCCTGGGATAATCGAGTAAGTAAAGTTAGCGTTAGGAAATGGGTACTAGGCAAGGATGACAGATCAATAGATGAAGTATTGAATCTTCATTAGTTGAGGTGGTTGAGACATGTTTTACAAATGTTCAACCACTGACTGTAGTAGTAGGTTGGTAGAAATCCAGAGGCGGTCAAACGAAAACATGACACATATTCATCGAGTCACGGACAAGTGGACTGAGTCATGTTGGTAGATGTGAACTACCTGGTTGGGCTTCACGAGATGATAGTAATCGATCGTTTGAGATTTTGGATGAAATGACTCAAAATCGTTTGCAGTGGCGTAAATGTATCCATTCTTCGTCATCTCTCAGATTCTGATTTTATGAATTCCATATGACCGTGTTTCCCTTTTTACTCTCGACTTTTTTTTAAAGTTGATTTGATTGGGATAGACGTCTCAAATGATATTTATGATCATTACACTTTTCAACTACCACCGTAGTGAACAAGAACACAGGTGAGGGCAACCGAACTGTATTTAACGAAAATTACAGAGTTACTAAGTAAAATTGGAAAACCATATCGTAAATCGTTAATTTGCAAAAGATCAGTTCATCAGTTCATCGAACTGGACTGTTCTTGTTGCAAAACATCAACAATCCATTGTCACACTATTCATGCGTTTCATACAAATTCCATTGTGTTCTAACTCTTCCTTTCTTGATCTTCCCCCATCTTCTGCTGCCAGACATTACGTTGACAATTACGTCATATACTACTTATAAGTAGCTCGCACCACACCACTAATACTTCTACTTCATTTATTACGATGGGATTAGACTTCTTATTGAAAAATCTTAAAGCAATGACCAGTGAAATATTCAACCGTGTCCGTTGTAAAGCAGTCATTCATGGAACTTAATGGATAGTGAACGTTCACTAAGATGAATTGACTGAGGTTAAAACCATTAACATTGTCGAATGTCAGCTAAGTGGTTAAAATAATTATAGACTAAAGGTCTTGAGTTCACTTGCGCGGATCATGGACACATACTTCTGAAGTGTCTCATACTAGAACTGAACAGTTGTCCAGAACTTTCGAGTTTTCATTAGTGGCTTCATATTGATCGGTTCATGGTTTTATAGTTGAAATCACCAATTGATCTAAGCTAGATCCTCATTAAAATAAACCTGTAAGCACTGGATGATTGTTTTGTACTTAGCATGGAACTCTTCAGTGTCAGTGTGCAACTACAACCCTTGCCCGTAGGAATTAAAACCATAACGTTTAGTTTGCATGATGGGGTTGTGAAGATTGTTAAGTTACACATTTTTTGAAACTATGAATCATATCTGGAACTCAAACACTTTCAACCGAAACCAAAACCAGCATTTTCAATACAAATGTCAAGACAGTTCTACTGTATGGAGTGGAAACTTGGAGAACTACGAAAGCCATCATCCAGAAGATATAAGTGTTTATTAACAGTTGTCTACGCAAAATACTTCGGATTCGTTGGCCAGACACTATCAATAACAAAGATCTGGGGGAGAGAACAAACCAGATTCCAGTGGAGGAGGAAATCAGGAAGAAGCGGTGGAAGTGGATAGGACATACTACGAAAAGCACCAAACTGCATCACAAGACAAGCCCTCACATGGAACCCTCAAGGCAAAAGGAAAAGAGGAAGGCCAAGGAACACAATACGCCGAGAAATAGAGAATGACATGAGAGGAATGAACAAACATTGGACAGAACTGTAAAGGGAAGCCCAGGATAGAGTTGGTTGGAGAAAACTGGTGGGCGGCCTATTTTCCATTGGGGGTAACAGGCGAAAGTAAGTAAGTACGTAAGAGTTTCTATGTTTCTTTGTGAATTTCATTTATGTTGTTTAAGCTGATACTTAGTCATGGCGACAGCCATTTTTGATTTGTTTTTCTTTTGATTGGATTGCTCGCTGTGACTGGAATTGTGCATATTTTGAACTGTGATTTGAAGCAGCCTCCCAGAACAGGAAACACTATTTGTTATAAAGCAACCAAATATTATCCTTTGAACGAATCTGATCTATCCAAGAGGGATAGAATAACATTTATTTGTTCCTGTTGATTTGACTAATTGAACAACGGTTGGTGGACTAACTGAGTGGTAATATTTGTTTAAGTAATGAATAATGTATATTTATATTTATAATGAATATTAGAACCACTGTCATTTACCCAAATCACCTTGTTTTGAATTTCAACTTGGCAATAGCCCATATCTAACCTACCGTAGACAGTTAGTTATTCCTCAATTCAAACCTCATTACGGATCCTACAATAAGTAATTTAAGAATTTAAACAAAGGACGTGACCAGTGAAGTTCTTCAACCTGTTCGGGTGTAGACAGTAACTACCGAAGACTGTGGCGTATGAGGTTACGCAACTCCGTGAATTGATCAAGTTAGACATTAACACCGTTACATACCGGATCAGTGGTCCGATGGTTAGGCGTTCGCCTGCGGTGTGCAAGAGTCGTGGATGTGCACTACCACTGATGAGTCCCATACCAGGACGAAACGGCCGTCTTTCAGTGCTTCCAGGTGGTCTAACATTGACTGATCGATTCATGATTTCAAATAAAATGAGAAAGTAAAATGACTTACTTTTGCCTCTTCCAATAATTCTTTATTTGTTTGTGGATCAGCTGAATCGGATAAAACTTTAATGGCTACAGGAATGTGTAAATTTAAACAATCATTTTGATCATTGTTCCAATGTATGGAATTCATCATTTCGGTTTCATTCGCGCGTTTATTGAATCCATTTGAATTTGACGTTACAATAGAATTTGTTCTTGTGTTGATCTGACTATTATTATTATGATTGTTATTATTACTATTAGTAGTAGTAATAGTAGTAGTATGTGTATCATGATGAATGGAATCAGATTTCGGTTGAATAAATTTTGGACACCATACACCACAATAAACTGTACCAAATGCACCGGAACCAATTAATGGACCACGTATTAATTCAGATTCAGTGATTATGCGTAACGTTGCCATATTTGGTTTGCACGATTCAGAATGAGTAAGCTTGTATTTTTATGTATTGATTTGTTGGTTTTAATGAAAGATTAATAAGATATATATATATTAAAATTTTGAAAATTTGAAATATGTATATTTATACATGAAACTCGCATCGTTTATGACGTAGGGGAGATATTCGTTGGCTAACCAAACGATGAGTCTATTGTTCAGCAGTTCGCCCCATCCTACTATATGGGTGTGGAACATGGCTAGTTAAAAGTAGGGGATATTCGAAGGTATCTTTGAAGTTTTCCTCATATATCCTGGGATAATCGAGTAAGTAAAGTTAGCGTTAGGAAATGGGTACTAGGCAAGGATGACAGATCAATAGATGAAGTATTGAATCTTCATTAGTTGAGGTGGTTGAGACATGTTTTACAAATGTTCAACCACTGACTGTAGTAGTAGGTTGGTAGAAAGCCAGAGGCGGTCAAACGAAAACATGACACATATTCATCGAGTCACGGACAAGTGGACTGAGTCATGTTGGTAGATGTGAACTACCTGGTTGGGCTTCACGAGATGATAGTAATCGATCGTTTGAGATTTTGGATGAAATGACTCAAAATCGTTTGCAGTGGCGTAAATGTATCCATTCTTCGTCATCTCTCAGATTCTGATTTTATGAATTCCATATGACCGTGTTTCCCTTTTTACTCTCGACTTTTTTTTAAAGTTGATTTGATTGGGATAGACGTCTCAAATGATATTTATGATCATTACACTTTTCAACTACCACCGTAGTGAACAAGAACACAGGTGAGGGCAACCGAACTGTATTTAACGAAAATTACAGAGTTACTAAGTAAAATTGGAAAACCATATCGTAAATCGTTAATTTGCAAAAGATCAGTTCATCATATCGAACTGGACTGTTCTTGTTGCAAAACATCAACAATCCATTGTCACACTATTCATGCGTTTCATACAAATTCCATTGTGTTCTAACTCTTCCTTTCTTGATCTTCCCCCATCTTCTGCTGCCAGACATTACGTTGACAATTACGTCATATACTACTTATAAGTAGCTCGCACCACACCACTAATACTTCTACTTCATTTATTACGATGGGATTAGACTTCTTATTGAAAAATCTTAAAGCAATGACCAGTGAAATATTCAACCGTGTCCGTTGTAAAGCAGTCATTCATGGAACTTAATGGATAGTGAACGTTCACTAAGATGAATTGACTGAGGTTAAAACCATTAACATTGTCGAATGTCAGCTAAGTGGTTAAAATAATTATAGACTAAAGGTCTTGAGTTCACTTGCGCGGATCATGGACACATACTTCTGAAGTGTCTCATACTAGAACTGAACAGTTGTCCAGAACTTTCGAGTTTTCATTAGTGGCTTCATATTGATCGGTTCATGGTTTTATAGTTGAAATCACCAATTGATCTAAGCTAGATCCTCATTAAAATAAACCTGTAAGCACTGGATGATTGTTTTGTACTTAGCATGGAACTCTTCAGTGTCAGTGTGCAACTACAACCCTTGCCCGTAGGAATTAAAACCATAACGTTTAGTTTGCATGATGGGGTTGTGAAGATTGTTAAGTTACACATTTTTTGAAACTATGAATCAATGAATGTTAGATCACCATTAGAAACCTGAAAGCACTGGACGGCCGTTTCGTCCTGGTACGGGACTCATCAGCAGTGCGCATCCACGACTCCTGCACCCCGCAGGATTCGAACCCAGGACCTTCGGTATTGTGCGCGAACGCCTTAACCATCGGACCACTGAGCCGGTATGTAACGGTGTTAATGTCTAATCTCGATCAATTCACGGAGTTGCGCAACCTAACACAAAGTCTTCGGTAGACACTGCCTACACCCGAACAGGTTGAACTTCACTGGTCACGTCTTCCCACTAGAACTCGGAGAAGATTCCTCACGAAGCTAGTCACTAGTGAGCACAGGTAATTTGTATGACAGGGTTGTGAAGATTGTTAAGTTACACATTTCCTGAAACCAGCTCAGTGGTCTAACGGTTAGGGCGTTCGCGCACAATACCGAAGGTCCTGGGTTCGAATCCTGCGGAGTGCAGGAGTCGTGGATGCGCACTGCTGAGGAGTCCCATACCAGGACGAAACGGCCGTCCAGTGCTTCCAGGTTTCAAATGGTGGTCTAACATTGCTCGATGCATGGTTTCAAAAAATGTATAACGCTTAGTCTCGTACGTAAACATTTAACCTCTGGACCATTCATTAATTCAGCATCTTTAATAAAACAAAAATTATATAAGATAAGAATAAGACAACTTACAGATACTTCCTTATCGATCGAATCGATTAATTTATGATTTCTATCTGTTATTAAATTAGAATTCATTAATATTGATGACTCATTATTACTATTATTATTATTATTATTACTATTCCAGTGTAATAATCTGGCTTTCATCGACGAACTATTCTTCTTCTTATTATTATTATTAGGTGAGTGTTTCGATTTTTTTTTCATAATCACTTGTGGTTGACCTTGTGTCCAGAAATATTCACATAGTTTATTGATTTTGCCACAAATCGATCGGTTTGCATTATGATTAGCCATGTTGTCGTCTTCTTGTTCAATACGAACATATTTCGATCGTGTACGTATAGTCCAGTAAATAATCAAACTTAACATTGTTAACATAATGCCTAAAGCTAATAAGGCGGAAATTAAACCAACCGCTTCAGTTGATAAATAATAATATTGATGATTATACCAAAAATAATGAATCATTTGAAAATTTTGCATGAAATTCAATTGATCACCCGCGATGGTAGTGGTGGATAAATTATCAATATCATTGTTAATATTATTGACAATTGAAGAATTCAATGCAATTTTTATGAGATTTTTTGAATGAGACTCATATGGTGCAATGTGTAAATTGAATAAATCAGTGGAACAAATCATTTCACCAGTTTTTTGATCAGATATTGCAAATGGACTGAATTCTGGACAGGTTGTGTTGCATAACCACTGTAAGCATACAATTCAATATGGCGTAATTGATAAATTCAATTTAAACAATCATAAATAAATTTTTAATTATATTATTCTAAGAAAAAGTGACTGTTTCTATTTGTGTTATAATGAACCAATCAGAAAAGGCCAAGTGAGAAGGTCATTGATTGGTCATCAGACAGTATATGGTGAAGGTCAAATGCATATCATTGGTCAAGAAATGGCTACAATTTTTTAAGGAGTTAAAGGATATATATGTATATTTATCAAGACGAAAAGCTCTACATATAATTCAGTAGCCAGATGGACTTTCTCTTCTGCCTTTCCCTTCTTGCTCATGTAGCCAGTTTGTAGGAAGGGGATCCAGCGACCAGCATTCTTCAACCTACTCTGCTCTCAACCTTTCCTTTCAGTTCTATCGAATTACTATCCATTGTTTTTAGGACTGCTTGTAATTCTCAACGTAATGTGTTCGTTGGAATTCCTCTTTTTTCTGTGGTCTTGAAGCGTCCAAGTTAGGACTTGCCTCGTGATGCCATTGGGTGATTTCCGCAACGTCATCAGCTGAGGTGGTTAGGACATGTTTTACGAATGCCTAACCACCGACTGCCTCGACGAGCGATGTTTTTTGATGTAAGAGTCGGTTGGAAGAAAGCTAGGGCGGTCAGACCAAAACATGGCACAAATCCATGAAGTCACTGACAACTGGAATGAGTCATGTGGTTAGATGTTGACTGCCTGGTTGGGGCCTGCGAGATGATAGTAACAGATGGTTAGGAACCTTGAATGACATGACTCGAAATCGTTTGTAATGACGCAGGGGCATCCATTCTTCGTCTTTTCTCAAATTCTAATCTTTCGAATTGCTCATCACCTCTATCTTTGTCTTTTTGTAGTTTTCTCACTAAATTATACTTCTTGAATAATATCTTCAAACCCTAATCTGTTCTAATACTGCTGATACTTCTACTATCTCTACTACTATGGGATTTGGATTGACAATCGCATCCGTGTGTGCTAATGTGGTATGGAAACTTGAACTGATGTACGTAAGTACGACTTGCAAAGTTCTATGTTTTAAATGCCTGACTGACTGATCTTAGGCTATGATTAGAGAAATGAACTAATAAACCAATACATGGTTTTTTTATTGTTTCGTGAATTAGCATACAGTTCATTCCCAATGGATATGTGTGGCCGATGTCAACGTTTTAATTTTTAAATCTTATGAACTTATCACTAAATAAATAATGAACTATTTTCTTTTCTAGTGAAAATACGAACTATGCACAGTTAACAGAAAGATAACTAGATGGGTTAAGTTTTTATAAGGTGATGATCGGAGATAATAGACTGAAAAATAAGAACTTAGATTTCATACTGTTTGTCAGTGATCAGCACTATGTGCCTGATATCTTGAGGGAATTAATATTACGTAACAGATTTGATGAGTATCGTCCAGCTACACAGTTAGAGACGTTATGACTAAGCTCTCCGGGCTACAACTAACCTCCTATAGGACTGAGATGTATTTACAATTGATTGATCATTGCGTACTAACCAATGTCGTTTATATCAAGGTCCTTCTTAAAGTTGATCGAATTCTATCAATGACCACTAATCTATGTGACTTGATATTGTGTACACCTTATTGAGATGTAAGATGGTGGTTGAAGGTCGTTGACAGAGAATAATGGACTTACGTCTCGTGTCAGCTAGGTTTTTGGAACGCTTTAGACACCCTGTCGGGTGTAGTCAGTAACTACCAAAGACGAATGGGTGAGGTCGCGCAAAATCCCTAGATCAATCAGAGTTGGACATTAACATTGTTGGATGCCGGCCCAGTGTTCCAGAGATTAGGCGTTCGCGCACAAGACTGAAGGTCATGGGTTCGAATCCTGCGAGGTGCAGGAGTCGTGGGTGCTCACTGCTGATGAGTCAGTTCCATACCAGGATGAGACGGCCGTCTTTAAGTGCTTTCAGTTTTCTAATAATGGTGGTCTAACAATGATTGTTTGATGATTTCAAATGTATAAAATATACGGTGTTTCAATGCATAATAACAACACTTCCTAATCTGTGACAAACGATACTGTTAACATATTCATCCAATATCCTAAGAGAATTATTGGTCAATTCCTATTGGTTCATTCCTACTGGTCAATTTTATGGTCATCCTAGATATCAATGTCACGTGCTCCAATGTTGTTTCTTATTGGTTGTCCTGACTATCAATGTCACTTCAAATGTTGCTTCCTATTAGTCGTCTTAACTGTCAATGTCACAGAATTCGATGCTGTGTCCTATTCGACCAAAATGTATAAATACGCATTATCTGTAACGTTTTATGACCAGGACCTAGTCCCGGATCCCTAGTCTGGTATCATGATTCTCATCTGGACTTGGACCTCGTACTTTCCGGATGATTGTAGAATACAGGTTCTACTTCATATCACGTATTCTTGTTTTTACTCAATATGGGGGTTGGGATAATCAGTTTTGAGTAGCATATCGTGTCGCCGAATCCTCGATCGTCGCTTTCGTTTTCCAACTAAGGGGTAAACTCGTAATAGTTCAAGCATATCAAAATGAAGTGTTTACGTGCCGACATAACAGATACACTCTTTTTAATAACATGTTTGTTAATTATATTATTAACTTACTGATTTCATTTGAGAATTTGAATAAATTTTCACATGTCGACAACGTGTACAGTCATGTGCTGTTGGACCAATACAACCTAATTCACATTCATCATGACATGGTAAACATTTCATTGATGTAATATTGTCATTTGAATATCCATGAAAATGATAATTTAATACATTAGTATCTAAATTACGTAATAATTTCTTTTTTGGATAAGTTCCTAATTAAGTAGTAAATCAAAAAAGACAAAAAATTGTCGAGTGAAATACTGTGTAAAGATGCATTACAATTGTAGATTGTATTTGTTAAAATTAATTAACATATATTATATACTGCAGCCATTTCAGTAGTAGTGTGGTGTGAGCTACTTATAAGTAGTATATGACGTGAGTGTAAACGTAATGTCTGGCAGCAAAAGAGGATGGGGGAAGATCAAGAAAGGAAGAATTAGAAGAACACAATGGAATTTGTATGAAACGCATGAATAGTGACAATGGATTGATGTTTGGCAACAGGAACAGTCCAGTTCGATAGGATACAGTTGAGTGCTTTCTTCAATCTGTGTCCTATTCAATTTCAGCGCTTTTTCCTAATTTATCCTTAAACTGCAATCTGGTTTACTCTCTCCTACAGTAGGTCGTTGATGATATTGTCTGGCCAAGGGATGATATGAATCTTGCATAGACAATTAATTATTGACAAACACTCGTATCCTCCGGATTGTGGCTTTTGTGGTTCTCCAACTTTCCATCACGTACATTAGAACTGTCTTGACATTTGTAGTAAAAATTGTGACTTTAGTGTTGATTGACAGTTGTTTTGAGTTGCAGATATTCCTCGATTGTAAGAATCCAGCCTTTGCTTTACTGATCCGCGCCTTCACATTTGCATCAGACCCACCTTGTTTATTGATGATGCTGCTGCTGCATAGGTACGTAGAAATTTCTGCATTTCCCAAAGCTTCCGTGTCAAGTGTGACTTGATTAGTGCACTCTGGATGCACAACATTCAACTATTCACTTCAACGTGCTTCACTTTATTTAAATAATCCCTTTATTAAGGACTGTGTACTGTGTATAATAATGTGTTGAGCTCCCATTGGCTGTGTTCTAGCCTTTGGATGGACTAGTTAAACTTAATTGCCCAAGTTGTTATTCATACGTCAGTTGACCTTGTTAGTCATTCGCTTATAACCTTGATTGTTTTTACTTGAGTAAATTATCTTTATTAACTCCGCCAGTAGAACCTTCGGGGCTACTGCCGGTCCTAAGCCCGGATAAAAGAGGAGGGGTTGGATATAGGGTTGGCGCCCCCCACATCCCAACTATAAACTAACTTACCAAAAAAACGCTAAGCAGAAAAATAAAAAGTATCTTTATTGCTTATGTCGCTTCTAATATATGTAGCTTATTTGTGTCTGACTACAAATACTTGGTTGAGCTTTATCCCATTGAGTTAGTCTACTTGCTTCCTACACTTCGTTTCGCTTTGGTTTTAGGCTGTATGTTCACGTGTCTATCTACATGAATGATTGAGTGAAATCAAATTACCCAACCAAATCGAATTCTTAATACAGCCATCTCTTAAACATGTTTCGCCTAATTAGGACTCAACGTACACAATGGAAAAAGCAAGATCCTTTGATACATCGAAACATGCACCAACCAAATCACACATGACGGAGAAGCCTCAAAAGATGTGGAAACTTCTATAAACCCATGCAATATCAATGATATACAAGGTGGATCTGATACAGATGTAAAGCCAACGACTGCTAAAGCAAAGTCAGCGTTTTTACAATTGAAGAACATTTGCAACTCAAAACAACTATCGACCAACTCTAAAGTCACAATTTTCAATACACTTGTCAAGACAGCTTTACTATATAGAACGGAAACATGGAGAACCACGAAAGCTATCTTCTGGATGATACAAGTATTTATCAATAGTTGTCTATGAAAGATACTTATTATCCGTTGGTCAGACACCATCATCAACAACCCACCATGAGAGAGATCAAATCAGATTGCAGCTGAACAACAACCTAGGAAATAGCGCTGAGAATGGATAGAAAACATATTGAAGAAAGCACGCAACTGTGTTACAAGACAAGACATCCCAAATTGGATACAGATATGAGCAGAATATACGCCATTTGGAGAATGCAGGTCGGCTGCCTATGCTGCATTAAGGGGGAACGAGAGTAAGTAATTAAGTAGACTATAACTATAACTAATTATAAGTTTGAATTCTGTTACTATACCATTACTATTCTAAAATAAGTTTATGTAATCGTTTTAAAATATCACTTTATTTGTTTTAGTAAATCAGTTTCACTATTGATAATTTTAACAGTCAAGTTTTTGTCAATGATAAATCAATTAACTGAACACTAAATCTAATCTCCTAACCGATTTTGTTAACTTCAGGCTAAATCTAAAGCGTGGCTTGAACACAAGAAAAGAAAAGCGCGAAATACAACATAAACGCTTTACTTCAAGGTCATTTCATGTACAGAAAACAGGGTTTTTATAAACTTACTCATGACCTTAAGCTTTTAGGAGTTAAGGGGACCGCATTGAATTTAATGATGGTATAGGTGAATATCCAACTTAAATCACCGAGTATGATTCTGTATTTTCTAGATACCTCTATAAAGATTTTACTCATTTGTGAGTAGTGGATAAAAACATTTCCAAGAGTTTGTTGCAGACCCCACCAAGCAACACTTTGGAATTTCTCAACAGTCTACAGAGTTAATTCACTAATGTAGATAGTATTCTGATCAAATTTTTGGATTTTTTTTTTTGATAATAAGCCTTAGATATGAATATAAAAAGCTTAATCACTTGCTTTTAACACATCTTCTATGGAATAAAACCTCGACACTACGGGCTGCCTGAGAAAATAGTTAACATCATACGGAATTCTTATGATGGATTCAACTGCAAAATCGTGCACGGAGGACAGCTAACCGACTCTTTCGAGGTGAAGACCGGTGTCAGGCAAGGTTGCTTACTCTCACCCTTTCTCTTTCTCCTGGTGATCGACTGGATTATGAAGACGTTGACATCTGGAGGGAAGCACGGTATCAACTGGACAGTTAGGACGCAGCTGGACGATCTGGACTTCGCAGATGATCTGGCTCTTCTATCGCACACTCAACAACAAATGCAAGAGAAGACGATCAGTGTAGCAGCAGCCTCTGCAGCAGTAGGTCTCAACATACATAAAGGAAAAAGCAAAATTCTCCGATGCAACACAACATGCACCAATCAAATCACTCTTGATCGAGATGCCTTGGAGGACATTAACACCTTTACATATCTGGGCAGCATCATCGACGAGAAAGGTGGATCGGATGCAGATGTGAGGGCACGGATTGGCAAAGCAAGGGCTGCATTTCTACAGTTGAAAAATATCTGGAACTCCAAACAGATATCAATCAACACCAAAATAAGGATTTTCAATACAAATGTGAAGACAGTTCTAATGTATCGAGCGCAAACATGGAGAACTACCAAAGCCATCATCCAGAAGATACAAGTGTTTATTAACAGCTGTCTACGCAAAATACTTCGTATTCGTTGGCCAGACACCATCAGCAACAACGAACTGTGGGAGAGAACAAGTCAGATGCCAGTGGAGGAGGAAATCAGGAAGAAGCGGTGGAAGTGGATAGGACACACATTGCGGAAAGCACCTAACTGCGTCACGAGACAAGCCCTCACATGGAACCCTCAAGGCAAAAAGGAAAAGAGGAAGGCCAAGAAGCACACTACGCCGAGAAATAGAGAAAGATATGAGAGGAATGAACAAACATTGGACAGAACTGGAAAGGGAAGCCCAAGACAGAGTTGGTTGGAGAAAACTGGTGGGCGGCCTATGCTCCATCGGGGGTAACAGGCGTAAGTAAGTAAGTAATGATTTGACAAGATTGTATTCAATGAGCTGATTGGTTGACCACTTATTTACTGTCTAACATTGCATGAAGTAACTCACACACAAAAAACGAAACCTACACACACACACACACACACGAACACATAAACAACAAACCTGTTGGACAAGCTCCAACACAACGACCTTGATAACTTGCATATGCACAACGTACACATTGTTCTGGACTTGGACCATAGCATGCTACCATCGCTGCAGTTGAAGATTTCATCATCACAGTAGATTGTTGATGAAATGGAAAATTTACTAAATCACATTGTTCATTACATGGTAAACAAATTTGTGCTAAACCATAGAATTTCGATTGTGTATAATTGAATAACCATTGAGCAATTTGTTGTGTGATATTTGGTGGAAATTTATGAAAATGATTCGCATCTGTATGACTCCATGTAAATGTGGTTGTTGTTGTCGCGATTTGTTGAAAAGAAGAATAATTTGACAATTGACGATCTACACTGGAACCACCTCGATGATGCAGGTTAATTACATGTTGATAAGTACCAAATGGACATGTCTAGTGAAATAGAAGAAGGGGTATGTATTTATTACAAAAAAATATTTAAGCAGTGTTATGGCAATTGGTTAGGAATCAAATGTTGATTTGCAATCAGGTCATGATGCGTTTGGGCTGCGTTATGAAATACAATGTCTGTGCATGTCTAAGTGGCTTTGTATATACATATATAGATATATACATTCCTGTAACTTCGCTTGGAGCTCCTTATGGGGCTACTGACGGTCACAATCTCAGGTAAAGGAAGAGGGTTGGGCGTGGGGTTAGCTAGCCCATCCTGCAGAAAATTAACTCTCTAAAAGAACGCTAACCAAGAAAATATATATACAAGAGATGTACTAGTAATGATATGAACTGATATATTCAATATTTTCTTTCAAACTCACAAAACTCTTACTAGTTAAGTAAGTTTGTGAAGAATGTCCGATTTCATAGTTTGTATGATCAATTGGTCTTAATTAGAAAACTATTTAAAACTATGTTACGCATGCATGTAAACACGTCATTTGATATGCTTGAACTATGGCGAGTTTATGTTAGTCGGTAAACAAGAGCGAGGATCGAGGATCCGGCGACACGACAGGCTACTTTAATCCGATTGTCCCAAACTCATATTGAGTAAAAGAAGAAGACTTGATATGAAGTAGAATATGTATTCTACAAGCATACAGAAGGTATGACGTCCGAGTCCAGAAGAGGATAAGGACCCCGGACTGAGGATCCGGGTCCGGGTCATAAAACGTTACAGATAATGCGTATTTATACAGTTAGGTCGGATAGGAAACAACATTGAAGTCTGTGAAATTGATAATTAAGTCGACCAATAGAATTAGACTTACAAACAATTATTTCTTAGGATATTGGATGAATATCCCAACGAACTATGAAGTATTTACTGTCGCTTGTTACCCTCAATGGAGTATAGGACACTGACCAGCATTCTTCAAACTACACCCTAGTTGTATCCAATTAACTTTTGTTCATTCTTCCCATGTCTATCTCCAACTATGAATTGCCCAACAGATGTATCAATCATCCTAGTACGGATCATATGTTCAATAATTATATCATAATTGCGAGGTTAATTATATTTTAGTTAGGTGTCATTTCAAACTGATTTATTATAAACTTTTTAGGGCTATCGTTATTTAAATGCAATGTAATTTCCTCCTAATATGAGACCGATTAACAGTGCGCATTCATGAACCGCACATGTAGTTGTGTGGTGCGAGCTACTTAGAAGTAGTACATGACGTGAGTGTCAACGTAATGTCTGCCAGAAGAGAAGATGGGGGAAAGATCAAGAAAGGAAGAGTTAGAAAACAATGGAATTTGTATGAAACGCACGAATAGTGACAATGGATTGATGTTTTGCAACAGGAACAGTCCAGTTCGATAGGATGAACTGATATTTTGCAAATGAACGATTTACGATATGATTTTCCTATTTTACTAGGTAACTCTGTAATTTTCGTTAAATCAATCAGGTTGCCCGACCTATGTTCTCGTTCACTACACTTGTCGAACCTAGGACATTCTGTCTCGGACGCGGACGCCAAATCTATAGATCGCTGATCCGATAGACAACTATGCTAGTGTCTAACTCCAATCAGTCCACGATACTGAACAACTATCAACCGTTATGTTCGGTGGGTAACACTGCCTCACACTCTATAAGATTGAACTTCACCGGTTATGACTTTTTACTAGAAATTCGAGAATTTCCTCTCGAAGTTGATCACTAGTGTAGAGTACACAACAATTATCAGTATAAGACTTTGGAGATTACTGATTTTAATTGAAAATCTTGAACCAGTAAATTTCAACTGTATTGCGTATCAAACAGTTACTCACCGAACAAAATGAATGATGATCGCTCACTAACATGGATTGATTGACGTTAACCACATTCACATAATCGAATGCCAGGTGAGTAGGCAAGATGTTAAATGTTCTCGCGTGAGACTAAAAATCCTGAGTCCAGTTTTATACTTGCAAGTTCATCGGCATGGTGATCTAAACTAGACCACTATTAGAAACCTGAGATCACTGGATAGCTATTTTGTCCTAGTATGGGACTCCACAGTGATAGTACTCACCCACAACTCCTTCACATGGGAATCGGATCCAGGTGCTCCGTTTCAGCGTGTGAAGACCTAACTTCTAGACTACTGAGACAGTATTCATTGGTGTCAATGTCTAATTTCAGCCAATCCATGAAAATAACACAATGTCCATGTGAACTGATTTTGAAGTCACTTAGATACATGTTCCATAACCCTTGATTGCAAAATCCAATCACTCCTTCCTATGTATATGTGTTCACACGAATATCTAAACTGATCAATCCAATGGGATGTGATGTGATCTAATCATCCGAACGATGTCTACGCCTATATAAAATCATGGGCTTAGTCTTTCCAATGATAAATGAGAAGACACATTTTGTAAGATAGTACCATTTCGTGCTTTCTCGTCAGTCACATACAAGCAACATGTTATTTGTGTAAATACAGCAGTTTAGAAGATAAGGTCAAAATTTCTTATTTAGCATGACATTCACTCACTAGAAGAACCATGGTAAACAAAGGTCAACATACAGTTGTTTTTGAACACATAAAGTTGGACTTTTACGACCAATCAAGATAGCTTCGAGTAGTTTCAGTGTGTGTGGTTTTTGATGACATGTCACAACTCTATAAAGGCTGATTTTGGGTCAATTTGATGACCACTCATCATTAGATGTTTTACAATGGACGAGGCTGGATTTCTTGATCGATTTTGAGATGACGGGCTAGGTTGATGAATCATGGATTTGATTAACCATTTTGGAATATGTCCCCCTGTCCTGTCTTCCAATCGGCGATCTGTCCTCCGTAAGTAACTTTTTCCGCAGTTATATGTGAATTGGTAAATACAGTGGGATTTGGACTGAATCTGTCTTGGAAACTTGATTGGGGTAACTGAGATCGATTGAGTTGTTGTGATAAGCCTCAGATTAGCTGCATTGAAGGTCTTTTTTATTGCAGCTGCAGTCTATTTGGTTGTAATTTTCATGCAATGATCGCCCTTGAATGGGAACCACTGTTTCGATTTTCAATGATAATCAGTTTAACAGTGTAGTATGTTTGTTTTATCTATGGTTGCTTTTAGCCGCTGTCTTATAAAAAAGGACTAATTGTTTTAAATAAACATTTCGATAATATAAATTAAAACAAACCCAATTCATTGTACATTGAACAACTTCAACTAATGTTCAAGGAACACATAGAATTATATATTTTTTTAAATAAATAAAATAGTCAATTGCAATACTCATTATCATACTTACATTGACACATTTTAAATGATAATTGGCATTTTTTGGCTCTAAATATAAAACAGTTTGTTTACAAAAATTACATCCTCCAATACCTGGCCAATCACCTGATCCAGTACAATAATGATGTAGTTGATTTGAAGGTTTTTGATTAAAAATAACATTGTTCACTTGGTGGTAGAAATTCTCTTCAATCAAATCATTCGGTGGTGTACAACCTGAGGCACATTCAAGACATTTTTTAGTTATTGGATCTGTATATTTATTTGGTGGACAAGTAGCTCTACAGAATGGACCATCCTAGAGTTGGAAAAATGATAATAATAATAATAGATTGTTCATTTGTTAAGAGCATTGAAATATTGTTACATAAGTTTAAAATGTAATCCACTGTATGAATGCTATTACGAGTTCACTTTACTCGGTAAACGGAACGAAGGCCAACAATACAGTAGTGACACGATAGGTTATTCTAATCTTATTGTCGCCAACCGTGCTAACTAAGGCATGAAGTCTTGATAAGGTGTAGAGAATAATGTATTCTATAGGCACCCAGAAAATACGAGGTTGTTTATATAATGTTATAAACGCTCTTAGGAGAGCCACAAAATAATAGCGTACTAAAATATTCCATCAACCATTGACAGTTAGGGGATTTCCGAGTGAGAAATGTAAGCGCGTAAACATAAAAATTCAAAATTTCAAACAACAAATTACAAAATTAGGTTTTACAAATGACTTCTGAGGATCTAACATCCCCAAGATCTATTAAGATAGTCTTTGCTTAGAATTAATATTTTACCAAGAGGTATACATGAACGTTTAACGTCCAATGGTGTATACATTGTCTAACTTGAATTAATACATCACTTGAGTTATGAGATAATTGTCTATCACAGGTTATGGATGAGAGTTGCAAACTATTGGATGCTGGTTCAGTGATAGTGTGGTGTGAGCTACTTATAAGTAGTATATGACGTGAGTGTCAACGTAATGTCTGCCAGAAGAGAAGATGGGGGGAAGATCAAGAAAGCAAGAGTTAGAACACAATGGAATTTGTATGAAACGCATGAACAGTGACAATGGATTGATGTTTTGCAACAGGAACAGTCCAGTTCGATGAACTGATATTTTGCAAATTAACGATTTACGATATGATTTTCCGATTTTACTGAGTAACTCTGTAATTTTCGTTTATTATAATTCTGTTGCCCCACCTGTGTTCTCGTTCACTACAATAGAAGTTTTCGGATAAAATCTTTAGTGGCGCGGTCGTGGATTTGGACTAAACCTTAGGAAAGAGTTGGATGAAACCATTGTCCAGTGCTATTCAGGTTTCCAATAGTGATCTAACAATGTGTAGGATTTAATTTGTCCTACAGATGAACTTCTAGAACTATAAACGCAATATTGGCAAGCACAGAGTCTATGTAAAGCTATAGAGTCAGAACAAGACCAATTTCGCTTTAAACTTTATCTGTTTCTAAACATAAAAACAATTAGATTAGTACAATAAATAAGGAAATTACAATTATCAGTAAGTAAGACGAGCAAACGTACCGACCAATATAGAGCGTGTCTTATGGAAATGAGTACAGTTATGATGAGTCACATCAATAATAATAATAAGATAATGATGTCAATCAATTTGTAGGTCATTTACACGTTTACAGACACGTCAGGTCGGATCACGTGATGAACGATTAAATCACAATCTGATTGGTTAGTTATGGCATAATTACAATTAGTCATAAAATAACGAACACAATGATTGATTGATTGATGATTTCAACAGGTAATCAAAGAAATGTTTTCAGACAGCTGTATAACTCAGAATCATTTTAATCCTATGAAACGCATTAGCATATTTTTAGACAATCATAGTGAGCAAGTTGATGGAATGAGGATTTGTAAGTAGTGCATTCCACAGAAAATAAGCTGAAGGAAATCAAACTGAACGAAATTAGTTTATTTTCTTGGTTTGTTATACTGTCAGTGATCTCTTTCTTTTATACGATCTAGCTATTCTAATGTATAGTATTTTTCGAACACTGTACAACTCTCAACTAATCCCTACACATTGAACACAGTTAAATTGCATGTGAAAGAATCATAGTAAATAAAAACGAAGTTAACATATATATATATATATATATAATTTTGTACACTAGAATATTTCGAAGTTTTTGCCAGTTATTCAGTAGAGTTTTAATTGGTTAAGAATACACCAATCAGAATGCTTCAGCATAACCTTTCATTGGATATACTTTAATCAAATGATGTAGTTTACTGATTTAACAGATAACGATGTAGAGTTGACGTCTACTAAGCTAGTATGATTTTTTCACTGAGATCTCAAACAACAACATTCAACTAATCAACTGATTTATACCGGTATGTCCATAGTCAGTCATTCATAGAGCCTGAAACACACATGCTTCTATTCAAATCATTACGTCATATTAGTATCACAAGAGGAAAGTATCTAAGTGAACTTCATCGTAGTAGAAGAAATAACCGAAATAACTGTCAACTAACACCAACGTCACAATTTTCAATACAAATATTAAAACTTTCCTACTGTATGGAGCGGAATATGAAAGCTACCATTTGGAAGATACAAGTGTTCATTAACAGTTATCTACATAAAATACATTGGACTCGTTGGCCAGACACTATCATCAACAACCTATTATGGGAAAAAAACAAACCAGATTCTAGTTCAGGAAGAAATAAGGAAGAAGTGTTGAAGATGGATAGGACACGCTTTGCGGAAAGCATTCAACAACAATTCTAACATGAAATAATCAAGACCATAGGAAAAGAGGAAGATGTAGGAACATACTGCCATGAGTAGTGGAAAGAGACATGAAAAGAATGGATATGTTAGGATATTCATCCAATATCCAATTCCTATTGGCTAATTCCTACTGGTCAATTTTATGGTCGTCCTAGATATCAATGTCACGTGCTCCAATGTTGTTTCTTATTGGTTGTCCTGATTATCAATGTCACTTTAAATGTTGCTTCCAATTGATCGTCTTGACTGTCAATGTCACACACTTCGATGCTGTTTCCTACTCGACCTAAATGTATAAATACGCATTATTTGTAACGTTTTATGACCAGGACCCGGTCCCGAATCCCTAGTCCGGGATCCTGATTCTCTTCTGGACTCGGACCTTGTACTTTCTGGATGCTTGTAGAATACTGGATTCTGGATTCTACAACCCCTCTACTTTTGACTTTTTAAACTTTTCTCACTGAATCATACTTCTTGAATAATATCTTCTAATCCTAACCTCTCCGATTACTTCTAATACCTTTACTACCTCTTATACTATTGGATTTGAATCGACAAATATATCTCTGTGCTGATGTGGTATGGCATCATGAACTGATGTACTTACGTACGAAGTTCTACGTTGCATCTGACTGACTGACTGACTGTAGAATACAAATTCTACTTCATATCAAGTCTTATCTTATTTTTGACTCAATATGGTGGTTGGGATAATCGGATTTGAGTAGCATGTCGTGTCGCCGGATCCTCGATCCTCACTCTCGTTTTCCGACTAAGTGGTAAACTCGTAATAGTTCAAGTATATCAAGTCGACGTATTTACATGCAGACGTAACAGAATAACAGTTGAGTAGGATTTGAAAAGGAGAACACCTAAGACAGAGTAGATTGTAGAATACTGGTTAGCAGCCTCCTATACTCGGTTAGAGATAACAGGCGTACGTAAGTAAGCAAGTAAATCCATCAACGCAGCAATAGTATCAGTAATAACAAGAGAAAACTAAAATCGATTACAAATCATACAAAAAGAATCAATAATCCACATTTACTTGTACATATCGACATGAACCAATGCATTGATCATCATTTGGACCAGAGCATGTTTTATTTTGTAAACTACACATTTCGGAACATTTTTTACATTGAAACATTGAACTAGGATTATTTTCAATGAGTTTATTTTCTGCCATAGCAAATTCATTCAATTGATTTGTTTTATCATTATTATTATTATTTTGTAATAAAATTGTTGAAACATTTTTTAAATCTCCCGCTAAATTCAATTCATCATTATTGAACAGTTGTTGTTGGTGTTGTTGTTGTTTTAAATGATGCAATGATGTATCATTGAATTTTGGTGTATAAAAACCAGGTAGATCTTCACAATGCTCAACACATATTCTTTTTCCATGAGGAATAGTTTCTTCAGCAGACCAATATTTACATTGTAAACAAAATTCTCTACCTGGACCCCAACATCCATGATATGGTTGACATAAATTATCACAAACAGCTCCACGTCCTTCTGTTAGATGGATGTGGAAAAAAAATCAATAAGTTACAGAATTATGACAAGATTAATGATTTTTATGTACGAAACATATCATGTACTCACACTAGTGACTAGCTTCTTGAGGAAATTTCTGTTAGTTCTAGTGAGAAGTTGTGACCAGTGGAGTTTAATGCTGTCGGATGTGAAGGCAGTTAGTTACCCATGGAACATAATAGATGAAGTCGTGTTTGACAGCAGACTGATCGACATAAGATATTAACACCAGTTAAGCGTTATCACGTGTTACGAATGTAGGTCACCATGTCATTTGATACGTTTGAACTGTTACGAGTTTACCTTGGTCGGTAAATGAGAGCAAGGATCAACGATCCGGCGACACGACAAGCTACTCTAATTCAAGCGCCTCAAACCCCATGAAGTAGAAGAAGAAGACTTGATATGAAGTAGTGTGGTGCGAACTACTTATAAGTAGTATATAACGTGAGTGTCAACGTAAAGTCTGGTAGCATAATATGTGGGGAAGATCAAGAAAGGAAGAGTTAGAAAACAATGGAATTTGTATCAAACGCATGAATAGTGACAATGGATTGATGTTTGGCAACAGGAACCGTCCAGTTCCATAGGATGAACTGATCTTTTGCAAATGAACGATTTACGATATGGTTTTCCGATTTTACTGAGTAACACTGTAATTTTCGTTAAATGCAATTCGGTTGCCTCCACCTGTGTTCTCATTCACTACAGTAGAACCTGCATTCAACAAACACCCAGAAAATTTGAGGTCCAAGTCCAAAAGAGAATAACGATCCCGCACTAAGTATCCGGATCAGAAACGTTACAACAGACAGTTAGGTCGAATAGGAGACAACGTTTGAAGTATGTGACATTGATAGTTAAGACGACCAATAGGAATCGACCAGTAGAATTAAACTTCCAAAAATAATTCTCTTAGGATATTTGATGAATATCTTAACAGCACGGCAGGCCGAATGTTCTGGGTTAGATTCTCACTAGCTGGGTTGCTGGTGTGCATTGGTACTGACGAGGCCCATGCTAAGACGAAACTGCTGGTTCAACACTTTCAGGTTTCTTTCTAATGATGGTTTCAACATTGATTGATTCATGAGTTCAATATTAATTATGGTATATGGTCTCTTTCTGTTTCTAGTACATCAGTTATTTTCATCTTTTATAATAAAATGTTAGAATTAGATCGAACTACTGTTTTTTCGGGATTCAAAAAGCTTTAATCTTGCTGTGATTTATAATGGACGTATTCATCCTGTTGTTAATATTTAGATTGAAAGTTGATCAGTCTTAGTTGATATATGTACACTTTGTGTTCACTTATGGCGAAGGCGAGAAATCCGTTTGCTGAATAAAGGACAAGCTTACTGCGAAGTAGTTCGCTCCGTTGTACTTTATGGCTGTGAAACATGGCCAGTCAAAGTAGAAGGTAGTCATAGGTTGCTGGTTCTCGATCACAGGTGTATCCAAAGCATTGCTTGTATATCTTGGGACAACCGAGTAAGCAATGTCATTGTTAGGAAATGGGTCCTAGGCAAGGATGGGAAATCTATAGCTGAAGTATTGAAACTTAATCAGTTTAGGTGGTCGAGACATGTGTTGCGTGTTCCTAACCACCGACTGACTAGTCCAGCTATATTTTGCATTGTAGCAATAGTTTGGACGAAAGCTAGGGTCGGCCAGACTAAAACATTTCAGAAATCCATGAAGTCACTGACAAGTGGACTGAGTCATGTCAGTAAGTGTCGACTACCTTGTTGGGGTCCGCGAAATGATACTAATCAATAGTTAGAGACCCAGAATGACATGGCAGTGACACAGGTGCATTTATTCTTTGTGTTCTCTCAAATCCTAACCTTCTGAATTCCTAATCACCTCTATCTTTCTCTTTCTAAATTTATCACACTGAATTATAGTTCTTGAATAACATTTTCGAACCCTAATCTCTCCGATTACTTCTAATACTTTTACTACCTCTACTACTATGGGATCTGAAATTGACAACTGCGTCTCTGTGCTAATGTTGTATGGCAAATTGAACTAATGTACTTACGTACAAAGTTCTACGTTGTAACTAACTGATTGACTGACATTTTGTGCATATTTTCCGCGATATAGCTCTCATCAAACAAATTAATATCGAAAGGTAGACGGTATTGCAACCTACGATACTGGTTTTGTTTTGATTGGTACTTGTCAGTAGGATTTTTAACCTATATCCGACAGCGTTGAATTCCCCTGATCACAACTTCTTACAAGAACTCGGAGAAATTATCACGTGTAAATAGTCGCTTGTGAGAACATGAGACAGAAGATCCTAGGTTCAATTCACCTTGCTGGTGATCGCGTATGCGTACTGCCACTGATAAGTCCCATACTAGAACAAAACGAAATTCCAGTGATCCCAGGTTTCTTTCTAATGATAGTCTAACAATGATAGACTCACGATTTCAATAAAACTCAACAATCTTCACAATGAAACATAGTAAGATAACATGTTGAAATCATGAATCGATCAATGTTAGACCACCACCATCAGAAAGCTGAAGCACCTAGGACATTCACTGTCAGATACTAGTACTAGTGAATGCCGGCTCAGTGGTTCAGATTGTTGTACATTCATGCGCAACAATCAAAGTTCCTGTGTATTTGAATCCTGTGAGTAGCAGGAATCATGTATGCCCACTGCTCAGTACGAAACAACCATCCAGTGCTTCCAGGTATTTAACAGCAATCCAACACTGATCTATTCATGATTTCAAAAACGAGTAGTCACTCAAAAAATCTCCATTTCATCCCTCAAAATACAGAATTCACATTGACAAACAACACACATTATAAAGCATTTTTTATCAAACTTACTACAAAATTCAAAATGTGCATTTCCATTAATAAAAATACTACTACTACTACTACCAACTGATTCTTTCAATGATTGTTTTCGTTTCAAATCATTTTGAAAATTCGCCAAAATTTGCGCCATTAATAGATCATTGTTGTTATAATATTGAATAGTGTTCAATATGTTCAATGGTTTTGTTTGACTTTCATCATTGATTTCTTCATTAGTAGTGGATAAATGTTCATTATTCGTGTCTTCTGATAATAATAATAATTGTGCCCAATTAACTGTATCCACATAGCATAAACGTGGATTCCCAGTAATTAATAAACTAGGATAACCTAATTTTTGTAATGATGTCATACCGAGAAATTCTAAATGATAATTTAAATTGATATTGATTGTACGTGTTTGTTGAATATTTGGACTAACTGTTGTATGCAGAAAAAACAAACAGATAAATACATAATAGAGAAGTAGACATTGATTATTGAAAATAGTTGAATTTCATTGAAATCATGAATCAGTCAATGTTAGGCTATCAATAGAAACTTGGAAGCTGTGGATGGATATTTCATTGTGGTTGTGGTGTGAGCTACTTATAAGTAGTATATGACGTGAGTGTCAACGTATTGTCTGGCAGCAGTAGAAGAGGGGGGAAGATCAAGAGAAAGGAAGAGTTAGAAGAAAACAATGGAATTTGTATGAAACGAACGCATGAATAGTGACAATGGATTGATGTTTTGCAACAGGAACAGTCCATTTCGATGAACTGATGAACTGATATTTTGCAAATTAACGATTTACGATATGGTTTTCCAATTTTACTGAGTAACTCTGTAATTTTCGTTAAATACAATTCGGTTGCCGAACCTGTGTTCTCCTTCACTACAGTGGTGACTAGCAGCTAAATGTGAGGACATTGTTTGTGTTCAAGTTAGTGGCCATTGGAGTTCAAACTTGTCGGGTGTGAGGCAGTAACCCGGCGAAGACAGTCAGTCAGTTAACACTGTTGGATGCCAACCTAGTAGTCGAAATGTTAAGCGTTCCCGCCTGAGACTGAAGATCCTGGGTTTCGATTGTCTTGTGCAAGAGTCACGTATGTGCGCACTGCCAATGAGGAGTCCCATACTATGAAGAAACAGCTGTTCAATGCTTCCAGTTCACTTTTTAATAGTGATCAAACAATGATTGATTGATGATTTCAAATGTGCAAAAACACAAACCTCCAGAACTCTGCCCCAAAATATCGTAACAGTGATCACTGGTGACTAGCTTCGTGAGGAAATTCTCGGAGTTCTAGTTGAGAAGACGTGACCAATGGAGTTCAACCCTGTCGGGTGTAGGCAGCAACTACCAAAGTCAAATGATTGAGGTCGCGCAAAATCCTTAGATCAATCAGAGTTAGACATTAACACCGTAGGATGCCGGCCCAGTGGTCCGATGTTAAGGCGTTCGCCTACAATGCCGAAGGCCCCGGGTTCGAATCCTGCGAGGAGCAGGAGTCTTGGATGCACACTGCCACTGATGAGTCCCACACCAGGACGAAACGGCCGTCTTTCAGTGCTTCCAGGTTTCTAATGCTGGTCTAACAATGATTGATTGATGATTTCAAATGTGTAAAAAACACAAACTTCCAAAACTCTGCTCCAAAAGATCAAACAATCATTGATTTATGATTTCGATCTCTACGACTCTGTAATGAAAATGATCTATGATAGAATCTCCTAACATTTAAATCGTAAAGGTGATAAAAAATTCAACTGATTTATTACTGACTTTAAATGAATAGAAATAGTTAAAATAGATATAATTTTTAAAATATCGCTTGATTAACATTCTTGGTGTTATGCTGATATGTTAGTAGTATAATTCAGTAAATTTTATGACAATCGAAGCAATGGTTTGGATTTGTCTTTTTTTCAAACTTCAATATAGTAAATCGTCATCAGTTAACGTGGCTGGAAAATATGCTATGTGTGCTGAACTATTGACTGCATCGATAAGTGATGTTGTCTGGTGTAGGAGTAGATTGTAACGAAGCTATAGACAGTCAAACTAAAACATGGCACCGGTCCATGAAGTCGTTGATAATTGGAGTGAGATACATTGATAAGTGTGAACTACCCTGGTTAGATTCTGGGTGATAGTCATAAGCAGTAGTTGGAAACTTTAAATGACACACTGTTTAAAGACATTCACAATCATGCAGATGTATCCACACTTGGTATTCTGCCAAATTCTAAGCTCCTCAATTCCTCACAACATTGTTTGTTAGGTCTGGCGTTTGCGCGCAAGACTGAAGGTCCTGGGTTCGAATCCTGTGAGCTGCAAAAGTCGTAGATGAGCACTATTGTTCAACATTTTGTAGAGATTGTTGAGTAAAGTTTACGAAATCATGAATCGATCAATGTTATGCTATCAGAAAAAAAAACCTGGAAGCAAGAGATGGTTGTTTCGTCCTTGGTAATGGATTCATCAACAGTGCTCATTAATGACTACTGCACCTCACTAGAGTTGAACCCAGGACCTTCGGTCTTGCGCGCGAACGTCGAACCGCTGGACTATTTAGTCTGTTATAGTTATTTATGTGAAGACAATTTTTTTCTTGTTTTTTTAAATAAACTGAAATGTGTTATTTGACACATTGAATAGTTCAACACAAATCATTTCAAGAAACTGTGCTTATACGAGCAAAAATGTATATCTACACTGAACTTAGCAATAAAATGCAAATGTTATGATCACGTGATGAATGAATAATAACTGATTTCCTATTCGACCAAAATGTATAAATACGCATTATCTGTAACGTTTTATGACCATGACCAGGACCCGGTCCCGGATCCCTAGTCCAGGATCCTGATTCTCTTCTGGACTCGTACCTCGTACTTTCCCAATGCTTGTAGAATAAATGCTCTACTTCATATTAAGTCTTGTGTTCTTTTACTCAATATGGTGGTTGAGATAATCGTATTTGAGTAGTATGTCGTGTCGCCGAATCCTCAATCCTCGCTCTCGTTTTCCGACTAAGGTGTAAACTCATAGTAGTTCAAGCATATCAAAATGACGTGTTTACGTGAAGGCGTAACAAATAACAAAAAAATAATAGAGTATAATTATATTCATCTTACTTCCTCCAATTATTTTCACATTTGAAAGAAATGTTAAATTAGTTAACCATGGAGCATGAGATCCAGCACTAATATATAATGTTCCTGTAATATATTCTAATTTTGATAAACCAATCATTAGATCATTCCATTGAACACCTTCATCAGTTTGTGTTAAATTATAAAATGGATCACTATACATATTCATGTACAAGAAAACAAATAATTTTTATGAAAAATTTCGTTTGTATTTTTAATCAGGAAATAAGAAAAAGTGGTGGTTTGTTTGAATAAGTTTCCTTTTTTTTGTTTATTTGTTTGTTTTAACGCATCAATGATGTCTGTTAATCGCGCCATCTATTTAGGCGCGCAAATTAAAAGTTTGTGAGTTATCGCTACACAAGATATACAAAAAAAATACAATTTGAGATATCATGGTGACTGGCAATCTACTGAGGAAAGAATGTACGTTATTAAGATATTGATTCCTGATTTGTTTACTTTAAACTGCCCATCGCTAATTGTTTTATGGTGAGGATTTCATATTGCACTAAACATTTAAATATTGAATAAAGCCATTATTGATTATTGTTATTATTATATTTATGTTCAAGATGTTGTGATGTGTTCTTCATTCTAAATAACTTGATTTAATAAATACTACTATGTTAGATGTTTTCATAAATTCTAATATTTTGAATTCCTCATCAGCTTTCTCTTCTGAAATTTATTCTAATGGATTATTCTTCTTCAGTGACATCTTGAAACTCTTAATCTTTCCGATTACTGCTCATAATCTTACTACCTCTCACTATGTTAGTTGAATCAAAAATCGCATCTCTGTGCTAATGTGGTATGACAACTTGAATTAGTGAACGTACGTACGAAATTCGATGTTGTAACTAGGTGACTGACTGACTAACTGACTGTCAGGTGTTTAATGTCCCGACCATGGCTTCCACCTTGTCGTGGTAGTCGGGCTTGATTATCGTGATGATCCAACCGAGCTATACTGGCTTGAACTTATGTTCCTGAAGGTTCTACCATATCAGGTAGGTCGATTGGAGAACGATGAGACTAAAAACAGCTACTCAAGGGCTGAGGGCGAAGTCGTACTGTTGACTGCAGAGGGGTATGACAGCAGTAACGTGTTTCCCTCGGACAACCAGCATCTGCAGCGATGCTGCCTTCTCACAAGGAAGGAAGGCTTAGAAGAGGTCGACCCTAAAAATGTCACACCTCACCCTACGTCACGGATTTCCGTCTCCGGTGGTAAGGGGTGCCCAATAAATGCTTTAAAAGAGAGGAGCTAATACTCTAAAAACCTTTAATAAAAAGGCTGTGCGTGACCGGCCTCAAACAGTTGTCCGTCGGACTCTTCGGTTGCGCCCTCAGGTCTCTAAGACCAACACTAATCTACCTTCCTTTTCACATTCCTCAAGAAACACCTCAATCCACAGTGAGGGCAGCTGGGAAGCGACAACCGACCTCACGCCCGTAACAGCACGCGAGACCGAATAGGTCACAATCAAGTCCTTCCTTCACCCCCTAACAACCCCCTTATCTTCACGACTAACTCTTCTCCCATTCCTTTAGCATCCCGCACCTCTGCTGCAAAATATACGATTTCACGAAACATCATTCCTGTTCTCTTGAAACCTCGTTCTAAACCACATGTTTTAATGTACGGACATTGTATCCAATAGGGCAACAGGCTTCGTTAGCTAGTACTTTAGAATCTCGTGCCATTGATGTATGCTTCGTCTCGGAAACGCGCATACAGGATCCTAATAAAATCACCAGTTTTTTTTCACCTGGTCAAAATAAAGAACCAACTTGATTCACTCTTTGTGTATCTGGCAGCCCTAATGCTGCCTCACAGGGTCTCGCTGGCGAAGGTATAGCATTGAGTCCTAGGGAACAACTAGCTCTTTTTAGACTGGATACCAATAGACAGTCGCTTGTGCGCTGTCTGACTAGACAAGACAGTAAGAACTCGGAAAGATAAGGACACTCGTCGTTGCCTCTTCATCGTATCTACCTATGCTCCTACTGACTGCAGTTCAGACGATGTGATAGATGAGTTCTACAAAAAGCTTTCGGACCTCCTCCAAAAAGTTAAGCGCTCTGATGTAGTAATAATGGCTGGTGACTTTAATGCTCAAGTAGGTAGACTAAGTGAAAAGGAAAGACACCTAGGTGGATGTTATGGTGTCACGGCTCAGAGAACAGACAATGGCGACCGTCTGTTGCAACTGTGCTCAGATAACCGCCTATTTCTAGCAAACACTAATTTTAAGCATAAGGAAAATACATCTCTTGACCTTATTATCAGCTTTTCATTCAATGTTCAACAAATAAATTCTTTCAATATTCAATAAATGATTCTTTAAATAAATAACAAGAAAATGATGAAAAAATAAATCTACAAAATTACCCAATAAACGATTGCATTGATAATTTAATGTCACCTTCAAATACTGTACAATTTTCCATAGCATGAAGTGATTTACGATGTAAATAATCGATGCCTTTAATTGTTTCAATTTCTTTCAATGTACAAACTGAAATTTATATAACCATAGAAAAAATTCAATTGAAATTCAATGATTATTTGTTTAAATTTATTTCACAGATAAAAAAGTGATTTGACTGCAAACTGACAGCGAAATATAAATGTCGTCATCATGATAAACTTAGATTTCATTGAGCCAAGAATTATCATCAAAACAAATGGCAATCTATGTCACTCGATGTGTACACATACGTGCGTTTTAAACAATCTAAAATAATGTTTCAGTGATTCAATGATTGATGCTGATTGGTTTAAAACAATGGAACAAATTAACCAATCATATTGTTGCAAACATGTAGCTAGCTGCATGAATAGTGAGACAATAACGTATGAACGACCTTGAGGTGATATCGGGATGACCTTGATGACATTCACCTGCTTACTAGGGTGGTTAAAATAGAGCTATGAAGTAATGTGAGAAATTAAGAATAGGGTTTCAGATCTAAGTGAATGCGTTAGGAATTAGAGTTGAAGATTTTCATCACCAACTGATATCACTTGTAATCTTAAAATATTATTCGATTTAAGGGATTGATAAGTTTTGCGTCAAAATGGAAGATTTACTATCTCAAATCTGATTGGTCCGTCAATTAATTATAGCTCCGCAGCATTAATTACAACAGAAAATAAAAAAATTATTGTTATGTTCGTCACTAGGTACGCTTGAAGCTATTACGACGAGTTCACCTTAGTCAATAAACCCGAACGAGACAATGAACCAGCGTCCAGGTAGGCTAACTTGAATCCCAAACTGCAAAACAGAAGACTTGCTTGATAAGCATAGAAAGTATATTCTATCAACACCCAACAATCACAATGCAATCAAGCACGCAACTCTCGTTTATTTATACATCATAGAAACGTCCTTGGGACAGTCACAAGAATAGCAGACTAAAATACACAGCAGCCAATCACAGCCATGGATTTTCCTGATCGGAAATGGAATCTCAAAGTCAACTGATCAGCCCATGCTGGCAAACGTGAAATCCAAAATAAGGCGAGTTTTGGGGATCCAATATCCCCCAACAGTTATGTACTTAACTAACTCAAGATGAATCTGTAAAAAGTGTTTAGATTGATCAAGAACTATGAATAGGGATTGATAAATACTACTCATAAGATTATATAAGTATTAAGTGAATCTAAGGATGAGAGCTTTAAGACGGAATCACACCTATCCATGAAATAAAATCACTCGCGTCCTTAGTTCACTGTACCGATCCCTCCAGGAAAAAGTATGCAATTACTTCTAAATATAGTATTCGAGGTTAAAAATAAGAAGACCTCTCTACCAGTGTGACTATTTCCGAACTATGTTACCTAATGGATAACAGGATGACTTTTTAAGTGAAAGGGTAGTGAAGGTGGATGATAATGGAAGTGTTTTGTTCTCTGAATTGAGTATTTTATTTGTCGAGAAGAACAATGAAAACTCCACAACCAGCTCAGAAAACGAAACTCCATTAAAACTGAAAGCGAACGGTACTTGGTTCGAGTATTGGAGTGAAAACAAACTCATATGTAAGGCAAATACCTTCAGCCAGAGATGAGTCCAAAATAGGAGTTTTGGATTCCACTGTTAGCCAATATCCCACTCTGCGAATAAATTACTGTTCTTCCTAATCTGCATAATTGTTGTACTTGTCAACTGATACGCTTGATGATTTATTACGAGTTCAACTTAGTCGATAAACGAAAGCGAAAACAAATGATCCTGTGACACGATAGGCCACTCTAATCCGAGGACTCACAACGTAGAGGAAGAAGTCTTGGTATGGCGTAGATAGTCCATTCTACAAGAACCCAAATAATCATAGTTGACAAGCACACAAATCGATTTTATTTATACAAGATAGAAACGTCCTTGGGAGAGCCACAAAAATAGCGTACTAAAATTATACATCAACTACTAATGACAGTCAAGGCTTTTTCGGGTGGGAAATGTAATCTCAACAAGGTCAACTAATCAGCCTTTGCTCGAAAACATCCAAAATCCAAAATTAAGACATTTATCAATGGGGTTCTGGGGATCTAACGACCCCCAACAATAATAAGTAAGTGTTTAAATTCCAATACATTTTTTTTCACGAGTGTAATTATTGAACAGAAAAAAAACTTACAAATCAATTATTCTAAACTTACTTTTAGGACAAATAGAATTTGCACAAGGTATACATTCACCTTGATATGCAATATAACCTGGCCGTGCACATTTCGATACACAATGATCACCATCTCTTAGATAGGTTTCTTAGAAGAATGAACAAAATAATAATTTGAAAAATTTTAGAAAAAATTTCTTTGTTGCAACTTGTACAGTTTAATTATAATATCTGGTTATTAATGTATTCAGTTGAAATGCATTAAGTATTCTTTGGCAGGACAGAGTTGGTTGGAGAAAACTGGTCGGCAACCTATGCTCCTTTGGGTGTAACAGGCATAAGTAAGTAAGTAAGTAAGTGAATAAGTGCATAAGTTAGTAAGTAAGTAAGTAAGTGAATAAGTGCATAAGTTAGTAAGTAAGTAAGTAAGTAAGTAAGTAAGTGCATAAGTAAGTAAGTAAGTAAGTAAGTAAGTAAGTAAATAAGTGCATAAGTGCATAAGTGCATAAGTATGTAAGTAAGTAAGTAAGTAAGTAAGTAAGTAAGTAAGTAAGTAAGTAAGTAAGTAAGTAAGTAAGTAAGTAAGTAAGTAAGTAAGTAAGTCAATACTCTCAATGAGTCCAGAGTAGAAATGAATACGTGATGTCAACATCTCAGGCAAAGCACAGAATACAGTGGGCAGCTCGGAGTACTCTAGACGATCTGAACTTCGAAGAAGATCTAGCTCTACTATGCTACACATGGCAACCAATGCAGGAGGAGATAGCCAGTGTGTTAGGAGCCTCTGAAGTAGTATATGTCAACGAACACAATGGAAAAAGTAAGATCTTTTTTAATACAACACAACATGCACAAGACAAATCATATTTGACGGAGAAACTTTGTGAGATATGAAAATCTTTACATATCTGGGCAACATCATTGATAAACAAGATGGTACTTATGTAAAGGTAAAGACATGGATTGGTATAGCAAAGGCGGCATTTCTACAATTGAAACATTTCTACGACAACCTACTGTGGGAGAGAACAAACTAGATTCTTATTAGCGGAAGAAATCAAGAGAAAAAGTTGCTGTAGATGTAAAGGACAAACGTTGAGGAAAGCACGCAACTGAGTCCGAGAACAAGCCCAGACTTGGAATACTCAAAACCAAAGGAGAATAGAAAAGCCGAAAAACCCATTAGGTCGAGAATTGGAGACAGATGTGAGAAGAATGAACAAGTAAGTATGTTAATAAATCAGTAGTAACTGAATACATCATATGTGAAAAAATTTTAACTTTTATGTTTTATGCTTGAAATATGATGCAATGTTCGCATCAGATCAGTAGTTTAACATTTTCTTAAAATTTTTTTCAATGAATTAGCTTCTCAGAAAACAACTAGTCAATAAGATCCATTTACTTACTTACTTACTTACGCCCGTTACACTCACCACTTTCCTACAACCAACTCTGTCCTGGGCTCCCCTCTCCAGTTCTGTCCAATGTTTGTTCATTCTTCTCATATCTTTCTCTATTTATCGGCTTAATGTGTTCCTTGGCCTTCCTCTTTTCCTTTCGCCTTCAGGGTTCCAGGTGAGGGCTTGTCTTGTGGCGCAGTTCGGTGCTTTTCACAGCGTGTGTCCTATCCACTTCCACCGCTTATTCTTGATTTCGTACTCTACTGGGATCTGGTTTGTTTTCTCCCACAGTACGTCGTTGCTGATTGTGTCTGGCCAACGAATCTGAAGTATTTTGCGAAGACAACTAACTATTAATAAACACTTGTATCTTCTGGATGATGGCTTTCGTAGTTCTCCAAGTTTTCGCTCCATACATTAGAACTGTCTTGACATTTGTATTGAAAATCTTGATTTTGGTTTTGGTTGAAAGTTGCTTGGAGATCCAGATATTTTTCAGCTGTAGAACTGCAGTCCTTCCTTTGTTAATCCGCGCCCTCACCTCTGCGTCGGATCTACCTTGGTTGTCGATGATGCTCTCCATATGTCCAAATGTTTGTACGTCCTCCGATCCATGTCCATCGAGAGTTATTTGGTTGGTGCATGTTGTGTTGGATTGGAGAATTTCGCCTTTTCCTTTATGTATGTTGAGACCTACTGCTGCTGCAGAGGCTACTACTACACTGGTCGTCTTCTCTTGCATTTGTTGTTGCATGTGCGATAGAAGAGTCAGGTCATCTGCGAAGTCCAAATCGTCCATCTGCATCCTTGCTGTCCATTGGATGCCGTGCTTCCCTCCAGATGTCGACGTCTTTATGATCCACTCGATCATCAGGAGAAAGAGATCTATTTAGGTTTAGATGAATTAAAGTTTCATTGAAATCATAAATCGACCAGTGTTAGACCATCATTAAGAACCTGGAAGCACTGGATGGTCTTTTCGTCCTATAGTCTGCAACTCATTATCAGTGCTGATCCACCATTCCAAACCGAGATTCTAGTAAGAAGCCATGATCAGTAAATTTCAACCATGTAGAGTATGAGACAGTTATTCATAGAAGAAAATAGATAATTTGGCTCAAGATCGTAGATTGATCGGAGTCAGATATCGACACTTTTAGATTTTAGTGGAGTAGTCCTGAGTTCGATTCCCTCATGCAAGATCTTGGACGTACATTGCTCACACGACAATGGAACGGCCATACAGTGCTTCCGCCTTACTAATGTTTAACATTTATCGATTCACGTCTTCCAAATATGTCCAACCCAGCAATCAAGAGTTTTGTCTTCATCTGATTGTGACTATTCTCTATTCAAGTCACTCTACTGATAACCAATTAAATACACTATGGTAGGTAACTGTGTAAAGTACATAAATCATACAAAACTTTCTTATTTATCAATCTCTCATAGCCATTAAATTGTGACTTACTTGGACAAGTTTTCACACAAATCATACCGAATGTTAATAAGCCATCAGGATTTTCCATCCAACTAAATGTTGATTTATTATATTTTTTCGATGCTGGACATGAATCTGTACAACGACCTGCATTTGATAAACGTAAACATGCCTAGACAGGACAAAGAAATAAAATGTATGTAACCCAAAAGAAAAAAGTATTTGATAAGTGAAAACATGCAATGACACTTGTTCAAGAACTGACTTTCATCATCATAATGTGAGAAATTTTCCATATTCCTGTTGTGGTGTGTGCTACTTATACGAACGATATAAGTAGTATAAGAACGGACGTGAAAGAAGAAGTCTCACGGTCACAAGAGGAAAACGGAAAGCAAATGGAGCAAAAGCAAGAAGTAATTGGAGTACCAACAGAGGAAGGAAAGGAAGCAACAACAGGAATGGAAGAAGGATGGAGCGTTGGAAGTCACGACTCAAAGATGGTGTGCAAATAGAGTGTTTTTTAATTGACTCAGAGTGTAAATTTGCATGATACAATCTTCCGCGCCTGCCTCAGTCCTCTCACTATTATCTGATGATTTAGAGTGTTGTTCAACTGTAAGAAAGATTTAGTAGACGTTCAACTCCAAGATTAACACGATTACAGTTCGTAAAGATCAATCATGTACCGACGAAATCGTGACATTATGGATCATTGTGGAACAATCAATTGAATGAAATGATTTTTCATCATACTTTTTACAGACTGATCTCTTTCTAGTTATCATTAAGAAGTTGAGAGTGCTAAATAAATATCTCATTGTTACGCCTGCAGGTAAGCACGTCAACTTGATATACTTGAACTATTTATTACGAGTTTACCACTTAGTCGGAAAACGAGAGTGAGGATCGAGGATCCGGCGACGCGACATGCTACTCAATCCGATTTTCCCTACCCCCATATTGAGTAAAATAAGAAGACTTGATATGAAGTAGAACATTTATTCTACAAGTATCCAGAAAGTACGAGGTTCGAATCCAGAAGAGAATTAGGATCCCGGACTAGGGATCCGGGTCCTGGTCATAAAACGTTACAAATAATGCGTATTTATACATTTTAGTCTAGTAGGAAACAGCATCGAAGTGTGTGACATTGACAGTCAAGACGATCAATAGGAAGCAACATTTTAAGTGACATTGATAATCAGGACAACCAATAAGAAACAACATTGGAGCACGTGACATTGATATCTAGGACGACCATACAATTGATAAGTAGGAATGAACCAATAGGAATTGACCATTGATTCTCTTAGGATATTGGATGAATATCCTAACACGCATCCTATCATGAGACGCATCCATGACTAAACGATGTATCGAACCAAGAACCATTAGTTTTTCTAAAATTAGGATCATTAGATCACCGTCTATCGGTATAGTTTCAACTTCAGTCAATTCCTATCATCTGGTGATTTAGAGTGTTGTAAAACTGGATGAAAGATTCTGTAGACGCCCAACTACAAGATCAACAGACTACATCGCGTAAGGATTAATATCATGTAACGACAAAACCGCGATTAACCACAACATTCAACAATGAAATCAGAATGGAAGAAGCTTCGAAGGATGTGGAAACTTTCACATATCTCTGGACAGCATCACTGATAAACAAGGTGGATCCGACGAAGATGTAAAGATACGGATTTGCAAAGCAAGAGCGATATTTCTACAGTTGAAGAACATCTGGAACGCTAACCAAGTGTCAACCGACATCGATTGGGCTTCACTGATTTATGTTCAATTTTATACCATTCAGATGAAAAAAAACCCCGATAAAATTCCTCTTCATAACAGTACAAACATTAACTATTAAGCCAAAAGACCAACTGTATAGTAAATTGAGTTCTATTGTGATAGAATAAGAGTTTGGTTGAATATGTTCTGTGGGGAATGGTACTACTTTTTATCATACTCCTGACAGACTAGTCTCATTCGAAATGCCATCAAAAACTGGGAAACGCCTGATAGATATCTCATTCTTCCATGAGACGCACCGATAACCAAGCGAGGTATCGAACCAAGGACTATTAGGTTTAAAAACCAGGATCGCCCGTATATTGGTACAGTTCTAACTTCAGTCCAAATTTTCCATCATACCCAACGACCATCCAATCACTTTAGAGACAACTGTTTCCTATTCAACTTGTAAAAACTACATAACATATGAATACCCTCTAGATGTTAGTATCCTACGTTTGATCAATGATCATATGTCCTTTACCGAACTGTGATGTATGAAGTGTTTTACCACTTAATATCCACTTGAACAGGAATTTAAATCAACTTTTAAAATATTTTCGTGCGCGAGACCAAACATCTTTCATTCGATTCACATGTGAGGAGGTCATGGATGTGCACTGTGAATGAATCCTGTTCTAGGATAAAACAGCCGTTCAACAGATTCATAATTCTAACAATGGTCTCACATTAAAAATATAATCTCTGTTTTTAATTTTTTTTTCATAAAAAATTCAATTAATTTTTTATACTACTGAATTGATCACATACATTACAATCACGAGCTCTTGGTCCATCACAACCAGCTGCACATTCAGAATGACAACATTGTTCTTTTGATGTAGATCGTGAAGTGACAAAATCATTCATACTTGCTTGATATTGATGATAAGTTGAATTCTTACTGGGATGATGATGATATTCGCTTGGTGTTGAACGAAAACACCAATTCGATCCTTCACATAAACGAATTTGACATTTATGAACTGAAATATTAAATAGATAAATAAAAATAGATATTTGACATTCCAAAAAATGAAAAAAAAATTCTATGATATATATACAAGTGTACTATTTTATTTTTCATGTGTTGATAGAATTTTTGTACTGTGAAACATTTCGATTAACGCGTTATATTTGAAATTGGTAAGTTGTTTTTGACCGAACCAATCCCCACAGGTGACGACATATTTTAGTAATCAATATGTGGTGCTGTGGTGCGAGCTGCATATAAGTAGTATATGACGTGAGCGTCAACGTAATGTCTGGCAGCCGAAGATGGGGCGAAGATCAGGAAAGGAAGAGTTAGAACACAATGGAATTTGTATGAAACGCATGAATAGTGACAATGGATTGTTGATGTTTTGCAACAGGAACAGTCCAGTTCGATAGGATGAACTGATATTTTGCAAATTAACGATTTACGATATGGTTTTTCGATTTTACTTAGTAACTCTGCAATTTTCGTTAAATACAATTCGGTTGGCCCACCTGTGTTATCCTTCACTACAATACGACTAAGTTATCAGATAATTTTATTGGACACTTGAAATGTTTGATTCCAATTTGGTACCACTGTCAATGACGCAATTATTTGGTCATTTAAGCGTACAATTATTGGTAGAATGAGACACCTAAATATTTAAGAGCCATATAAATTGCTTATGCTAGAGGTGTTGTGGGTATCTAACAGTATCGTAAAAATGTAGTGAAAGAGAACACAGGTGAGGGCAACCGAATTGTATTTAACGAAAATTACAGAGTTACTAAGTAAAATTGGAAAACCATATCGTAAATCGTTAATTTGCAAAATATCAGTTCATCATATCGAACTGGACTGTTCCTGTTGTAAAACACCAATCCATTGTTACTATTCATGCGTTTCATACAAATTCCATTGTTTTCTAACTCTTCCTTTCTTGATCTTCGCCCCATCTTCTGCTGCCAGACATTACGTTGACGCTCACGTCATATACTACTTATAAGTAGCTCGCACCACAGCAACACAAATATACAACAAGGGCGACAGATTCGACTGCTCCATGCTCGACTAACAACCCAGTACTGATTTGTCCCAAATTGAAGAGGAAAAATAAGAAGGCCAATGATCATAAATCCAAGATTCTGTGACTATATATATACATATATAGTGCAGAACAACACAACACAGATATAAGCGAACAGTATATTGTTGTTTTCGATTAGATCGTCATCAGGTTGCTGCTTTACTCTCTAATATACATGAATATTTATGTTTTTGAAAACTGTTAAACTAATCAAGGCAATTTGTGAGTCAATCATCACAATGAAATGAAATAGAGATTACGTCACTACACACATAATAGGTGGAAAAGTACAAGCTGATAATAGTACGAAGACAGGTGTACTGATAGAGTAGTAAGAGAAATAAAACACGATAACTAAAGTTTTATCAATAGTAGGTCAAAGGTGGATGAATAGACTTCAAATAATCATTAAAAACATTAAAAAACCATAGCTATCTCCACAGGAGCAGCTGAATTTGTAAATGCACATAGAGTAGTAGGCCAATTCAGGTAACTTATCCTTCGTTTGGGTAGACATCGCTGGTCGACTTGAGAATGTCAATGCAAGTTTGGCTGCATTGAATGTTCTATTTAACTGCTCTCATTAATCTTTCCTGTAGAGTATCGCAGACCACATCTCCGTTGAATTGTAATTTAATAAATAATGGCTTCTTTCGGACGGTTGAAATTACTGACTTCTTTTTTACATCAACCATATGGGGCATACTATCAGGCAATTTAACCAACGAATGAGTGAACATCTCGCCGCAGCATGGTTTAAGAAGGGTCAGTCAAAAATAATACGCAGTTCGGTCTTAGCACACTTGGTTGATAGTGGTCATATTGTAGATAAGTCTAGATCTTTTCGGGTGATCTATCTGGTATACCTCCATCATTTCCCAACGGAGTTCGATCCCGTCTCCTACGCACATTGCAGAAGCCATAGGAATTCGTACATTCAACCACCATTTATGTATTCAGAAGAAATTCGTGACACCCTTATCTCTTCCGTGGCCGGATATGACGTAACTAACGACTGGCATTATATTTTTTATCTTATTTTATTTTTACACATTTGCTTATTACGTAATGGTTTTGATGTTTTTTTAATGATTATTTGAAGTCTATTCATCCACCTTTGACCTATTATTGATAAAACTTTTGTTTTACGGGGTTGTGAAGATTGTTAAGTTACACATTTTTGAAACCATGAATCGATCAGTGTTAGACCACCATTAGAAATCTGGAAGCACTGAAAGACTGCCGTTTCGTCCCGATATGGGACTCCTCAGGAGTGCACATCCACGACTCCTGCACCCCGCAGGATTCGAACCCAGGACCTTCGGTATTGTAGGCGAACGCCTAACCATCGAACCACTGAGCCGGTACCTATCGGTGTTAATGTCTAACTTGATCAATTCACCTCATACATAGTCCGGTGAGCACTGCTTCATACTGCTGAGGAGTCCCATACCAGGACGAAACGGCCGTCCAGTGCTTCCAGGTTTCTAAGGGTGGTCTAACATTGATCGATTCATGGTTTCGAAAAAAAATGTAAAACTTTTGTTATCGTATTTTATTTCTCTTACCACTACTATCACTGTACACCTACCTGTCTTCCTACTATTATCAACTTGTACTTTTCCACCTATTATGTGTGTAGTGACGTAATCTCTATTTCATTTCATTGTGATGATTGACTCACAAATTGCCTTGATTAGTTTAACAGTTTTCAAAAACATAAATATTCATGTATATTAGAGAGTAAAGCAGCAACCTGATGACGATCTAATCGAAAACAACAATATACTGTTCGCTTATAATATATTGTGTTGTTCTAATTTCCACAATGGGAATCTTTAATACATATATCTGTATGTTTCAGACATTCCATTCAAAGAGTCATACAAAAAAATCAAAACAGACCACATCGCACCAATAAATGAAAATCAAGAATTAACCAATCAGAAGTGACTGTAAGTAGGGCAAGTTCTATAAATATTAATATACTTGTCAACAAAATAAGAAACAATAAATCCTATGATGATAATTTATAGGTTAATGAAAAGTTTATAATAAAAAGAGAATTAATACATGTATGTCAGGTATGACAATCTTTCTCTCTCTAGAGTTTTCGATATGTATTTCCCTGAATGTTTAACTGTAATCTTGTATATTTAGGTTGGCACTGATATGCTACACGTTAAAACTAGTTTATACCAATTGTAAGATTCATTTTGTGAAGGTTTTGTTTAGGGAAAATCCCTGCATGTTGGAGATACATTTGTAATTTGTCCCTAATTGAGATTCCTTCAGTTGTACATTTTTTAAGTCTGTTCGATTCCATTTTTGAGATGATAATATTTGTATTTTTGATTATAGTTTCTATTTCTTCTGCCTTGACTGAGTTTCTGTGTGTTTCTTTCTGAACTGCATTGATGTTGTTTAAGCGGATACTTAGTGACATGGCGACAGCCATTTTTAATTTGTGCCTCTTATGATTGTGTTGCTTCCTTGGACTGGAATTGTGCATTTCTTGAATTGTGAATTGAAGCACTCTTCTAGAATAGTGAACACTCTGTGTTATACAGTGACCAAATATTATTTTTCTAACGAATCTGATCTATCCAGGAGGGATAGAATAACGTTTATTTGAATAATTGAACAATTGTTGGTGGAATAATAACTGAGTGGTAATATTTTATTTAGGTAATGATGTATATTTATATTTATGATGAATATTAGAACCACTGTCATTTACCCAAATCACTTGTTTTGAATTTAAGCTGGGCAATAGCGTGCATCTAAACTACTTAGACGGTAATTCCTCAGTTCAAACCTCAGTTAAAACTAGTTTATACCAATAAATTTGTTTTGTTTTCAATGATGACATCATTCGAAAAGAGAAATTTTTTTGGAGAGTTCGTAAATATTCATTTTTTATAGTTGTATATGTAAGCTTTCAATTTCGCTGGTGAGAATTTCTGTGATTGCCATTTTCAAGTAGGATCTGACACTTATCTGATACTTACTTACTTTTATACCGCCTCGTGAAGCATGAGTTACCTACCAACTAGTAAAACTTGTGCTCACTTTGTTCTTGATTTGCTTTAACAGTTGTTTTCAAAAAACTTTTCATTCTTCTTATTGTCTGTTTTCGATTTCCGGAGCAATCTGTTTTTGGGCAATTCCTCTTTATTTTTCTCCTTGAGGATTCCAAGTGATAGCAGCTTGTCTTGTGACTCAGGTGGGTACTTTCTGTGCTTCTGTTACGCCTGCACGTAAACATGTCAACTTAATATACTTGAACTATTACGAGTTTACCCCGTAGTCGGAAAATGAGAGCGAGGATCGAGGATCCGGCGACACGACACGCTACTCAAATACGATTATCCCAACCCTTATTGAATAACAGAAGAAAGCTTGATATGAAGTAGAACCTGTATTCTATAACGTTACACATAATGCGTATTTATACATTTTGGTCAAGTAGGAAACAGCATTGAAGTCTGTGACATTGACAGTCAAGACAACCAATAGGCAGCAACATTTGAAGTGACATTGATAGTCAGGACAACTAATAATAAACAACATTGGAGCACGTGACATTGATATTTAGGACGACCATAAAATTGACCAGTAGGAATGAACTTATAGGAATTGACCATTGATTCTCTTAGGATATTGGATGAATATCTTAACAGCTTCATCCTGACTTCCTCCTCTATTGGAATCTAGTTTGTTTCTTCTCACAGTAGGTTATTGTTGATGGTGTCTGGCCAACAGAATTGAAGTATCTTGTATAGACAACTGTTGATAAACATCTGTATCTTTTGAATGATGGCTTTTATGGTTCTCCCCAAATTTGCATCTCCCTACAGTAGAACTAACTGTGTTGACATTTGTATTGAAAACTCTTATGGTTATTTTAAGTTCTAGATGTTTTTCAACTGTAAGAATACTATCCCTACTTTTCTAATCCATGCCTTCACATTTACATTAAATCCTTCAAGTTTATCCTTTTGATCCAGACTAAGTACGTAAGCGTTTCCATCATCTTCAGAACTTTTTCATCAAGTATATTTTGGTTGTGTGTGTTTTAAGAGTGTTTTTTTTGAAAAGTTCGGTATTAACCCTGTTTATATTGAGTCCGACTGCCACGATGCTTGCTGCTATACACATGTATATAATACTTAGTGTGATATTCTTTTGTTTAAAAATCAGGTTCATTGTTAGTGAATTTCTTTTTTGCACTAATCTCAGTTTTAAAACTTTCTTGAAATGAAAAATGGACTAATCGTATAGTTAGTTTACTCATTTTTCCTGCTTTGTGTTATAACTCTAACGGTTGATCAATAAATATCACGTGACAAATACAAAATACCAATCAGAATTATCTCTCACTCCCTGAGAACCTAGAGTCAATTCTAGATTCTTATTGGTCAAAAATGTCATAGCTATGTTCTTTCTATACGCTGCCTTCATCGTCCACAAGGTCGTAAGGGATAGCATTCAAGGCTAGTTCAACTAACTCGGTAAACGGAACGAAAGCAATGACTCAGTGACACGATTGGCCTCTACTAATCCGTTTGTCACAGCCCAGGCTAACTATTATATCAAGTAGTCTTGGTAAGTGTATTTATTCTACAAGCAATCAGAAAGATTAAAGGTTGTTAAGCGTACTTAAAATCATCCACCAACCAATCACAATGAAGGATTTTCCGGTTGGGAAATATAATATTCTCAAGGTTAACTGGAGCGTAAACATTCAAATTCAAAAATTTACCTGTTTGACATTGATCACGTCTTGGACCCCAACAATAACGTTTACCTTGAATTGATGGACAAGATGTATGACATGGTAGTGTGGGATGTTCCATAGTTCGATAATTCACTGCCGGTTTGTCGTCAATTTTTGGAAGATCCATTTTCTTCTTCTTCATCTCTTCATCGTCAATTTGTACATTTGATGTTGTTGTTGTAGTATTTTCTTGTGGGAGAATATCAGTTGTAGAATAAGTATTCCATGCTGAGATATTGTACTCAGTGGTTTCGGTTTCGATCACGTTCGTAGTTCCAACGTCACTGTCATTATTAACCGTTGAAAGTTCTGTTTCATCCAAGACTTAGATTTTTATTGAAAAAAACAGAATGTTAACATTTACGAATGAAACGTTTAATAAATGTGTAAAAAAACACTAATCTCCATAACTCTAATTGAAAATATCGTGAAATGTGCTTACTAGTGACTAACTATCTTCGTGAGGAAATTATCGGAGTTCTAGTTGAGAAGACATGACCAGTGGAGTTCAATCCTACCGGTTGTAGGCAGTAACTGTCAAAGAAAAATGAGTGAGGTGGCGCAAAATCTTTAGATTGATAAGAGTTAAACATTAACACCACTAGATGCTGGCCCAGGAGTCCAGAGGTTAGGAGATCGCGCACAAGACCTAAGGTTCTGGGTTCGAATCCTGCGAGATGCGCACTGCCACTGATGATTTCAAATGTGTAGAAACACGAATCTCTCATTAGGTACAGGTTAATCTTATTATGTAATAAACACATCAGATTGTTTAGAATTTTATTTTACGTCATTAAGTAATAACTGCATCTGGAGGTCTTCTAGGGTTTACTGCTGGTCCCAAGCCCAGCATATAAAGGAGGAGGGTTAGGCATTAATTAAGGTTAGCGACACTATCCGTTAAAAATCAGACTTGATAAAATGGAGCTAACCAGAAAAAAATTAATTCAAATCATTTAAACTCTGCGCCAGAGAATTGGAAGATCTTCAGTTAGAAAATTTATGACGCCTCATGATGAATGCCGAGTAGTTAGTTCGAAAGTCATGAGGCCAATGCCTATTCTCACAACTTCAGCAACAATTAGTATAAATAGATGGAATGTCCGTACAGTGTGGAAAACCAGAAGTACCCTTTAATTTGCCGCGGAAATGAAAAGATACAACTTGATGGTGTTTCAACCTACTTTGGAACTAAACAAACCAGATTTCAGCTGAGAAATAAGTCAGGAAAAAGTGCTAAAGATGGATAGGACACGCACTGAAGAGAGCACCCACCCTCGCCTAGAATCCTGCAGGCCAAAATGAAAGAGTAAGACCAAAGAACACATTCCACGGAGAAATGGAAACAGACATGAAAAGAATGAACAGCGAATGGGTAGAACTGGAAAAGAAGTTCCTACTAATATAGGACTTATAAACACTACGCATCCATGATTCTATGAACGTGAATTGAATCATCTATATCGTGGATTTATTGATATCACTACATTACCGGTAGTGACTGTCCGCTCAATGGTCAAATCGCAAATGCACCGTCGTGGATGTACATTGGTGTTGAGTCCTATGTTGGGATGAAACCACCGCCCAATGTTTACAAGTTTCTAAAAGTGATATAACATTGATTGATTGACTGATTGATGATCTTAAAGCTACAACTAATGAGTGAACATTTTTTTTGGATTACCCTGACTTGAGATAATAAGGTTATGAAATGTATATATACTTGATATAATCGTCAACTGATATGCTTGAATGCTATTACGAGTTCACATTAGTCGGTAAATGAGAGCGAAGAGAAATGATCCAGTGCCACGATAAGCTAGCTACTCTAATCCAAGCGTCCTAAAGCCCCACTAAATAGAGGATGAAGTCTTGATATGGTGTAGAAAGGTGTATTCTACAAGCATTCAGAAAATATGTGGTTTTGTACAGAAAAAGCAGAAGAGGAGCATAAAACTTTACTGACAATGCATATTTATACAGTTAGATTGATCGTGAATATTGACCAATAGGAAACAACATTTAAAAGTATGTGAAGTTGATAGTTTAAGAAGACGACCTTAAATATTGACCAATAGGAATTGACCAATAGAATTAGTCTCATAAAATAATTTCTTTAGAATATTTGATGAATATTCTGACAATAATACTCTTCACTGTGTTTGGTTGACCTAACTTAAGGTTACTGATGTAACAATTTTTGATTGATTGATATCTGAGAATCTGACACTCATTCCTGTTGATTTCTTCTACATAAAAGTGATCACAAGTTATCATGCTTCAACTGTTTTATTTTCAGATACAGTCAGTTATTTGAAATATATTAGAATTTATAATTACTGTAGAATATCTCTCAATTTAAAACAAGACAACTGAATTCACTCACGTACTTGAACCTAGCACTATTTACTCTAAACATCTTTTCACTTTCTAGTTGGTTATTGAGTTCAGATAGTAACAAACTTGTGTCATTGAATAAAGTTTAATACATATGCATCACTTGTAATCGGTCAGCCACGCAAGACTACTTATTTACTTACTTACTTACTTACTGAGGCTATTTACTCCCAAAGGAGCATAGGCCACCTACCAAAATCCTCCAACCTACTTTGTCTTCGGCCTTCCTGTCCACTTCTACCTTATTGTTATACATTCTTCTCATGTCTGTTTCCATTTCCCGGTGGAATATATTCTTTGCCATTCCTCTTTCCCTTTGACCTTGAGAATTCCAAGTGAGAGCTTGTCTAGTGATGCAGTTGGATGCCTTCCTCAATGAGTATCCTATCCACTTCCACTGCTTCTTCCTGATTTCCTCCCCCACTGGAATCTGGTTTCTTCTCTCCCACCGTAGGTTATTGTTGATTGTGTCTGGCCAACGGATCTGAAGTATTTTGCGTTGACAACCGTTATTTAAAAAGCACCTGTATCTTGTGGATGATTGGTTTCATGGTTCTCCAAGTTTCTGTCACATACAATAGGACTCTTGACATTTGTATTAAAAATTCTGACTTTTGTGTTGTCTGCCAGCTACATCAGATGACGAATCTTAAGTAGGATCAAACACACTTCCTAGATTTCATTGCCAATCACTATTCATCTACGTTCAAATTACTTGTATCTTAATGGCTATATCGAGGCAATCCTCACAGAATACGCATATACCAAATGAAACATGGATCATTTTCCGGGCTTACTAACATCAATGGAAAGATTCAAATTACCAGTACACTCATATTTATCTCAATCAGTTCATAATCGAACGTGTAGACCGCTTCACTTATCTAGGGAGTCTCATCAGTGCTGATGGCGTGGTGACTGATGAAATCTCAGCACGGATACAGAAGGCTCGATCTGCATTCTCTAACCTGCGTCACTTATGGCGTAGGCGAGATATCCGTTTGCTGACTAAAGAACGAGTGTACTGCGCAGTAGTTCATTCCGTCTTAATTTGTGGCTGTGAAACGGCCGTTAAGAGTAGAAGATATTTGCCGGTTATTGGATATCGATCATAGGTGACTTCGAAGCATTGCTCGTGTATTGTGGGACACCTGAGTGAGCAATGCTGTTATTAGGAAACGGGTCCTAGGTAAGAATGGCAAATCAATAGATGAGGTAGTGAAACTTCATCAGTTGAGGTGGTTGGGACATGTGTTATGTATGGCTAACCACCGACTGCCTCGACGAGCTTTGTTTTGTAGTGTAGGAGTAGGTTGGAAGAAAGCTAGGGTCGGTCAAACCAAAACATGGCACAAATCCATGAAGTCATTGACAAGTGGACTCAGTCATGTTGGTAGGTGTCGACTACCTGGTTGGGGTCCGCGAGATGATAATTATCGATGGTTAGAGACCTTGAACGACATGGCTCAAAATCGTTTGCAATGTCGCAAGTGCATCCATTCGTTGAGCTCTCTCAAATCCTAATCTTCTGGATTCTTCAACACCTTATCTCACTGAATTATACTTCTTGAATAATATCTTCGAACCCTATTCTTCTTCATTACCATTAATACCTATACTATCTTTATCACTATGGGATTTGATTTGACATTTGCGTCTCTGTGCTAATGTGGTGGTATGGAAACATGAACTTATGTACATACGTACGTAGTTCTACGTTGCAACTGACTAACTGAATCAGTTCATAAATCGGTTATTAGTCATTAAATAAGATGTTATAGTAATAATAATAATAATAATAATAATAATAATAATAATAATAATAATGGCTGTATTCTCAACACTCAATATTTCAACAAGTTTCATTTTCACAATTCATCGCAATGTCGCCAATTGGACTTTGTTTCTGGCCTTGTAATAGGCAATACGGTTATTAACTTATAATATTGGCGCCTCCACAGATTATGTAATTTATAAAATGAATTGATGTAGTAAAACAAAGAAAAAACGGGAGTAAACTTGTTGAAATATTTTGTTTATGTTAGCCCAATTATTCAAACAGACCACCAAAAAGTTTTTTAGACTACTTTTAATTGTTTCCATTTACTTTTCAACCTACCTTTAGTTGAAGTAACATTTTCATTTGGTGTTTGTGTAGGAGTTACAATGGTTTCATGCGAACTACTTTGTTCTGTGGCCAAATTATTCTCATCCAGTGAAATTTCATTTATTTGTGTACCGATTTTCGGCATTACATTTTCATCTTGATCAATATTATTAAACTCTAATAGGTATTCGTTATCGACAGGTAATTGTTCAGGTTGAATGTTTTCATTGCTGACTTGATTTGAATAGGATAGATTAGTCACATTGTCAATGGTTTGATTTGCAGACGTTGAATGGTCAGATTGATGAATATTGAACGGAATGTTGGTTTTGTTTAAATTATCATCAGAGAGTTCATTTGTAGAATTTAAAACTATAATTTTAAAGTAAAAAGAACAATTAAATTTGTGGTTTTATGTGTGTTCAATCGGATTCACACATTTTTATCAATAAACTCATATATATATATATATATATATATATATATATATATATATATATACGAGTTCCACTGAAATTAAGGATCGATCATTGTTAGACCATCATTAAAAACTTGACAGCCGTTTTGTCAGTAGGGATTGATTAAAAGTTAGACATTCAGTCAGCCAGTCAGTCACTTTCATCGTAGAACTTCGCGTACGTATGTACATGTGTTTTCTCTTCCATACCACATGGGCACAGAAATGCAATTGTCGCTTCAAATCTTATAATGTTAGAGATGGTAGAAGTATTAGCGGTAATGGAGAAGATTAGGATTTGAAGATATTATTCAAAAAGTATAATTCAGTGTGAGATAAGTTTAGGAAGACAAAGGTAGAGGTGCTGACGAATCCAGAAGATTAGGATTTGAGAGAACACAAACAAACAGTGAATGCACCTGCGCCATTGCAAACTATTTTGAGCCATGTCGTTCAACGTCTCTAATCACTGGTGACTTTCATCTCGCGGAACCCAACCACGCAGCCTACATCTACCAACATGACTCAGTCCACTTGTCAGTGACTTCGTGGATTTGTGCCATGTTTTGGTTTGACCGACCCTAGCTTTCTTCCAACCTGTTCCTGCCCCGAAAACCATAGGTCGATGAGGCAGTTGATGGTTAGCCATACACAACACAAGTCCCAACCAACTCGACTGATGAAGTTTCACTAATGCATTAACTGATTTGCCATTCCTACCTAGTACTCGTTTCCTAACGATAGATTGCTTACTCGGGTGTCCCAGGATACACCAGCAGTGCTTCTAAGACATCGACGATCGAATACTAATAACCTGCGAATATCCCCAACTCCTACCGGTAATTTTTTCGCATCCAGATAGTAGGACGCAGAGAACTGCTGCAGAGTACACTCGTCCTTTGGTTAGCAAACGAATATATTTTCTGTGCCATAAATGTTTCAGGTTGGCAAAAGCCAATCGAGACTTCTGTATCCTTGTTCACCTTACCTCATGGGTTTCCGTCTCCTGCTATAAGGCCATTTGAAAAGTGAATCTAACACTACAAACTTCCCATAAAAAAGCAGTGCATGGTCGGCCTCAGGCAGCCGTCCCTTGGGCTCTGTGGTCACGCACCGAGGTCTCTAGTACCGATGCTAATCTAACTTCCTTTTCAGGCTCCTCAAGAAACCTCCTTCTACAGTGTTTTCCCTCATATCCGTAACAGCGCACAAAGTTAGACATGAAAACCATTCGATCCCCGTTCAGTAGTCAAGAGGTTAAGGGTCCACCTATCAGTCAATCAGGAAATGCTGACCAATTATTTAAAAAATCAATAATGAAAAGGCATAAAACATCATAGGCGGCTAAACAGCTCTGATCTGATTAATCAACCTGTCACATTATCGGATTATTCCTTGTAGAGTGAAAGAATACGGGGAAGTTCACTTATTACATATTCGAGTTAGTAATATGAGTTTGGGGTTATCATTTTACAGGGTGTTTTGTTAACAACTGAGACAAGCCATGATGCAAGGAGGTTAGGGTTAAGTTTTAAAAAAAATAAGGTTAGAGTTCTGAGTCTAAATATGTACATTAAGGTTTGGGTTTTCATCACCGAATGACATCAGCTATGATGCATTGCTTTCTTATTCTTCTGATAACAAACTAAAGAGATATATGGTCGAAAGTTAGAGTCAGATTTAGAAAGGATGGATAGTATTGGACTTCATCAAACAGAGATCCAGAGGTTAGGCGTTCGCGCACAAGGCCGAAGGTCCTAGGTTCGAATCCTGCAGGGCGCAGGAATCGCGGATGCGCACTGCCACTGATGAGTCCCATATAAGGACGAAACGGCCGTCATCCAATGCTTCCGGGTTTCTTTCTAATGGTGGTCTAACATTGATCGATTGATGGTTTCAAAAATGTGTAACTTAACAATCTTCACAACCCCATAGTGCAAAAACTTCAACATACAATTTGTTTTGAGAACCAGTTATGTTTGATAACTTGGCTTAGGTGCTACCTTAATGTTACGCTCGTCTCTAGGTATGCTTAAAACTATTACGGGTTCACCTTAGTCGATGAACGAGAACGAGACAATAAACCAGCGACCAGGTAGGCTACTGTGATCCGAGTGTCCCGATTGTACCAGTAAGAAGTCTTGATATAGCGTACAATGTGTATTCTACAAACACCTAGCCAGCACACACAATGAATCCAAGCACTCAAATTGCGTTTATTTTTACTCCATAGAGATGTCCTTGGGACAATCACAAAAATAGCACATTAAAATGACACAATGACCAATCACAGACGAGGGTTTTTCTGGTGCGAGATGTAAACTGAAGGTTAACTGGCGCGAAAACACGGAAATTCAAAATCGCAGAATAAAATTACTAAATTAGGACTTTTACCAAGTGAGTTCTAGGGGATCTCAGGTCCTAAACAACTTGGTAAACTAAGTTTTCTTACTTTATGTTATATCCATTTAAATTTTTTAAATCAAATTCGATGTGATTATTTACAGTTAGAGTTTTGGAGATTTGTGTTTTTATACAGTGGTCCGATGGTTAGGCGTTCGCGCACAATACCGAAGGTCCTGAGTTCGAATCTTGAGAGGTTCAGGAGTCGTGGATGTGCACTGCCACTGATGAGTCCCATACCAGGACGAAACAGCCGTCTCTCAGTGCTTCCAGGTTTCTAATGGTGGTGGTCTAACAATGATTGGTTGATGATTTCAGATGTTATTGTAATTATTATTAGTAGTAGTATTTCTAATTACGTAAATTCACCCTCAATAAACAAATGTAATTTTTTATTGGATTTTGTAAGAGAACCTGACACTGGCCACAAATTAATACTACAACCTGAACAGTACAGTTCGGTCCTGTGGTGTAACCACTACTCAGGTACCTGACACATTGATTATGAACCATTCTTCACCATTCTTATACGTACACTAATACATGGAGGGATTTTTTCCTATCCATGAACGTGTCAGTCAATATGTACTGCAAGGTACAGGCCATTGCGACACATTCAGCTTTTTGTGACTGTTACAAACTCATTTATAATTAGCAATGGTGATATGCATTACAGGGTCAATGACCCTCGGAAATTTAACAAGGCAACCACCACCAGTATTTATGAAGTTGGTTACCTGGTATAAAACGAAAGTCGTATATGGACAACTATTAGCAAACCTTGCCCGAAGTCAAATGCCAACCTATCCACAATGTTCATCATAACGAACCTTTGATCTCATTGGGAAACCTTCAGTTCTATTTAACAGTGTACAAATACATTCGATATGATATTAGGTAGATAATGTGAAAAGGAAAGATTTATTATTGTACTCACTTGTAACAATAATTGTTTTATTGTACTTCTTTTGTTTAACTTTATTACAGAAAAAACACTTACTTACTCGCAACTTTCTGTTTTATGTTGCTGTCATCCTTCGTTACATGCTGCTCTTTATGTTGTTACCCACTTTCTTGTTGGTGATTTCGGTGTTCTTTAGACACCACGAAATCACCAACAAATAGATTTTTTTTTTACCCTGGATTTACTTATTCTTACAGTGACGGGCTAGTAGTAATTAGTATTTAATGGTGATCATAGTCAATCTCGACTTGATCGCCACTAAAAACTCATGACTAACAAAGTTCAACCCCTGTCAGGTGTAAAGGCAGTTAGTTACCAAACGAAAACACAATAGATGAGGTCGTGAAATATTGTGGATTGAATAATGTTCGACATTAACACTGTTGGATAACACCAGTCCAATGGTCTAGAGGTGGGGCGTTCGCGTCCTAAACTGATGCTCATGGGTTTGATTCTTTTCTATGGAGTCATAGACGCCTACTGTACAAAAGGCAGACCCAGGTTATAACGGAACGGCAATCAAGTACTTGTGGATTTCTAATGTTGTGTTATGATGACTTTTATTTTAGAGAATTCCGTTAAAAAACCATTGATTATTGAATGGAAAAATTTATTAATCTTACTAGGAAATGAAAAAACCGGGAAAAAAGTATTCACGCGTCGGAATATTTTCATTGTTTGTAAAATTGAACATTGATAATTCGAATCAGTTAAACAAGCGGAAAATTTATTTTCAAATGATACGAAAATAAGACAAATTTTTCCATGTAAGTTATAAATTGCACTATTCGGAAGGTTAGTATTTTCGGGCAGAGATTTGGCGGTTTGTGTTTTTACACATTTGAAATCATCAATCAATCAATGATTTTTAGACCACTATTATTAGAAACCTGGAAGCACTGTTTAGACGGCCGTTTCGTCCTGGTGTGTGGGACTCTTCAGCAGTGATGATTTCAAATGTGTAAAAACACAAACCTCCAAATCTCTGCCTGAAAATATCGTAACAGTGCTCACTAGTAGTGACTAGCTTCGTGAGGAAATTCTCGGAAATCTAGTTGAGACGACGTGACCAATGGAGTTCAACCCTGTCGGGTGTAGGCAGTAACTACCAAAGACGAATGCGTGAGGTCGCGCAAAACCCCTAGATCAATCAGAGTTAGACATTAACACCGTTGGATGCTGGGCAGCCCAGTGGTCCGATGGTTAGGCGTTCGCGCACAATACCGAAGGTCACGAGTTCGGATCCAGCGAGGTGCAGGAGTCATGGATGCGCACTGCCACTGATGAGTCTCATACCAGGACGAAACGGCGGTCGTTCAGTGCTTCCAGGTTTCTAACAATGGTAGTCTAACAATCATTGATTGAGGATTTCAAAAGGTTAGCATTTATTGAACATTCAGTCGATACCCTTGACACACATTGAACATGCAATTAAATAAATACAAACACATCGATTTGATAAAAACTCACCTGATGGATGATTAGTTGTTGAATTAAAAATATCTCTTTTTTGAAAATTTCTCACTTCTATGCCATCATCATTTGCATTATTTCTTAATAATAATAATTCATTAAAAATTTGTTTCGATTGTACAACATTGGACAAATTGAATATTGAATGTTCTGTGGTTGTTTTATTGTTTGTTCTATTCACCGCACATTGATTTAAATATTTACATTGACAATATTCATACCATAAATGAATATTTTCAGTTGAATGCAACGCATACAAATCAATCGTTTGTAATTCTGCACTTTCAACCATTTCATCCCATTTCAAAGTGAATGGTGTATAACATAAACCAGGATTATCATAAAAATAGATTCCATGTTGTACAACAGCTATATTAAGAAAAAAAACACAAATTAGACCGGTATAGTTAATGTTTATAAAGACACATCGTGATTTTTTAAGGAAAAATTAGTGTGTGTGTGAGAGAGAGAGATGGAGAGCACGGTCAGTCAGGGAAATACAATATTTTTTGAAACCATGAATCGATCAATGTTAGACCACCATTAGAAACCTGGAAGCACTGGACGGCCGTTTCGTCCTAGTGTGGAACCCCTCAGCAGTGCGCATCCACGACTCCGGCACCCCGCAGGATTCGAACCCAGGACCTTCGGTATTGTGCGCGAACGCCCTAACCGTCAAACCACTGAGCCGGTATGTAACGGTGTTAATGTCTAACCTTGATCAATTCACGGAGTTGCGCAACCTCATACACAGTCTTCGGTAGACACTGTCTACACCCGAACAGGTTGAACTTCACTGGCCGCGTCTTCCCACTAGAACTCGGAGAAGATTCCTCACGAAGCTAGTCACTAGTAAGCACAAGTAATTTGCATGACGGGGTTGTGAAGACTGTTAAGTTACACATCTTTTGAAACCATGAATCAATCAATGGGTTCAAATCCTGCGGAGTGCAGGAGTCGTGGCTGGGCACTGCTGAGGAGTCCCATACTAGGACGAAACGGCTGTCCAGTGATTCCGGGTTTCTAATGGTGGTCTAACATTGATCGATTCATGGTTTCAAAAGATGTGTATTTTAACAATCTTCACAACCCCGTCATGCAAATACAATATTCTATTCAGCTTATTCAAACGGAATTCCTAAGACGGATTAAATTGCAAAATCTTGCTACTTATGGAGAACAGCTGACACACCTGTTCGAAGTGAAGATTGGTATCCGATAATAAGGCTGTGAAAACTTTAACTCTGTCTCTTTTTCCTAAGGTGATCGACTGGATTATGAAAATGTTAACATCTGAATGGAGGCATGAGTTACAGTGGACAGCTAGGATGCAACTAAGCGATCTAGACTTTACAGATGATCTGGCTCTTCTGTTCGTACATGCAATAACAAATACAAGAGAGAAGATGACCAGTGTAGCTGCATTCTCAGCAACAGTTAGGTCCCAACATATACAAGGGAAAAGCAAGAATCTCTGGTAAAACACAACATCTGACCAGAATTATTATTAAACTCGATGGGGTTCTGATGAAGATGTGAAGGCGCGGATCGAAAAAAACAAGGGCGGCATTTCTACCAATGAAGAACATCTGCAACTGAAAAACACAACTATCAACCAACACCAAAGTAAGAATTTTCAGCACAAATGTCAAGAGAGTTTTACTGTATGGAGAGGAATCTCCTTGAACTACAAAAACTATCATCCAGAAGATACGGGTGTTTATTAACAACGGTTAGCCAGACACCAATAGTAACAACCTACTGCAGGAGAGGATAAACCATACTCCCTGTGGGAGAAATAGACATTGCAAGTATATAGAACACACACACACTGAGGAGAACACATTCCACTGTGTCACAAGACAAGCCCTAACCTGGAATCCTCAAGGTCAGTGGGAAAGAGGAATGTCAATCCAATCAACTCATTCACAGAGAAATGGTTAAACACATAAGAAAAATGAACAATAGTTGAATAGAAATGGAAAGGAAGACCCAAGATAGAGTAGACTGAAGAATGCTGGTTCTTGGCCTATGCTCCTATTGAGAGTAAAAGGCGTAAGTAAGTAAGTAAGTAAGTAAGTAGGTGGATGAGTTCATCCAGATGTCTGTTATCAGTTGTCACAACTTGGTACCTATTATTTGACTCATCAGTGACACCACGTGAGATCATGTGCTTGCTTTACAGTGATTTTTCCATAGCTTTCAACATGATTAATCACCAGCTTCTTTTAAGCAAACTGACATCTTACGAAACCAGGAACGCTTTGCCTGTTTGGTTTAATTCTTTCCAACACTAACTAGTCGGAAGAAATTCCTCATTATCGATGTAGTTTTCTATGTCACTCAGATTATATGAATGATATTTGCAATTATTTCTGTGCACGTAAGCAGAAGATCTTAGAGCAGAGTATTGATTCTCCCCCGTCATGGCCCGAATAGGATAACAAAGTGGCTTACTCAAGTGACACAGTGGTGCTGTAAATAAGATTTGAAGCTTAACATTGTCAAATGTGAATCGATCTGCTTCAGCGATCGTTTATTCAACCTAGAACTAACCATAAATGGTAAATTGTTGTCAAAAGTGTATACAGTAGAGGACTTAAGACTCTAGTGTTCATATAATTTGTTCTTCTGAGAACAGGTATCTAAATAAACCTCAAAGTCTTAATGTCCTCCAGAATGAATGACTCCTAATGTCTAAAACAATGAGTTACATATTTTAATGTACAAACTGTGTTTTCAACCTTTTCTTGAATAACGACAGATTTATTTTTAGTAGTGTTCACATAAAGGATAAATTAAGGTTGGAATCCTTTCAGAGACGATTTACCCTACACATTTTTGAAACTAACAAGTCCAGATGTAATAAAATTGAACTTAATCCTTTCAGCATGCATGGCAAAAGAGAACCAAAATTTAATCGAATTTTCTTAATCAAAGCTATAGTTTACATCGAATGAATCTATTCGATATGCAGAAACTCTTAGGTATACAATCTCATTTGTACATCTCATTTATCAACATGAATTATTATTTTACCAGAAAATTTACCCAAATCTATCCGAGAAATAAAATCACTCCCATCTTTAATGAGCTGCATCAACACCTCCTCAGAAAATGCTTTCGATATGCTTACAAATGGTACGCATATCCCATTCTACCAAGGAGATTTATGATGCCTGTCACTTGATATGCTTGAAACTATTACGAGTACACTAAAATAACACAGTAACCAATCACAGCCAAGGTTTTTCCTGGTGGGAAATGTGATCTCTAGGTCAACTGATCGTTCCATGAAATAAATCCAAAATTAAGACATTTATCAATCGATTTCTGGGGATCTAACGTATCCAACAACATTAAAGGAACACTAAATGTTTTATTATCTCACTGATGAATCTGTTTAATTAACAACAACTGCTTACACGACTCTAATATCGTCCACTAGAAATTTAATGAACTCTAACGTGAAATCATGTAAAATAACCTTGAACTTGTATTCTGATAGATATGATTGATCTATCTATCTATGTCATTGACTTGACACCAAGCACTACCTTAGATTGGTATGAATTCTGTAATTAGTATTTTGTTCCGAATATATTATTAGTACTGTACAGTTCAACTGTAAATTAGTAACAGGTGTGATATTTATAAATGGTATTATTGTATTGACATTTCAATGATTTCCTTGTCTTGGTTGGTTGGCATAAATAGGAGTTTATTTTTAGTGTGGATGACGTTGACATAGGCATCATCGTGGCGGAATTTTATTTAGAGTAGATAAAATGTGACTGGCGCGTTTCGTCCTATTCTGAATTCAACAATTGTCGTTCATCACAACATTCAAACAGCTTATTACCTTATGCTTCAAATGACATCATGTTATCTACACTCAGCTGTTGAGTTTCACTAGACAGATTCTAACTATTCTATGTAAACTGATGTGATAATGTCAATATCAAGGTAGTCTGCATAGAATACTTATGTGTCAATCAATACTGATCAATGTTCAGTGTAAATATCAACAACGCGGAATAGACTGAATCATGTAATCTCATGCTCGTTGCACAAATAAGTTGTGGAGTGAACATGAACTCTGTCTGAGATGTGGTAGATATATACTTAGTCGATGAGTTCTTAAATGGAACAAAACACACGTCTTAAATTCCACTGCCAACGCCACATTCACTCCATTCCAACTTATTCAGTAAGAATGTGATATTTTTTCGAGAGAGATGATTATTTCTTTAAAGTAATATAGAAAATACTCAATTTAATTGATTAGAAACTATTTGATGAATCATTCATAAACTTATATCATTCGTCAGCAGCCATCAGCAGAGTCACAGGTTTCAATGTGAATGTCAACACAGTTCTACCATATGGAACAGAAACTTGGAGAACCACAAAAAGCCATCATCCTCAAGATATCGGTGTTTATTAACTGCTGTCTACGCAAGCGACTTCGGATCCCCTTGATGAGATATCATCAACAACAACCTACCGTGTGGGAAAGAACAAACCAGATTTCAGTGGAGGAAGAAATCAGGCAAAAAGCGCTAGAGGTGAATAGGACATACATCGTGGAAATCACCCAACTGCATCACTAGGCAAGCCTTCACTTGGAATCCTCAAGGCCAAAGGAAAAGAGGAAGATCAGAGAACATATTACATCACGCTATATCGACTTTCTTTACAAAATTTTAAGTAATGAATGTAGGTTTCATCCAAGTTGAAATCCGTTAGTTTGACGATGTATCTGAACATCAGCTGTTGAGTATTTGAAACGATTTTGAGTGTCTTCATTAATGAACATGAGATAAAGTGGGGTAAATCTAACTGATAAGTTTTCACGTTCATTAAGAATTTCACTGCTGCTGATCACAAATCAATCTATTCTATAAAAAAACTATTATGCTCGTCACTAGGTGTGCTTGAAACTATTACGAGTTCACCTTAGTCGATTAAATGAGAACGAGACAATGAACCAGCGTCCAGGTAGGCTACCCTGATCCGTTGACTCAAAAACTACTAAAGAGAAGTCTTGATATAGCGTAGAAATTGTTGTATTCTACAAACATCCAGCCAACACACACAATGAATTCAAGTACACAAATCGCGTTTATTTATACACCACAGCACAACACAGTAACCAATCACAGCCAAGGATTTTCATGGTGGGCAGAGTGATCTCAAAGTCAACTGATCAGCCCATATGAATAAAATCCAAAAGTACGACATTTATCGAGTGTGTTCTGGGGATCTAATGTGTCCCCAACCAAGAAAAAAATTCACTTCAGTAATAAAGAAAATTTTAATTAACATTTCCATTTTTTTATAAAAAAAAATGACTAAACATTTTTAAACTTACATATAAATGATGTCATTTCTAATGATTGTAAATGTTTAAGACCGAATTGTTGTTTGCCTGTTTCATTATTCGATTGGGATGATAAATTTGAAGATGATGATGGTTGCTGTTGTTGTTGTAAGTCATTTTGTTCAATGATAATTTGTTTATAATTACTAACAACAAGTAAAGCAACTTTTCTTGATTTAAACATAATCCATTCATGACCTTTAATTAATTTTAAACGTGGCAAACGTAGCTCTTTTCGACCAACTCCATAGATAACTAAATAACCGGAAATCTCTTCAATATTCTCCAACAAACTGACATCATCATCTTGAAAGGTGAAAGAAATAAATGATAATAAGGCGTAATTTTGATAAATAGTTAGAAAATCATGAATCAATCAATGTTAGACAGCCAGTAGAAACCTGAAAGCACTAGACGGCGGTTTTTACCTTGATATGGGACTACTGAACAATGGCAGTGCGCATCCACGACTCCTACAACTCGCAGGGTTCGAACCAAAGACGTTCGGTCTTGCGCGTTAGCGCTTTACCTCTGAATCATTGATTCAGTGTTTAATGGTGTTAATTTCTGACTCTGATCAATCTATGCATTTTGCGCAACCTCAACCACTGTCTCCTCCGGTGAGCACTACTTCACAACTGAACAGGTTTGAACTCCATTGGTCATGACTTCTCGATGAGCGATTTTGTCTGGTGTAGGAGTAGACTGAAAGAAAGCTGAAGGCACTCGAATAGAAACATGACATAATTGCATCATTCCCTGAAGGTATCGACAAATCGATTGAAACATGTTCATACGTGTAGACTATCTAGTTAGGGTTCGAGTGATAATCGTAAGCTTTGGTTAAAGACTTTCAGTAACATGGTATAACATCTTTTTGCAAAGACGCAGTTACATCCATTGTTTATCCTATGCTGAATTCTAAGCTTCAAAATTTCTCAGGAGCTTTCTTTCTCACATTTTAAAATTTATCTCGCTGAGTTGTGCTATCGCGAATTCGTATCTTCCTTACCCTAATCTTTTCCATTGTCGTGTATACTGTTACTCCTTCAACCAGTCTCCGATTCAGCCTGACACTTTGATCTCTATCTGAGCTAATATGGTGCGGAAACTTCAACTCATCTATATGTGCGACTAGTTTTAGTTCACAACTGACCGACGATTGATTTATTTTACTGACATTTCCTTAATTGAACTCAAGTTGTATATCCATCATGATTATCCTTCATAAAAAGTGCCTAAACAAAATCTTTATCAATAAATATTCAAAGATTTCTTGTCAAATTACTTATGTTAGACTACCATTAGAAACCTGGAAGTACTGGATGGTCTCCTCGTCCTAGTATGCTATTCATCAGTCGTTGGATGCCGCCTTAGTGTTTCAGAGGTTAGTGCTAGACTGAAGGTCCTGGACTCGATGATTTCCAGGTCATTTATATTCAATCATACATAGTAGAGACTTTCAAAATATTGTATGACACCTTTTACAATAGAAATTATACATTTCAGGCAAAATTACACACATAAAACTGTTCATTTTATATCCATGATTTACTCATTGAATTCAATGGGAAATTACATCTGATATTGAGAAACTTCATAAATGTTTATTACATATTTGAAATCATCAATCAATCAGCCATAGTTAGACCATTATGAAAAAGAAATCTGCGATTACTGAATGATGACCGTTTCGTCCTGGTATGAGACTACTCATCAGTGATAGTGCACTGGCTGACTGTTTCGTCCTTGCAATGAGACTCATCAGTGGCAGAAGGCGCATCCATGACCTCGACACGCAGAAATCGAGTCCAGGACCTTCAGTCTCGCACTAACCTCTGAAACACTGAGCCGGCATCCAACGACTGATGAGTAGCATACTAGGATGAAGAGACTTTCTAGTACTTCCAGGTTTCTAATGGTAGTCCAACATAAGTAATTTGACAAGAAATCTTTGGAAATTGATAAAGATCCTGTTTAGGTACTTTTTATGAAGGATTAAGGAAATGACAGTAAAATAAAACAATAGTTGGTCAGTTGCGAACTAAAACTAGTTGTACATGAACATGAGTTTATTAAGTTTCCGCACCATATTAGCTCAGATAGAAATAAAAGTGTCCGGCTGAATCGGAGTTTGGTTGAAGCAGTATCACTATCCACGATAATGGAAAAGATTAGGGAAAGGGAGATAAAAACTTGTGAAAGCACAACTCAGTGAAATAAATTTAAAAAATGTGCGAAAGAAAGCTCCTGAGAAATTCTGAAGCTTAGAATTCAGCATAGGATAAACAATGGATGTAACTGCGTCTTTGCAAAAAGATGTTATACCATGTTACTGAAAGTCTTTAACCAAAGCTTACGATTATCACTCGAACCCTAACTAGATAGTCTACACTTATGAACATGTTTCAATCGATTTGTCGATACCTTCATGGAATGATGTCATATTTTGTTTCGACTGACTTTAGCTTTCTTTCAGCCTACTCTTGTTTAAAACAGAATGCATCACTCATCAAGGATTAGAATAAATTGCCTAAGATGTTTCAAGATATTATATATTCACAGTTAGAATATGGGCTGGTGAAGATTGTTGAGTTGTTACTTTTTTTCAAATCATGAATCGATCAGCGTGCACAAAGAAAAAAACACTTTCATCTCCATAACTCTAATTATTGAATAAAACGTTGATTGTTGTAAGAAATAAGTAGTAAGAAATAATGACCGAAAACACAAACTATTTTGACAAAAAAGTATTTGTATTTTATTTTCTCTCTATGTTCTGCAAAACAAATTAACGTTCTTGTAGCTCTTAAATGCCCTTAATTATCATAGTAAGATAAAACGAAAAATCCTAACAATTCATCCTTTCAATTGTTATCGTCCCAAGGAAACATGTATTTATCTATGATCTATGTGTGATATGACTGAAATGATTTCATCTTGTTTTTGTGTGTACACTTTGCAATGATTAAAATAAATGGTCAACTTTGTAATCAATGTACATTTGTGTGTGTGTGTGTGAGAGTGTGTTTGAACACTTCCCATGTTGATTAGCATATCCCATAATTACATATGCATAAATCATACTCATTTACATAATACGCTCGCGCACACACACACACACTGAGAGAGGAGGATGTTGGGTTTACATTGTTATCGGTCGGAGAATGTAAAATATCCCTGGATCATTTAGTGAGTGTAGAAGTGTGTGTGTGTGTGTGTGTGCTGTACATGTGTGTGTAAATGGTTGGTGTATGCAAACTAGTATTGTATAATAAATCCATCAGTTGAGTTATTATTCTCTAGTGGGATTAAATTAGCACATTTTGTAATGCATGGACTTTTCCATCTTAGGATTAGGAAGATTATTGAGTTTGATTCAATCCTGTTGAGTGTAGACAGTTACCTACCAAAGATAATGGGTCGGGTTGTGTAATACCTTCGATTGATTAAAGTTAGACATTCACATCGTGGGATGCGCCGACTCAGTGGTCCTGGGTTCAAATATCACAACTGGGGGGGGGTCATGGATGCACACTGTTGATGAATAGGCCCATACCTGGACGAAACGGCCATCATTCAGTGTTTGCAGGTTACTTTTCAATGGTGGTCTAACAATGATTGAATCATGATTTTAACAGCTGAACTGTTATTTATCACTTTGACTCAAGTTAACATGAGGTGTATTAGGTACTTCAGAAAATGTACAATGAAAAAGATACCAGTTAAATAACAACGAAACACTAGTTAGTTAGTTAGTTGGATGAATCCTATGATCCATCATCCTTTTTTCAACCTCAGCTGGGCATTCGCTCTTCGCCCTCTCAATTTTGTGAACAACAACCCTACCATGGAAAAACAGTAAGTTGAACTTAACTGAGAGTCTTTATAGAGTATGCGGAGAAAAAAAGTGGACTCTACCTATTCTCGATGGCATCAAGGCATTCTGGGGCAACGGAGTCTAGTAAGTAAAGACAGCACTGAATGGTGTTTTCATCCTACTGTGATGTACATCAACTGTACAAAACTAGAACCTTTAGTCCCACCCAGCCCTAAACTACAAATATAAACATCTATATACCATTGAATCAGTATTCAATAATTCACAATGCCCATCTTAATAATTTTTTTCATACAGAACTACAACTAACTATTAAAAACAAAGAGATCATTATCTCACTTTTCATAGAATTGAACTCTAACTAATCAAGATTTCTTACTAAAATACGACGAATTTATCTTGAATGTAGTCATTATTGAACATTGAATTACTGTATATTTTGGCGGTTGTGACGATTAATTCAATTTAAACAATATAGAGTTGCAAATATTGTTGAGTTTCGTTGAAATTATGCATCAATCATTGTTAGATGATCATTAGAAACACATAAGCACTGAATGACGGCCGTTTCTTCCTAAGATGCGATTCATCAGCAGTGCACAACATCCGTGACTCACAGAGTTCGAACCTAGGAACTTTGGTCTTGCGCACGAATGCCTAACCTTTGAAGCATTAAGCCAGCATTTAACGATGTCTAACTTTTTAATCAATCCAAGAGATTGTGCAACCTTACCCATTGTCTTCGATAAGTAACCACCTATTCTATATAGGGGTTGAACTCCACTGGTCATACCTTCTGACTATACATGTTGGATATTCAATACAATAATTTCACAATAAATTTGTGATTAATATATTTACACACGACAATCTGCTTTCTTTCTGGTTGTCATTTAGTTTTCTCTAGTCAGCATCGTAAATTTTCTGTTCAATAGTCAAATTAATAAAACCAGTTGTAATCTATTCGCATCTATTTATAAATATAACATTTTCATTTTTATTCAAATATCGTTTTTCTTGTTAACTATAACAGTTAAATCAAACATATATATTCTATTTGTAAGGAATTTTTCGATCTACAGAATTCTTCAAAAACATCTAAACCTCCTAGGACATTCAATGTTCAGTGCCCTATTCAGTTTCAATAGTAGCCCTAATTCAAATTAATCAGTGACACAATATAATAAGTTTAATGAAGAAATAGTTTACTAGCAAGAATGTATTATATACACTCTATCGTTACAAACTATTGACTGTCTACTTCCCGATGTCTTTTGCTCTTCAAACGACGATACTGATCATGTCATACTTTTGAATTTGAGACTGTTCTGTTTATTTGTGAGTGATACTTTACTGCATATTACTTATGAGTCCATGCTGTGAGGAGAGTATACGCCATACAAGTACTAAAGATTGGCTACTCATTAAAACAATAGGATTATATTTGATTCAATGTTCAACTTTTACTTCAGATTTTTACAGTAAAATCAATGCATGCTAAATTGAATATTGAAATATATGTATAAATATATTTGTGGGTTGTTCAATTCTTCAATATATTCACAATCCTAGTCAGATATTTGTTTGTTTTAATAGTCAACCATTTGAAATTATTTTGTATTTTTGGCACACACAAAAATAAACAACATCGTAAACAAAATGAATGAAATAAACACCAGTTACATAACCAAATAAAATCAGCTGTTTAGAATGAAAACCTACTTGAAGTTTACGCTTACTCTCCCAGTGATCGACTGGATTATGAAGAGGTCAATATTTCAATGGGGAGCATGGAATACAGTGGACAGATAGGATGTGACTAAACAATCTGGACTTCACAGATGACCTAGACCTTCTATCCGACGCACAACAGCAAAATGCCGGTGAAGACGACTAGTGTGGTAGTAGTAGTAGCCTCTGCAGTAGTGGGCCTCAACATACACAAAGGAAAAATCAATATTCTCTGATACAACACAACATGCACTAACCAAATTATACGCTGTGGAGAAGCCTTGGAACATGTGACAAGATCATTAATAAACAAGGTGGCTCTGATGAAAATGTGAAGGTATGAATCAACAAAGCGAGGGCAGTATTTTTACAATTTGAAGAACATCTACAACTCGAAATAACTATCAACCAACACTATTTTCAATGCAAATGTCAAGGAAGCTCCGACGTTAGGAGCGGGAACTTAGGTAACCATGAAAGCCGTCACCTACGAGATACGGGTATTTATCAAAAGATACTTCAGATCCGTTAGTCAGGTGTCATCGGCAACAACCTACTGTAGGAGAGAATAAACCAGATTCAAGCTGAAGGATACATTAGAGAAATGCACTGAAGGCGGATAGAACACACTTTTAAGAAATCACCCTATTGTGTCATAAGTTAAGCTTTAACTTACAATTCTCAAGGCCACAGTAGAATAGAGAGTTGATTTAGAAACACATTACATCAAGAACTGGAGATAGACAGGAAAGGATTGAACAACTTGAGAGGAGGGGCCTGGACAGAGTAGGTTGAAGAATGCTAGTCGTGGGCTTACTCTCCAACGAAGAGCGAGTAGAATACAAACTAAACTATACAATTTTTACGATCATTCAACCAATAAATTTTTCATAATACACAATCGATATTGAAAATGAAATATATTTCCTCATTGTTTTTATGCGAGAACTAAAATCAATCATTATCGAGTGCTAGATGAACATACTCGGTAATTGGCTTCAATTTGACAACAATTATTTGATAAATTTAAGTTGTATTTAGCAAATAAAACTCAGAATGCGCATTCGTTCCTAGCTGAGTCTACATGTATCAACATTCACAATGAACTTCATCAAACTAAGTCCCTGTCAAAGTGAATATCAGTAATATGGTTGACTTATGTTCAGCTGATAAATCTTGAATGAAACTAAACATGGATCTTGATTACCAATGATACCTGCAATCTGGATTCATTAAACAACTATAAACAGAACGTTTGTCAACTCTAATTTGTTATGAGTTGAGAACAGCGATTATGTGGCTACTGGTGAGAAACTCAAAATGAAATCTTTATCATAAGGTGACTTCTCTTCGGAACTAATTCAAATGAGGAAGCCATCAATGCAGATATTAGAAAAAGTCAAAATAGGACCATTTACTCAGTTCAACAAAAATCTGAGCTCACATAAAAATTAGAATGAAGGTGGCAGGGTTGTTTTCAAGAAACTCCATTTTAATCTTTGGACTTGAATCCATAGGAAAAAAATGACTGGACAAAACTCGAATTTAACCTCAGTTCCGAAAGAAAGGATGATTTCTGGTCTCGATAACAATAACAATAAATCACTGTTGACTATTTCCATAATTTAACGGCGCTATCGAACTTACTGTCGCACACGCAACAACAAATGCAAGAGAAGACGACCAGTGTAGCAGCAGCCTCTGAAGCAGCAGTAGGTCTCAACATACATATAGGAAAAAGCAAAATTCTCCGATGCAACACAACATGCACCAACCAAAATCACTCTTGATCGAGATGCCTTGGAGGACATTAACACCTTTACATATCTGGGCAGCATCATCGACAATCAAGGTGGATCGGATGCAGATGTGAGGGTGCGGATTGGCAAAGCAAGGGCTGCATTTCTACAGTTGAAAAATATCTGGAACTCCAAACAACTTTCAAACAAAACCAAAATCAGAATTTTCAATACAAATGTGAAGACAGTTCTACTGTATGGAGCGGAAACTTGGAGAACTACGAAAGCCATCATGCAGAAGATAGAAGTGTTTATTAACAGCTGTCTACGCAAAATACTTCGGATTCGTTGACCAGACACCATCAGCAACAACGTACTGTGGGAGAGAACAAGTCAGATTCCAGTGGAGGAGGAAATCAGGAAGAAGCGTTGGAAGTGGATAGGACACACACTACGGAAAGCACCTAACTGCGTCACGAGAGAAGCCCTTACATGGAACCCTCAAGGCAAAATGAAAAGAGGAAGGCCAAGGAATACATTACGCTGAGAAATAGAGAAAGATATGAGAGGAATGAACAAACATTGGACAGAACCTGAAAGGGAAGCCCAGGACAGAGTTGGTTGTAGGAAACTAGTGTGCGGCCTATGCTCCATTGGGGGTAACTGGCGTAAGTAAGTAAGTAAGTAAGTAAGTAAGTAATCGAACTTACTGACCGAAGTGTCGCAAACTAGTTTTAACCTATGGGACAAGTTACACAAAAAGTTTAATAATAGGACCTTGAGGTCATTACAAAGTCATATACAAGAACTATATCATCCATAAACGCGGAATAGATTTATGAATAACGGTCATCAGTTGAATAAATCAACAAGAACTGACTGAAAAGACTGTAGATTCTCACTAGACGACTGTAGTAAAACATACAAGACGATCAGCTGACTGGAACATCATCTTCAAACATGTCATTCATAATTTCACTGATCTATATCAGTAAAAAAATAATATTCATCAGTAAAGAACTCAAGAAAGGATCCAAATGTTGGAGACAACTTTCAACACTGACTATTACGTGGAAATGTACAAAGAAACTACCACCGAAAGAAAGAATAGTCAGTTACTGCGATATGGTACACGTATGGTCCAGATATCATTGGACTAGAAACACCTATTGCACCTTGGTAGTTTGACATCCTCACCAATCGATCGATATGCTTGAAACTATGATGAGCTCACCTTACTCGGTAAACAGAACAAAGAGCAACAACGATACAGTGACATGATAGGCTATTCTAATGCGATATGGCGTAGATATGGCGCATTCTACAAGCATCCCGAAAAATACGAGGTAGACAAGCACACAAATCGAGCTGATTTATTATACATGATAGAAACGTCCTTAGGTAAACCACAAAAAATAGCATACTAAAATAACAACACACCAACCAATGACAGTCAAGGATTTTCCTGGTGGGAAATGTGTGATCTCAAGGTCAACTGAGCAGCTGATGCGCGAAAACGTACAAAAATCCACAATTAGGACTTTTTCCAAGTGAGTTCTGGCACAGTTGTACCACACTTCCATTTATGTCTCTTCTTCTTCAAAAGAGTCAACCATCTTCATTCACTTAACAATGTTTGACCTTGAGGGCGTTATTTAAAAAAATCAATTACAGAAATAAAAAAAACCAATTTTCGTTCATTTAATATTTATTCTCTTACCTTCATCTAATCCAGATATAATTAAATTTCCCAATATATGAGTACAATTTGGATTGAAATTTTTCATTAAAATTTTCCATGATAATGATATGTCCTTCCATGTATAATGACTTTTACAAACTATTTGCAAAATTTAAACAGAAAGATGAATAAATATATTAGTGAGGAAAAAAATAGTTGGTTGTGTACTTTAAACAATCTTATTGCTGGAGATAAGCATCAGTGACATGAGTTTAGATGTGACATGTTTAGGACGTGGACGTTTTTCAGCTGCTTCCTTCTATTATCAGAAATTGGTATAATGGTAGATGTTGGTTTTCGGCAGAAAATAGCCTGTTTTCATCATATTCCAGTAAATTTAACATCGTCAATTCACTGTTGGATCGCAAGCTTGCTGCGTTTCGTTTCACTGTCTCTTGTATAGCATAGTTAGAACCTAAAAGATTGAATTTTCAATTAATATTGCTCGATTTATAGTTAGTAAGGGTGACAAGCTCAGCTAGCAATCGTGAATAAACCATTGGTTAGACCACCATTAGAAACCTCGAAGCCAACCTGGATAGCCAGCCATTTCATCCTAGCACGAAACTCTTCAGCAACGTTCATCTATGACCTCGGCTGGTGGAAATCGAACCCTGGGCCTTCAATCTCGCGCAATGATCAGTGGAGTTAAAACATATGTGTTGTAATCGGTAACTACTGAACACAATATTTGAAGTTACACAAAATCTTAAGATTGGTCAAAGTTTGACATTAACATCGTTGGATGCCGACTCAGTTTTCAACAGGTTAAGTGCTTGGCTTCGTTTCCCTCTACTTTCCGAGGTCATGGATAGGCACTGACACAAATCACTTTCATACTATGATGAAGCGGCCATCCAATACATTCAAGTTATCGATAGTAATCTAACAGTGATCGATTCATGATTCAAATGAAACTCAACTGTTTACACAATACTCTGATAAAACTATAAAGAGTCATTCCAAAGTGTCAAATGACTTAATAAATAACCATGAAAAATCATTCAGAATGATACCAATATGAAAATTCATTAAATGAATGAACAATTGTCATTCAATTACACATTTCATTGAAACTAGATAAAGACGAAATTTTCACTTGTCGATTTATGAAGATTGTTAAATGACCAGTGGAGTTCAACCTTATTCGAGTGTGGAGCAATGCTCACTGAAGACAATGGATGAAGTTGCGCGAAATTCAGAGATTGGTCAGAGTGAAAAAAAATCAACACCGTGGGACGTGGATTCATTAGTCGAGAGGTTAAACGTTCGCCCGTCTAACTGAAGGTCATGTGTTCGAATCCTGTGAGGAATGCGAGTCGTGAATGTGCGATTCAAGGACGTATGTTTCGTTTTTAATAAGATTTCATCAGCTAGATACGCGTATATCTTAGAGATTGCTGTTTATTACTGTTATCACGAATTATTCATTGTTAAACCATCACATTAGAAACCTGAAAGCACTGACTGACGGCCATTTCGTCCATAGTATGGGATTACTCATTATCAGCAGTGCGTTACCACAACTCTTACTACTCACAGTGATTAGCTTCGTGATGAAATAATTCTCAGATTGCTAGTTAAAAGACATGACTGGTGGAGTTCAACCGTGTCAGGTGTGCTGCAGTTGCCTACTGAACATAAAAGGGTGAGGTCATGCAAAATACCTAGATTGATCAAAGTTAGAGGAGATTATCATTGTTGAATGTCAACTCAACGGTACAGAGGTTAGGCGTTCTCACGCAAGACCGAAAATCCTTGGTTCGATTTCTGAGAGTGGCAGAAGTTGTGGATGCGCACTATCACTGATAAGTAGTCAGTCCTATACCAGGACGAAATGGCTGTCAAGTGCTTTCAGGTTTCTAATGGTCGTGGTCTGACAATGACTCATTCATGAGTTCTGTAAAAAATAATTTAGTCCGAAAAATTAGATTATATCAAATACCATTTCCAGGAGTAATATGTTAAAAATTCCGTAGAAAGACAATCATATCCTGTCGAAGTAACAACATTCAGTAATCAGGACTGAGTTGAACTGAACAAAGTATGAGTCATACGTGGATAAATCTGAATACTTCACTTCTCTCTCTCTCTAACTTAAGTTTGTGCTGATGATGATGTTGATATTGTTACTGTTCAGCAGAAGAACAATGAATACTCGATGATCAAATCATTTGACTCAAATAATAAAACTCGATCATAATCTATCCAAGTTGAATTGAACAGCATCAGTGCAACTCCTTGTGTATGTAAAGCAGTTTTCTCTTCATGACCAAACTAATAACAGCAGTTCCCCTGAAGCTAGTCTCAGTTGTCCTACCTGTGTCCAATGCGTTTCACTGATGCCGAGAACCTCAAGGTTGTATCTTTTCATTTCTTTCGCAACAACTTGAAATAGTCTTTCAGTCTCTCACAATGTTCGAACGTTCCATGTCCCTAAAAGAATGGTTGGCCTGGTTGTTAGAAGAGGCATTGGCCTCGTGACTTCCGAGGGAATTCGGCTTTCATCACGAGACGTCATAATTCTTCTTTTTCCAACTCCCAGGGCAGAATTAAAATAGTTTGATTTATTTGTTCTGGTAAGCACTTTTTTTTGACAAGTCAGTTTTTTTGGTGGGATGCGGTCGCCAACCCCATGCCCAATCCTCCTCCTCCTCCTTTATCCAGGCTTCGGACCGGCAGTAACCTCGAAGATTCTCCCCGGCCGGGTTCCAACAAATTAGAATACCATTGAACATTTTAAATCTATTGAACAACCATAAAAACGCTTTTCCTAATGATTTTTATTTCCATCTTATCAGCAAGTGAACATTCTAGGCCAAAAATTACTTCTTCATTGTGGAAAATTCAATAATTTATATACTAAAACAAAAAACTTTGTTCAATTGTCCAATTTAAATCATATGATGATGTACATGATGTTTTTTTGTAAAAAAAAGGAAGATAATTTTCAATTAGCCCAAATATTTTTTTTAAAAAAAACAAAAGAACTTTTTTTCCGCTTACAAAATTAATAAAATCATCAATATAATGTGATTTTATTAAAATAATACAAGTTTTATTGTGTTCATAAATGTTCAGTATCCTTTATTTAACAAAAAAAACAAACGCAAAGGACAAATAGAATATTGAACATTGAACATGCGTTCAATTGTGGTGCAAGCTACTTATAAGTAGTATATGACGTGAGTATCAACGTAATGTCTGGCAGCAGAAGAGAAGATGGGGGAAAGATCAACAAGAAAGGAAGAGTTAGAAAACAATGGAATTTGTATGAAACGGATGAATTGTGACAATCGATTGTTGATGTTTTGCAACAGGAACATTCCAGTTCGATATGTTGAAATGATATTTTGCAAATTAACGATTTACAATATGGTTTTCCTATTTTACTGAGTAACTCTGTAATTTTTGGTAAACACAATCCAGTTGCCCCTCCTGTGTTCTCGTTCACTACAATAGTAGAGTATGATATATGGAATGGTAAGTCGGAGAACAATGAAAGCCATCATCCACAAGTTACAGCTATTACTAAACAGTTGTCTACGCAAGGATCCGTTGACCAGATACCATGAACATGAAGCTACTGTGGGAGAGAACAAATCAGATTCCAACCGAGGAAGAAATCGGGAAAAATCACTGGAGATTGACAGGACGTACATATTGTGGAAGTCACCTAACTATGTCACAAGACAAGCCTTCACTTAGAATACTCAGGTTGAAAGGAAAAGCGGAAGACCAGAGAACACATTACTTTGAGAATTGAAAGCAGACATGAGAAGATTAAACAATGATTAGATAGAATTAGAAAGAAAGGCTCAGGACAGAGTAAGTTGGAGAATGTCGAATCATGAAATAATCAGTATTACAATAATGAACACGAAAAATCACAAATCACATTATCGAACTGAAATTATAAGTCAATTATTGTCAGACCACCATTAGAAACCTGGAAGTATTGTTGGATGCGGGCCCAGTGATCTAGAGGTTAGGCGTTGGCTCGCAAGACCGGGTGACCTGGATTTGAATCCTGGTCATTGTTAAATGAATGTTGAAAACATGGAAACTGTGAATAACTGTTTCGTTCTAGTATGCGGCTCATCAGCATTGCCTGTTCACGATCCGGAAGGTGGCTGTTGGACCCACAAGCCTCGGTTTCATACGGAAACGATTCGCCCCTTCCTAGTTGTTGAATCGAGATTCAACGGTGTTACACATCTTGCTTCAGTCAACGCACGATATTTCAAGACCATCGGTGGCTAACGATTTCACACTTAGTACGGCTGAACTTCACAGTTTCTCTCACAAGAAATGTGAGAAGTGCCTCACAAAGGTATTCAATAGTACGTATATGAATGATTATTGTCTGTGTAGAGTTTATTAATACTGTTGAGTTCCATCAAGATCATTAGCTGATCGATGCTAGACTACCACCACCGGAAACTTGAAGGCATTCGACGACCATTTCATCCACGACCGTTCGACAAACATTAACGTCATTAGATGTTGACTCTATGGTCTAGAGGCTAAGCATCTATGTGCAGGATCGAAGTTCTTTTTGTCCAAACGCCACCCACGAGTTCATGAATGCGCAATGTTGATGATTTCCGAACTAGGACGAAATGGCCATCCAGTGCTTTATTGTTTATATAATAGTGATCTTACATTGTTCAGTTCATGATTTTAATAAAAACTCAACAATCCACATAACCCTATACTGGAAAATAGATTATAACTACTGATCAATCCTAGACTGCAATTTTCGTCCTAACTGAAAGTCGCCAGCTAGAAGAAGTACCTGTATTTATTTGATTGTTGTAAAAAGGGTATCTGTTCATATTTTAACATTATTACATGAGAAATTATTTCGAGTAATAAATTACATGAAATAACTATTAAAACTAATTAGGTGAAGTAGGCGCACAATATCGAAGGTCTCGGGTTCGAATCCTACGAGATGCAGGAGTCGTAGATGAGCATGGATGGTCTAACAATGATTGATTGATGATTTCAAATGTGTAAAAGCACTTAACCAATAATTAGTCATTGTTCGATCACCCTCAGAAAACTCAAAGCACTGGATGGCAGTGTTGTTCTAG